TAAAAATTTGATCCAATTTGGTCAAGTATTAGTACCACAATTAAATATAATTGTTACAACGAAAAATATTGACTGGCAGAGTAAAGTTGAATAAAAAGCTAGTTCTTCAAATAAGCCGATGATGAAAATTCTAATTTTAAGTTATTAATGAAGGTTGTTTTAATATGCCAGAATGTTTTAAGAAGAAAAAAAAATTATTTTTTTAAGTCAAAAATTCGAAAAAAGTTCGAACCGGAAATTGCGTCATTTTTTCTCAAATTCGTTGGAACTTCGAATTTTTTCACAATTTTATTCGCAAAATCAATTTCAATCCTTACTCTTCATCGAATACTGCCTTAAAATTTTTCAAATTATCTCGAATAGTTGAAAAGTTAATAATGCTGTTTAAATTGTCGCGCGAATTTAATAAAAATACTCGATTTTACCGATAAATTAAAAAAATTGTCCTAATTAGTTAATTGTTTTCCTAATACATGAAAATTTTATATCATTGTGAAGCTCAAATTGTGCTGATTATGAATTTATTATCGAAAACTTAGTCATAGCTAACAAATCAGATTAATTAAGTTCCAAAAAGTTATTTAGAATTTTCGACGATAATTTGATCGAAGTGATCTGGAGAACGGACTTTTGCTAAAATCGATTATTATAACCTCATATTCAACTTCTAGTTATTCCAAAAGTCTATCAAAAAAAATTCATACACAAGTTCAATTTCATTAATTAATTAATAAATATCAGAGTTTACTTCCATTCTTTACCAGGCATACCTTAAAACAATTTTATGCGTTTAACGAGTTATGCATTAACCGAGAGTTTACTGTAAATACACTTGTCTCAATTAATTAGGAAAGGAAATGTTTTCGTCATTCTTTACAAACAATTAAATTGTTCCCATCAAAATGATTATTGGTATGCCATTAGCGGCATCATTTCTCCTTTCTGAGAAGGTGAAATAAACATTGGGAAAAAACAATTAAGAAGCTTGAGACGAGACAATGGAAATAAATTGTGAGGAGATCAACTTCTCTCCCCTGAATGTAACCATTTACAATCAACAATCATCACCAACACACAATCAACAATAACAATTGGTTGATGATGATGATTGTTGATTGCTCAACATTGTGTTGTAATCATCATCATCACCTTACCCTGACCCAACTGACCATTGGTCAAAGATAAGATGATGATGATGAAAAGACTCACTCTAAATTTTGTATATAAGCAGAGACAAAATGAAATTAAAATTATGTTTACTTTGAGATCTTCTCTTGTCTACATCTCTCTCTCTCTCTAACTTTGGTTTCTTAGCTTTTACTTTGTAAAAGCGGATCAAAGTTTTCCCTCTCCTCTCTTACTCTTTCTCTCTCTCTCTCTCTGGCGCAGAGGGTTGAAGCCACTGTCCTCGTTAATCGAGGTTGTAGGTTCGAGACCCGGTGTCAGTCGGCATTAGTCGATGATGACCCAATGAGAAAGAAAGGGCACCCGTCAGCTGAAATGACTCCTGTGAGGGAGTCAGCCTCCCTAGGCGGTGACACCTAGAAGGGGTAAGACGGGAGGAGAATCGGCTCATGGGGGAGCTAGTGACTACCCGACACATTTACTTACTTGTAAAAATGAAAGATTGAGTAACAATTAAAGAAAAAATAGTACCGTCATAGACGACTAGTAAGGTCCGCCGGCAAAAGCGCAAGACAGCGCGGTCCGGTACCACTAGCCAACGTCGAGCAGTGCGGCACCACACGGCTGTTCGCAGAGTGGTGGAATGTCCGGAAACATAGACCTAATCTCTCTCTCTCTCTCTCTACCGTCACAAAATAATCGACAGAAAGAGGTAAGGTCAAATAGTATTAGTTACAACTGAGTATTGTTCGAAATTAAAAGTTTTCGAGCTTACATTTCGCTTGATTGTTAAAAAGCTTCAGATTTTGATTAATAAATTAAGTGTAATTTGAGAGGTTAGATAATGAACTTTAACATGATACATAAATGATCATTTTATGACGATTAGTTTAATTACAATTAAATTATATCTAAAGTGATAGAATTTTTGTTTTTCGATCTTTTTTAGGCTATTCTTTACTACAGCCCCTACTCAGATTGTCTTGAAATTTTTTCTGGGGGTAGGCCTCATGTAGGTCTATATACCTGTTGAGGGTATGTTGATTGTAAATGGTTACAATCAGGGGAGAGAAGTTGATCTCCTCACAATTTATTTCCATTGTCTCGTCTCAAGCTTCTTAATTGTTTTTTCCCAATGTTTATTTCACCTTCTCAGAAAGGAGAAATGATGCCGCTAATGGCATACCAATAATCATTTTGATGGGAACAATTTAATTGTTTGTAAAGAATGACGAAAACATTTCCTTTCCTAATTAATTGAGACAAGTGTATTTACAGTAAACTCTCGGTTAATGCATAACTCGTTAAACGCATAAAATTGTTTTAAGGTATGCCTGGTAAAGAATGGAAGTAAACTCTGATATTTATTAATTAATTAATGAAATTGAACTTGTGTATGAATTTTTTTTGATAGACTTTTGGAATAACTAGAAGTTGAATATGAGGTTATAATAATCGATTTTAGCAAAAGTCCGTTCTCCAGATCACTTCGATCAAATTATCGTCGAAAATTCTAAATAACTTTTTGGAACTTAACAACGCTGAAACGCTGAAAATGCTAGTAAGCCTAAAAAATCTCACCTGAAGTTCTTTGTACGCCCAACATCATGGCCTATTTGCTACTTTCAACGGACAAGTTGCCGCTATTCTGAGCCCGTTTAAGAGCTTTAAGATCTAATTTTTTAGGCTTACTAGCATTTTCAGCTCGAGAATTTACCAGGGCTTGATTTCATGATGATTGGAAAGGTCAAAATTTTCGCATGGAAGCCAATAGATCAAGTTCGCACCTTTGAATGATAAGCACTCCTGAACGATAAGTCAGATCAAAAAACAAATTAGCACAATCTACGCAATAAAAGTTGGGCTTTTGAATAGCATGAAAAAATTTACCGCGAAATTCTTTGCATCCAAATGTACAACTTTTCCGACTTTGAAAGGCCATCGTTCGAATTTGAATTTTGTGGTCATATTCTTAATAACGCCAAACAAAACTTACACATTTTGTCTACCGATTGGCGTCATAAGATCGAAAATTGAACGGATAGTTTGCGAGCAATCCGCTCTCAAAAGTGGAAAAGGTTGGTTGTTACGCCCTGTATAAATTTCCATTATGAAGAGTACCCAGTTTTACCCAGATCTCTCTACTCAAGGCTGGCGCCTATGCCTGAATTGTACGAAGCAATCACGGGCACCGTGGTAACCAAGCTACACTTCACCTAGAGCCTGAGGAGAATATACATTAGAACAGGTTCAAATTTATGAAAATTGATTCTAAATCAAGAGCTTCATGAAAATCGGCTCTTTATGGAAAATCAGTACTCTGTGAGTGAAAAAATGAAGATTTTCACGTTTCATTTTTGTCTGATCTATCTAAATCTCGAGTTGCATAGTGATATACATGATATGTATTAAATAGCTACACTGCGTTCGAAAATATTAGGGACAGTAAGAAAACACAATTAACAACAATTTAAATATTTTTTTTCTCTCTAAGGCCCGTATTCACCAACCGTAATTGAATTAGAGTCTAGGTTTAAATCAGCTGATCACAGCTTTTGTGTTTCACCAACTATGATCAACTCTTGGTCTCGGATCAGATTTAAGTTTAGGTCAATTTAATTAGGGAATTAAAAAATCTTGTTTCACCAACCGAAATCATCTTCAATTGATCTCGGAAGTCTTGATCAAAATTTAATCTTGGTAATTACCACGATTATCTTTTGATTATGACTTTTTTTCCTCATTTTTCCATTCGAACTCATTTTTTTTTGAATTTTTTTAAATAAATTGATTAATATCGTTATGTCCTATTATTTTTCTACGATTTTCGCTAGCGTAAAAAAGATTTTTTTTAAAAATTGAATTCAACTCGATTTGAACCCAAAATTAAAGAATCGGGTATCAACTAATCAGGCTTGGTGAAACAACTTTTTAGTCTAAACTTGGAATCGGTTTGATCTCAGGATTAGTTGAAATCGATTGATCCAAAGATCAATTGATTGGAAGATTAAATCGCAAAGTGTATTCACCAAGTTGGATTAGTTGAACCCAAGATCTTGATTTCGCAAATCAAATCAATTAGATTTTAAATCATTTAAATTTTTATTTAATTAGGAAATTGTCCATAAAAGGGCGAGTTTTTTCCTATTTTTTCTTTTTTACCCCTAATTTTTAATTAATTTCTATCATTAATCAAACATATAACAACGGTAACAGCAATGTAAACATTTCGCTCTTTAAATAAAAGCGGGCAATTGGAAGATGATAATTAAATATTCATGGAAAATGCTTGAAATCCAGATTAATTTCCAAGTAATTAACAAAATAAATGATTACACTGATCAAGTTTTCTGAAAATCTTCATTACGATTTCTTTGAAAAAAAATTTTTTTACGCTAGCGAAAATTGTAGGAAAATAATAGAACATTGTGATACTAATCGATTCATCAAAAAAAAATTTCAAGAAAAAAGAGTTAAAACAGAAGAAATTAGAAAAAATGAGAAAAAAACAGTTGAAATGAGCTTTTAATCTTGGTAATTACCAAGATTAATTTTTGATGACCACTTAGCTAAAAATCTTGAATCAGATTAGGCTAATTTCACTTGGTGAAACAACAATTAAATCTCGACTTAATTGATTTCGGTTGGTGAAATGCAAATTTTTGATTGAGAGTTTTAGAAATCTGCGCTTAGCTATGATTCCAAATCAAATTTTAATTTTAATTGGTGAAACAGTTAAGTTGAACTCAGCTGATTTAAACCTAGACTCAAATTTAATTACGGTTGGTGAATACGGGCCTTAGTCCTCTACCCTCAAACTCATTTCGTTTGGCTGTATGGTTGATTTAACAGAGATACAAACACTCAAAAGTAGGTATAGTTCATCGGGACGCTCATTGGTAATGAGATGTAATTTATTGGAGGTATGAAACAAATTGCAGAGACAAAAATGCGAATTACAAATAACAAATCAAGTTGATTTAGTTGATTGTTTTTAAAACAAAAGGAAATTAATTTTTTTTCTCAGAAGAAATGCTTGATTCTTTACCCAGTATTGAACAAAAATTTCGGGACTTGAATGGGTTGTTGATTCTGTTGGGTTGTTACATCTATTGGTTAATTAGATAATCAGGCGAAATAAATTTAATTAGTTGGAGGTTTGTATCTTCCTTCATTTAACCATTAAATCATTTCCGTAGTTTTCTCCATGTCTCTTTGTTTATAATCATGTAAACATAATCATAATTCCGTCTATGGCTTGATAGAATCAAAATACCATTTAAGTTTACCATTTAAACGGATGCACTTTTAGTGAGCCCGTGAAGATAATACGTAGTAAAGAAACATGTTCAGCATTAACGTGGTAAATTTGGAGGTGGTAGTGAAAAGTAATCCAAAAGTATTTACATTTTAAGAGAATTAGAAACTAATAAGGAACAAAAAAGAAAGATGAAGAGAAGATGAGATGAGATGAGATGATGGAGGTAATTGGACGAATATGTAATTCGAAACAAATCAGATTAAATTATTCATGATGAGGTTATTGTTGTAATTGTGGTGGTAAATATTTGTTGGCGGTGGAATTGGCTGATAATGGTAAGAAGTTGATGAACGGAAACAGCAATTTATCAATGAAATAATTAGTGTTTCGCAATGAAGGAAAAAAAGAGAATATCTTTCAATTCGGATTCATGGTTTGTTGTTGCTGTGTTGAGGTCAGAATTAGTTTAGGAAATGATGAGAGCTTTTTGTTTAATTGTTGTTTCATTTTTTGATTGAGGTAAACAGCAGTGACCCGTCCATTGTAAGCAGAGATTATAGCAATCAAAAAAGGAAGAGGAATTAACCAAAACTACTGCTAATATGATTGACACATTGAATTCAGTTTTTCATGTGTATGAATTGTGTATCGGGTGTTGAGGTTGAGTTTAGGATCCATTGGTGTACTTCTGTTGACTCTCCTCTCTCTTTCAACACCCTCGATATTACGTAAATAACAATTATCTTCTTGTTTCTTCTTGTGGTTGATCAATTTTTCCATCACAATATTTCCCTCTTTTCCATAACATCTCGTTTGTTTAACTCTTTCCAATTTATCTTTCAGATTTTCTGGTTCTCTCTTCATGATGATGACAATGAAGTTGTTGATTATAACGATGAGTTATGAACACAAAGTAAAAAGTATATATTTATAAACATATACACAAGCTATTTACGCGCTTTAATACTCTCTTTCATAATGGTTAGTCGTTTCGTCCAAAAGCAAATTATTGTTTTTTTTTTACTTTGCCAGAGAGTCTTGGTCAAAGGTTAATCATGAATGGGAGCATAATCATGATCAATTAGCAGCAGCAGCAATGATGAAGATGAAGATAATCTTGAACTGTACAGTTTTATATCATAGTTGTGCTTCCTGTTTATGTATTTTTTTAAATCGATTTCTTTTTTTTTCGCCTTATGAAGTGTGTGGTTAATAAGTTGATTGATTTAGGGCTGTGGTCACTGGTGGTGAACAACGAAGCTGATGGAGATGATACATCAATGAATTTCATACAGTCACTTTATCCTCTGAGGCACCAATAGCAGCAATACTTTTCTTTACCCTCAAAGCAGTTAACCTCGCAGGGGCATTGGTATACCAACATTCCTTCATTAAACGTGACATTACACGAAGTGTCTGTACAAATAGAATAATGAAAATTTGAACAAATGATTTACCATAAAATTGAGTTAATTTCAATCATTTAAACTCACCTCGTTATTTTGCCATCTACTGGGTATTGGTGGTCTTGCTTGATCGACACAAACCACTTTCCTCATTTCTTCAATTGAAGGATCTGAAGGCACCATATCGTAATAAGGTAATTGATAATCTTCATAAACACCATCAATATTACACCTTCGAGCCATTTCCCAGTAGACCAGACCAAGAGCGTAAATATCTGCTCTTTTGTAAGCATCAAATTGATTTGGATTCATCAATTCATCAAGAACTTCAGGAGCCAAGTAACGTTTAGTTCCAACTCGAGGATTTGGTGGAATATCAACTGAATCCATTTCTGAATCGTAGCGAACAGCCAACCCAAGGTCAGCGATAGCACAGGTCCCATTTGATTTGACAAGAATATTTTTACTTTTGAGATCTCGATGAGCAATTGCAGGTTTCCCTTGGTCAGTCTTTCTGATGTCATGTTGAGTTCCCTGTATCTCCATGTGTAAATGGGACAAACCATTAGCAATCGAATAAGCCATTCGTGCTAATCCGGCAGCATCAATGGTATTTTTGTACAAATAATCATACAAAGAGCCATGTTCATGATAATCAGTGACCAACCATAATTGTGTCCAGGTTCCACTATCTAAAAATTGTCATAAAACAAAAAATTAATCACATCGAAACATAACAAGATCATTATTGTCAAAAGCTAAGATACATTGAGAGTTTAAATTTCTATGATGTCATAGTCTTTCAGCGAGATGTCAACTAATGAGTTAATGGGAAACAGTATAGACCCAAATGACTGCTGGTTCCTTATTACTCTTCAATTGATCTTCTAAAGATAACATTCACTTAGTAACGTAAGTTGAGAAATGTAAAAGTTATATTAAGAATAAAAATCAAAAACAATATGAATCAATGGAAACTGATTCTTGTCTAATTCTAATTTCATCATTTTAACGATTCTTCTTGCGATGCTCATCTTGTACCATGAGAATCTCATAGACATCACTAACCTTTGTTATCAGCAGCAATGAAACCAAGAATATTATCATGTCGTAACATGATTGTTTGGTAGATTTCTACCTCACGAAACCAAGATCTTTCATCACGGGATGAGAAAATCTTAATAGCCACAGATTCCCCTCGCCATTGTCCTCTCCACACTTCACCGTAACGTCCTTTACCTATGGATTCAACAAGCTGTATTTGACGGGCGATGGTACGTTGCACAAGGAGAGGAAGACCTGGAAAACGAAAGAAAAAGAATTATGTTAAAAATCAAAAGGAAATATTCCCTAATTGTAATACAAATGTAATAAGAATGGAAAAATTAATAACCTTGAAAACCAAGAAGCAAAAAGAATAAAATTCTTGTTACATTGATATGTAATTATGATAATAAAATAGCGTAAAAAACAGCGAAAAGAAAATATTTACCTGATCCTGAGCCTGAGCTTGTGTGTTCAATGAGATCTCTGATTGAACTTCCTTGAGATTGAATGAGAGGATCTCCAGAAGTTAAACTGCCCTCAGGGTCGGAGTGATATCTCCATGTTTTCTGATCACGAGTCCGTTTACGGACAAAATAGACGCTTACAAGAGTTAACACAAAGATACAGGGGATTGCGATCATTAAGACAATTTTGAAAACGTCCAGTGAAACCGAAGTATCTAAATGTCGACGAGAGATACAAAGAAGGTCAAGGAAAAGGAGAAAAGAAAACAAATAAAAAAAACGGTTTATGTTTCTTCTAGACGATTGACAGAAGAAGAAAATAAAGATAAATAAAAGAATCGGGATCATTTTTTCTTCTTAAATTAGAATTAAGAAATGTAAGAAGAAAAAGAGTAGGAAAAGATTCAATGAAATGTGTAGTAACAATGAGATGGGGATTGAGGAAGAAAAGATGGAAACATATTCGTGGGAATGGAAAGGATCAGCTGAGGATAATCCGAGAATTAGTAACTGATGCAGGAGAGTAAAGGGTTTGGTGGGAGATCATGCATTCGATTAGATTTTGTTAAAGGATGGGAAAAGGAAGATAGTTTAAGGAGATGAAGAAAAAGATATAAAAGGAGAGAGAGAGAGAGAGAGAGAGAGAGAGAGAGAGAGAGAGAAAGATGAAGATTGAAGATGAAGAATATCATCTAGTCACAGCTCCATGTATGAATCAATGGTTTCTCTTAATTTGAAACAACAGCGAGATAAACAGAGAGAAAAAATTAATTATAACCAACTAAAACTAGTGATTAAAGTGAATGTGACTGTGTTTATGTGTGAAAATTGGGTAATCATAAATTGGCAAGAAAAAAACTGAGGTGAACAGACTGAATGAATATGTAAATTGTGAAATAATTTGATTAATTGACCAGTTGAACTACCTTTTTAAATGAAACTAACATTTTGAATTGAAAAAAAGGATAAACAAGGAACATGGGAAAAAATTTCAAGGTTTCAAGATATAATTTCTGAATAGTAACTAGATATGTAAATATCGTTAATAGGAAAGAGATAGAGAGAGATGCGATTTGTGCGAATGCAGATTAATTTGTGAAATTAGCAAATGTGTGTGTGTGTGTGTTGTGAGAACCCACCTTGAGTGTGTGGAGGAGGCAGAGTAGGCTGTAGATAACGATTACAATATTCTGAATTATTGCAGCATTCTATTTGACGAGGATTCTCAGGTTGTGGTGAACCAACTAATTTCTTACACCAAAAAGGTGCATCTGGTGGAATTAGCTTGTTGCGGGCCACGCAACTATTGATAGTAGATGAGAGTCGAAGATCGAAAGATGAAGACAGAAGAATAAGAAGAGAGAGAGAGAGATGAAGATTGAAGATGAAGAATATCATCTAGTCACAGCTCCATGTATGAATCAATGGTTTCTCTTAATTTGAAACAACAGCGAGATAAACAGAGAAAAAATTAATTATAACCAACTAAAACTAGTGATTAAAGTGAATGTGACTGTGTTTATGTGTGAAAATTGGGTAATCATAAATTGGCAAGAAAAAAACTGAGGTGAACAGACTGAATGAATATGTAAATTGTGAAATAATTTGATTAATTGACCAGTTGAACTACCTTTTTAAATGAAACTAACATTTTGAATTGAAAAAAAGGATAAACAAGGAACATGGGAAAAAATTTCAAGGTTTCAAGATATAATTTCTGAATAGTAACTAGATATGTAAATATCGTTAATAGGAAAGAGATAGAGAGAGATGCGATTTGTGCGAATGCAGATTAATTTGTGAAATTAGCAAATGTGTGTGTGTGTTGTGAGAACCCACCTTGAGTGTGTGGAGGAGGCAGAGTAGGCTGTAGATAACGATTACAATATTCTGAATTATTGCAGCATTCTATTTGACGAGGATTCTCAGGTTGTGGTGAACCAACTAATTTCTTACACCAAAAAGGTGCATCTGGTGGAATTAGCTTGTTGCGGGCCACGCAACTATTGATAGTAGATGAGAGTCGAAGATCGAAAGATGAAGACAGAAGAATAAGAAGAGAGAGAGAGAGAGGATAGAGATGGAAAATGGAAAGGAGAGAGAGAGAGAGAGAGAGAGAGAAAAAGCCACACGGAGGAAGGACAAGTGATTGGGGTTCAAGAGAGAAGATGATTGTTTTTTTTTGAGGGTAATTGTGATCAAGAATATTTCATATTTGGGATGGACAAGTTGGAGGAACATGGGAGAAGAATAAGAAGATATTGATGACGAAAAAAATATAAAAGGAAGAAAATGGAGAAAGAAAGAGAAGAAAAGATTCTTATTAATCAACTGTATTATAAAATTTCTTACCTCGCAACGAAGTTGATGCAAGAATCGGTTTAGCATCACGGTTACAGAAATCTTGTTCACGACAGCATTTAATGGCGAAGCGGACTTTGGTTTGCTCCGAGTAGAGACATTTCATCGGATTTTCAGGAGGCACCAATTTATTTAAAGGTATACAACTAAACACATAGAATTATTTTATAGTTTAAGTCTTAATGTCTCTTTTTGTTTATATTTTTTACTCTTTCTATTTCTCTTTCTTCCTTTTTTTCTCTCTCTTTCCCCTCTTTCTATTTCTTTTTCTTTCATACAAGATATAAAATGTATATTCTCTCATAACGTATATGTACTTATAGAAAATGATTTAAATAGAAGCTTAAAATAAGAAACACATACACTGAAGATTACAAATAAACGGTTATTCCTGAAGAATATGAAGCATAGACATGGAAAGATCAACACATAAATAGCCTAACAAGCGTGTGTATGAGATAAAATCAAAACACAAGCTCTAAATATGTATAAATATAAAATGATTCTATAAAATGGCCACAATACAAACAACATTTAGTGAATAATTTTTTTTTGTTTTCTTTCACTATTAACAATTAACTTACCCAAATTCGTAGTTAACTTGACCATCTTTAAACATTTGAGCTGAAGTATAACATATCCCATCTGTAATACATGTTTGATCCGGTCCACAAGTAACCGGATCTCTACAGTAACATTTAATTTCGGTTATATTAACCATACTGTTGTATTGAAGGTGATTAAATGCAGTAACTATGGAGAGTAGATAGAAGAAGCAATAGAGAAGAAGAAGAAAACCAATTAAATATTAGTCAATCATCGATGTAAAATGTAATTTAATAGTCAATCAATTAAAGGTTAATAAAAAGTAAAGAACAAAACAAAAAGTGATTACAAAACCAAACCGAAGGCGAGAAAAAATCAACAATAATATAAACACAGGAGAGAGAAAGAGACAATAAAAAGAAGGTGTTTTCGGAAAGAGACAAAAGAAATGAAGAATCCAAGTAACTCTACCTGTCGGTGGAAGAAAAAAACTCTTATTCTTTTTATTCTGACAATCAGATGTCGCCACTGGTGGAATAGAAAGTGACATCTGGGGGCGGAGAGAAAAGTTGCTCTCTAACTTATCGTTATCGTTAGAAGAAAAAGTTTTTTCTTCAACGAAATTCATTCACCAACTAACCGTTCGTAAAGGTTGTTGTGTGTTAGTTAGTTTATTAATTGTGATCTAAAGTTAAACAATAATAATAGAAGAAAAATATTTTCATCCAGATCTGTGATTGTACATCAATTATATATTAACCAAATCTCAATTTGAGCTCAAGAAAAGAAAAGCAATGGTTAAACTAAAGGTTTTCCATTCGTCTTTCTTTATATTATTTTCTTTATTTTCATCAATAATAATTTCGTTTTGTTTATCAACTGATTTATCACCAACATCTTCGGTTACTTTATCAACTTTAACATCGCCAGTAAACAATGTGACAACATCAACGACATTCACATGTCCAGAACAATTTGGTTATTATATTGATCATTCTGATTGTACCAAATATTTTGTTTGTGTTTTCGGTGAAGCTCTTCATGAAACGTGCACCGGTGGACTTTATTTCTCATCGGAATTACAAACATGTGATTGGCCTCGAAATGTACTTTGTGGAATAGGTAATTTATTCAGTTAAATATTGTTAAAATCTCTTATTTCTCATCCAAGTCCTCGTAGTGTAGTGGTTATCACATCTGCTTAACACGCAGAAGGTCCCAGGTTCGAGACCTGGCGAGGACATTTTTTATCGATTTTCGATTCAGATTTTTATCGAAATTCCTTAAAAATCAATCCAATTAATCGTACAATCAATTACCTTAAATTGAAACTAGTTTTAAAATCAATTATCAATCGAAATTTTTACTTTCTCTTTCTATCAGTACATTCGTAAAGTGCAAAAGTAAACTTTTTCTTTTGCTTCTTCTATTTAATCTCTTTGGGTGGAAGCTTAATAACAATTAACGATTTAGAGAAATTAAAATTTAGTTCTGGTTCAGATAAATGTAACAACAGGTATTCACATAAAATATTCAAGGTTTTACAGGTAGTTACACCCTAAATTACCTTGGATTTTAATCAATTATTATTATTATTTTACTTCATATTAATCAACTGATCCTGAAGAAAAAAAAACACAATTTTATTAATTCTAAATCACTTACACAGAGCAAATGAAAAACTAATTATCTTGTCAATCAAGTTACAAATTAGTGTAACAAATTGTTTTCTCTTTCTTTTTGCTCTCTTTTTCTCTCTCTCTCACTCTCACTTACTAACACAATTTACTAATCATAATAATAAAAAAACTTTAATCATGATTATAAACTAACATTGAGAATTTTTCTCACCCAAATTTCAATGTGAGAAAATTAAAATTCCCCGTCATTGATTAATCATGATTAATATAATTGTAAAGAACGAAACTTTCTCCTTAAATTGATTGATCAACATCTCTAGTGATTGTTGCACTCATTTTAATTATAATTTAAATAATTGCCTTATTTTCTCGTAAACTTTATTGTAAATCAAAAATCTCCATAAAATTTAATTGTAATGATTTAGAAAACGGAGAGAGAGAGAGAGAAATGATAATAATTACCATTAATTTAGTTCAAGGATTTAGTAATGATAGATCATGATAATCGTTATGAATTTGAGCAATTTAAGTTTACCTTTAATTGTTGTTGATTTGGACAATAAGATTTATGTTAATCACTAATGATTAATTGTTAATATTGAATATCTAATACAATGTTACATTGTAAAAGGTGTTGATTATTATTGTTGATTGTTTAATGATAAGAAACTTGTATAAATGTTTAATTGTTGATCATTGCTGATGATTAGATTAATTGTCTACGGTTGTAATATTCAACATATACCATAATATACATGATAGAGAGTAATATAATAAATAAATCAGTTAAATTGTGTTAAAATACATTTATATTGTAATGGTCACGACGATGAACAGTTAAACATCATGATCTTAATTGTTGTTAATATTGTTGAAAGATTAAATCAATCAAATTGACGAGACAAGTCACGAAAAAATCATCTTCTTACCTTGTTTACAATTATTATCATTATTTAATCATTTCGATCGACTTTGGATTTTTGATTATCATTTTAATAATTTAGTTAACAATCAACAATCCACAGTTTGAAATGTGTGATTAACTCAATCAACCATTGAGTTAATCACGCATTTATCATTGAAATTAGTTGATTATTTGCACTTTTGCAAAACGGAAAATAAAACTAATATTTGATTGGAATAAATTTCTTTGTGGGTTACTAGTGCCAATCAATTTAACTTTCACAACAATTTAAGTTAATTAAGCTGAGAAAAGAGAAATAAACACTTAACATAATCAAAGTGATTAAATTAATTTCTCCGATCAGTAATTTAACTTGTCTCTCTCTCTCTCTCTCTCTATGTTACCTTGATAAATTTTACTTTTGATTGTAGAAATTGATTATCGTCTCCTTATTAGGTTTCCAATAAATTAAAATACTCTAATTAACTTACTTTTATACTTTATTAATCTATCATCTTGTTGATTAATTAATAAGCTATTTAGTCAACTCATAATTAAATTATCTACATAATACATACAATAACACTTTTTGATTGATTGATCACAATTACCGCTCAGTAATTAATCAATGAATTTTATTGTCAATTTCATTTTTCCTCAAAAATTGAACAAATATTACAAATCTATTCATTTTGTTGTGTATTTGATTAACTGATTAACCGATTAATTTCATTTTAATTATCTCATTTATTAGGTAATAAGACTGAGAAAGTAACACATGCATCAACTGGATTAGATAAAGGATCATCGTCATTATCAATTGATAATAACAAGAATCATGATAAACTTACGGATAAAGAAATTACTTATGATACAAATCTTGATGGAAACAATAATGGTAATGATGGTTTAATTTCACCTCCAATTACTTTACCTGACATTGATTCAATTTCATCTGGTAACAATAATCACGCTAATGATGGTTCATCATCATCAAGTTTATCCTCATCTTCATCTGATAAAGATAATCGAAAGGATAAAGAAGCTGAAGATTTAGATCTTCAAAGATCACGAACAACTTTGAATAAAAATTTCGTCTCCAATTCAGGTAATACGAATTTCAATTATCTTGATTTTACTAATAATGTTAATGGACGAAATCCATCAAGTTCATCGTCATTTACTGGATTAACTTCAAATCGACGAGATAATTCAACAATTAATGGTAATAATATTCACCTTGATGTTGAACCTCCATCGGGCTCTAATTATGAAGAAACATCTTCAACCGTTGTAGATTCAAATGGAGGTATTCATTTGCCCGATGGTCAAGGAGGTTTATTTGGTATCAATGGACAATTACCTGGGTTATTAACTACTGGAAACGATCAAGGTAAACATGTTGATTCATCTTCATCTTCAGGTAAAGAAGTGAGATCCATTGACGAGTCAAGGTTACCAGGTGAACATAGAACCGGTCGATCTTCAGATGATATAATTGGTGTAGATAGAAGACGGGGTGTCCCACATTATCAGTTGCAGGCTTTAAGACAAGCTCAACATTTTAGGCGAATGTCACCCGTCATTCCGATCATTTTACCCAAACCTGGATCAAGTGATTCATCCTCTTCATCTGCATCACCTTCAGTAGGCTCATCTTCCTCCTCTTCATCGCCAACAGCACTTAATAGTGAAACTAAAAGGCAAGATTATGATTATGATTCTTATCAATCTGATCCAATTCAACAACCGCCATTGATTCATGGTGGTGGTGGTGGTGGACCTGATTCAGGTTTAACGCCACGATCATCGTTATCACCAGATTCAGGAAGAACTCGAAGTGCTGTTAGAGGAGGATCGGGCTCTTCTGGATCAGCACGAGGTGTAAGTCATTTTGGTGAACCTTCATTCGTTGAATATATCGATGATCGTCCAGGTGAAGGTTATTATGAGGAAGAAAAAGTTGTCGTAGATCATTATAATCAGGCTCGTGGTCGACAATCTCAGCCTTCACTTTCCCCACCTCGATCATCATCAACACCTACTCTACCCTTACCACCACCAAATCGAGGTGACTCTTCATCGGGAAGGTCTAGATATTCACCGGTACCACGAGTCAACAGTCAACCACATTTTCGTCCCTTCGTACCTCCTTACGCAGGATTTGAAGAGCGAGCACCCCCACAGTCTCAGCACCAACCACCTCCACCCCAGCCCATCGTTTCCCCACCATCATCTGGGTCCCACAGGCATCAACGACCATCATCATCAGATGTATTGATTGGTGAAAGAAACAGAGGTAATGAGGAAATTAACAATCGACCATTGACCCCTTCTACCTGGGAACCTTATCCTAGGTCACCTGAATCTACTCCCCACCATGGAGATCATCATGATTCATATGACAGACCAGAAGATGAGCCTCATCAGCCTACTCGATACATTTCCCACGAACCACCAGCAGTAACTGAACCAACACGAACAACCGAACCATTAATCTACCAACAGCCTCCATCTAATAGTCCGTCAATTAAACCCGTTTCCAATCGGAAGCCAGGATCAAGTGGCCTTCAACAACCCTCATCATCACCTTACCATCAGCCTGGACTTTCAGTCTCACGTAACCGACCACGAACCCAATCATTTGGTAACAATGGAGAGGCACCAATCAAACCTCAAATACAATCACCATCATCAACATCCCCACCCCCACCACCTCCTCTTCCATCAACTCCACCACAGCCTTCAATCAATACCAACAGAAATCGACCCAACCCTCAACAAGACGCAGCTCCAAGGTTACCAACCGGAAGTGGTGTTCCCTCAGAACACGGTCAACCCTTTGGATTAGTTGATTATGATGATGAACTACCATCGGATCAACGGTTCCCAGTATCTGGACCAATCATCGATCAACCCTCTCCACCACAAACCTCACCACCAGTGCCACCGCCACGAACCCGATCACCAACCACAACAACCACAACACCGACCACAGCAGTAGCAATAGTTGAACATAAGCCACCAACTAATCGACAAAGAGGCAACTACACACCAATTAACTCACCATCATCATCATCATCTGGACAATCATCTCGATCCTCATCATCTTCATCATCAGGATCTTCATCAAACACCAACACGAACAATAATGACCAAGGATCAAATCGTCGACGACCTCGACCAACCAATAAACGATTAACTGTCCGACCAAAGGCCACAGGCCCACCTACATTCCCCGCTCGACCTGTTAACCTTTATCCAACCGTTGAACCAGCAACACCCGCTGGTAAATGTGATCCTCGAGTGTGTCGCCTTCCCGATTGTAATTGTGGCTCGTCATCAATTCCGGGAGGATTAAAATCATCACAAGTGCCACAAATTGTAATGATTACATTTGACGATGCCATTAATGACCTTAATTGGGAAATTTATGAAGAAATTTTCAACTCAAATAGACGCAATCCAAACGGTTGTCCACTTTTAGGTACATTTTATGTGTCTCATGAATGGACAGATTATGGTCAAGTACAAACACTTTACTCGCGAGGTCACGAAATGGCCTCACATGGGATAACGTAAGTGAACATAATTCATTTTAATAAATCAGTTAATCCAATTTAAAACCTTGAGAATAGAAATGAGAAAACAGTTTAATCATAACGGTAATGAAACGAAACATGATAATCAAGTTGAAGTTTTCAATTTAATCCATTTTTCAAGCTTAACCAACAATCTAATTGATTATAATGATCATCATCTTGACTTATTTGATTTGGTTATTTCAAGTTAATTGTTGATATAATCAATGAGACGTTATCATTAAGGGAATGACTACTGTTAATTGTAATTAGAATACGAGAAACATAAGTAAATGTAAATGATTTTCATGGTAATTTTAATTGTGATCAAACAATTTAACCTTTTTCAAGAAATCATTAAATCTACCTACTAGTGATAATACATTACGATGAAGATAATCATCATCATCATTATCATCATCGTCATCACTTTCATAGTTTTTTTCATTAGTTAATCACCTTTGCTTTCACCTTGAACTAAATTGTTGGTGGTGCAGTTAAAGGCAACGATCAAATGATTAACTACAATAAATTGTAGTTAAATGACAAAAGATTGAGAAACAAATGATGATGATTAATACCGAATCAAGGAAGATACAGAAATCGTAGTTAACTTTCATTGAACAACCAAAAAGTAAGAGATTATCTTCATTATCATCATCATCATCAATAGAAGGTGAAATGATGATGAAGACAAAGATGAGGATGAGAAAAGGTCTCACTAAATGACGTGGTATTAATGATGATTAAGATGCGTTGAAAATGATTCATGTTCAATGATTTGTCAATAATAATAATGGATAAGCATTAACTCAATTCAAAAGTAAATCAAAAGTTTTGGTTAACAATTAAATTATCAACAATCTCCTTGAATCTTAATTCACTTCTCTCTCTCTCTCTCTCACTGATTATGATACATTTTAATCATATTATTTGATTATATCTTTGATTTGGTAAAAGTGAATTACAACAAAAAAAAATGAATGATCATCTTCATCAGATGAAAATTTTCTTAATTACCTTATTCGTGATTCTTATATAACAACAATCAACAACAATTTAGGGCAAACAACAATCAAATCATTTATTTAATGTATTTGAAGGTTATAAATCTAATATCATTTGTTTAATTTGTTTAAAATCAAATCAAAAATAGTAAATCTGTTTCACCAAATAATCAGCAATTCAAATTAATTAAATGAGTTTAATTTGTTTTTCTTTGATTGTTGTTAACTAATGTAAACCTGATAACCTTTTTTTTTCAACAATTTGATTTTCTGATTCTTGATCATCTCTTGATTGTTGTTTTTATTTTCTCCGATTATATAATTTGTTAATTGTTACTTTTAAAACTATTTTGTATCAGTTTACTGAATTAATTTTATATGATTATATGATTATATCATTGTCTTTACCAATTAAATGAACAACAACAATCAATTTTGATTGCAAAGTGAAAAAAAAATCAAAAATGATAACCTTGATTAGCTATTGAACTTTTCAACTGTAAATCAATTGACTTTGAAATCTACCTTATAATTTGTATTATTGATTACAATTAACTTTTCAAAATCAATTGATTAAGTTTTTTTTACCTCTCTCACTGGTCTCGAAAATTTTAATTGTTGTAAAATAACAATTAATGGGAGAGGAAAGGATAACTTTTATTTTAATTAGCGATTTAAAACAATTTACTAACTATTTCTATTGTGTATTAAGATTAATCAGTTGCAATGACATTGATATTGATACAAGTTGATTGTGATAAATCAGGTAGTTTACAATCAGTTGACAATTTAATCATCATTAAAGGTTATTAAACCAAATGATTTGTAAACAATCAATCAAAATCAGGTAAGAAAAGACAATCATTAACTAATGAGAGAGGAAAAAAACTCATTTCATCAACTTGTTGATTGATTGATTGTTTCAATCTGGAAGCTCAGATTAATTAAATGATACACAATCAAGACAAAACCATAATGATTAATGAATATAAAAAGAAACATAATTTTAATTGTTGATTAAAAATAGTTGCTTTAGTTTTTTTCTTTCTTGTCTATTAATTGCTATTTCTAATTGTAATTAACTTTACGACAATCAAAAAGACACAAGAAAAAATCAAAGGCAAAGTAATCAATAAATAAATATCCCAATATTAATAGTAAAAATTACAACTATTAACAGTTAATTAATCAAGGAAAAATGATGAAACTAAATTAGTCTCGACAATCAAAAGATCATTGACTTAAAATAATACTACAAATACACTTAACAATTAACTAAATTGCTCATTTAACCTAATAGGTAGTGAAGAAATAAACTAATCAAAAATTAAATATAAAAAAAAAACGGAAGGAAGAGAAACCAAATTAATAAATTCAGTTAATAGTGAAATTTAATCACTATCACAATCAAATAATAAGTATAAATGATTTACCAATAAAATGAAAACCTCTCAATCAATTCAATCAATTTTAATATCGTCATCAACATTATGTATTATTATTAATAGAAATGAAAACAATTCAATTCATTATTAGGTAACAATCAAGATATTTAATAATCTATTATTATTATCAATTTGAAAGTAAAAAAAATTAATATCAATTTAATCAGTTGATTGGTTAATATGTTATTAATTTTTAAGGTTAATGAGGAAAAGTAAAAAAAAAGTTTAACCAAATTGTGAGTACGAAAGACTAGCCTAATTTTTTCATCTTACGATTGAAAGTGAAGTTGATTTAAATCATGATTCTAATGATGATTAAATAATGATACAACTGTAGTAATCATAATAATAGTTACTGATTAACAATTCAGGTAAATAATTGGAATTATAAAGAAATTAGATTTACCCCTTTTGTTGAGCATTTTGTTCAATTGATTAACGATTGTGAAGTTTTTCTTGGTTTTATCTGTTTAATTGTGTTTCATGATTATCATCATGATGAAAGATAATTAAAAATGATTTCACATTCAAGTTAATCATTTGCTCTATTACAATTTAAAATACTATTGCATGTTGTTGATTAACTTTCAGATTAACTTAAATTGCTGCTCTTAATTGGGTGTGGTATCGTTATTACAATTAACTGTTACTTTCGTTGTTGTTGTTGTTATTATTTACTTTAACCTTTATTATAATTATTTGTTTTGTTATCATTATATTTTGATTATGATTATCAAATTAAGGAAATTATCATTACTGAAATTTTTTCTTAAATTCGTACCAAATCAAATTTAATTGTGAACAATTAACCATGAGAGAGAAAGAGAAAGAGAAAGAGAAAAAGAGAAAGAGAAAAGTCGAAAAAAAAGATTCGAAACAAAAAGTAAAAGTTTTGTAACGAACTTCAAAATAATCAAGACAATCAAGTTAATTGCTATTCCAATGGTAATTTAATATTTCTATTGTGCTTTCATTCATTTTACCTCCATGATGGAAAATTTTTAACAAACAATTAGTTAATTTCCGGATTTCAACAAAATTGAAATGATATAATTATTTAATTGTTCTTGTTGATTACTTCACTACGCCATTATCAATTCTATTATACAACAATTGAAAAAGTATATTGACAATAATTAGATGATTAATATATAATAATCAAGTGAACAATTTATATTTTATCATGAAACATTACAAAATTGTTGTTTCTTCAAAATCAGATTAGATTTAAATTGTTGATTGAGGCCTAAAACTTTTCATTTTCACTTGATTAGTATTTAATTTTTTGCTCTCTCAATCCTGATTGTAAATTGCTGATCATCATCTCTTAATCATCGTCATCTAATCATTTAAAATTATCTGTATTTATATATAAGATTATCAAGTGAAATGAGAATGAAAACAAAATAAGGTTGATTGAATAAACGATTTCTCTTATTATTTTTAATTCTTTATATTAATTGATGCTCTTTACTGATTAGGACTCAAACTAAATTAACTAATCAACTATCGTTTTACTCAATCAAAATTTAGACCTTGATGTGTGATGAGTAAATATATATATTATTAATAATGATTTTAATTATGTTAACTAATACGAAAAGGCTAAATTGTTGTTGTTGTAAATTGTAAGTGTTTAGGCTTGAAAAGTTAATTGTCTTTAAAATAGATTTTGGTTTTTCTGTTGTTTTCACAATTTGATCAGTTGATTAAATATATTATGATTAGTTGAGCGAGAATGAGGAGGAAAAAATTCATGATAAAAAAACTCTTAATTGTTGTGGATAAGAGTTAATTTAGTTTGATTAAATCAGTGAAAACGATGAACAAATTACCTGATTATCTTTAATTTAACTTGATCAACAATTAATATTTCCTGTTTAGTATTTGGTTTTTGTAATTTGTATTTGAACACTGGGCTAACAATTTATAAATAGCTTTGATTAATTGAACTTGGAATACAATTAACGGTATGTATCAATTGTAACAATTAAGGTGAAACAGTGAAGATTCAATCAAACTAAATTAACAAATCAAATTGTGATTTGCCTTTGATACTTTGGTTAAGGTGTGAGACTTTAATTGTTAACTTTTCATTTTCTAAATTGTTGTAATAATTAAGTTAATGTAAAAAATTTGATTCTATCAACATGAGCAATTTAAATTTTATGTTAATTGTTATTTCATTTCCAATTCACTTTTCCTTTTCTAATTATTATGGCCAAGTGTAGGTTGATTGTTGATTTGATTGTTTGTTACTATTAATATGATTAACGTTCAATATTGTCTGTAATACTTGAAAAATTATAATCAAATCTAATTAACATTTAATCAAATCAACACAGAATTGGTAATTAAGATTATCATTAATCAACACGATAAATGAAATAACTAAATAATGTTTGTTATTATTTCACTTTGATCATAATTAACTAAATCATTGAAAACAATCAAGGTAAAACACTGATGACAATCATTATTAATGAACAAAACTAATTGTCCAACAAACCAAGAAAAATTAATCATTAACTGATTTTAATCACAATTTGATAATCTTGTTAATCGTTATTAATATTTATGAACAAAACAAATTGATTATCGTCCCAACCTATCAAAAAATAATACAAATTTTTGATATTTACCATTTAATTGTTGTAGCTTAAGGCATTGGTTTAATTATTATTACAACAATTAATATTTAATTTTTTCTAATTCTTGATTCACTAATCAACGCCTTAATCATTAATTAGTCTTTCTATTTGTTCATCACAAGAATCTGATTCACTTTCAATTACTTTTGCTTTACTTTTATTTTTGCTTTCATTATTTAACTGTAACTTTAACTTATACACAATCAATACAACAATTTACTGATTGTTGATTTACCTTCATCACTAACAACAATCAAGAGACACTCACACAATCACAATTGTGTCTATTTTTTTGACTGATAGATTTGCTTTTAAAATATGAACAGAAACCCTGCTGAAGTTTAATTGTGATCAAAAAAGTAATCAAACAATTAAAAACTAGAATCAAATTGTTGACGATGATGAAACAACATCAACTGTCAAGGTTTATGCTGTCAACACCCCGATGATCACTGTTTTTTTGTGAACAATTTGTTGATTGTTAGATTTTCAATCTTGATCATCAAATATTGTTCTTAACCATTGTGTTCACACTCAAAGTTAATTAGTGAACACACCTTATCAACTCGTTCACTTATTAACCAATACTTATTAACAATTAACCATACAAGTGACGATGAACAATATCAACAATATAATAATTAAGATTAAACAACAATTAACTCAATCACTAGACAATCAAATCCTATTTTTTTGTTCATTTTATTATCTGGATCCTTGTTGATTAAAATTTTTCACGAATATTTAACTTTGATCATGATTAAACTAATCACAGCATTATAATACTATCAGAAGCGGGTAACAATTAACAATTATGATTGTTTGCTAATGTAAATTAGCTCAAATAGTTAATTAGTTTGCGTAGGCTGAACTTAATGATTAAAACGTTGATTAACAATCAATGATTTCTTAATGAACTCATTCATTATTTTTGTTTGATCTGACATTCATTGGAAGACAATCAAATATTAACAACTTGTTCATTTAACTAATCAAACTAATCAAGAAAAGTTAATTGATAATCATCACCATATTGACGTGTTAATTAACTTTATTAACAGTTAGTTAACAAGTTAATAGACTTAATTTTAATTCTATCATAAAGAAAATGATCAAAAAAAAAAGGATGAAATTTTTTCTCATTCGGAAACATCATCTCTTTATTATTTTCACCAATTCGTTACTATTGTCATCAGAACTATTATTATTTACCTTTTATTATCATTATCATCATTTATGATTATCATTATTTAATAATATATATTTGATTCGTTGATCAGTTAACATGACTACTATTTACCTGTTCGGCTGATTAACTGTCAAATTAACGGAATTGAAATGGTTGAAAGGATTAGAGTTGCTTCAATAGCTTTTCAAGTAACAATCAGGTAATACACACAATCCACAATAGTAATAAATAGACAGAGATTAGGAAAGAGTATTAATAATGATGATAATGATGATGATAAGTGTGTATAAATATATATATTTATCTGAATGAACATCCAATAATCGGCTGAATGAATTAATGATTGTAAAATCAAATAAATTGTGTTTACTTGTTGATATTGATACAAATTATTATTATAAAGTTGTAGCTTTTTAAATGATTAGCTGATTGAGTAACTATCAATACAATAAAGTTTTTTTTTGTCATCATCATAATAATATTAATGATGAGGATGAATATGAAAATTAAAGTTTCATCTTCAAAACCATTTTCTGGTTAAAATGAAGATAAAGATGATTAGGATGATAATGATTAAGATTAACTGTAAATTGTCAACTGTAATGTTGATAACGAATAAAAAAATCAACGTGATCACGATTAAGATGATCGTTTTGAAGATGAATTTCAGTCCTAACGAAGTGAAGTCGTAAGTACGATTGTGAAGATAAAGATGATGATGATGATGAATGCTTTGGATAAATGAGATGATGATTGTGATGATAGGGATGAGGTTAGAATTAGGATGAAAAAAAACTGTTATTACGGTTAAGATGAGGATGGAGTTGATGATGAAGAAAAAAACATAAAAATTGTCATGAAAATGATACCAAAAACAGTGAAAATTGTAGTTAATCAGTTGATTAACTAATCATTTTGGTTCCTTGCTTTTTTATTTAACTCTCTCTCTCTCTTTTCACTATTTTTTGTGATTTAATTATAACTAAATTCAGTTATTTAACTGAATTACCTTGGAGGCGAAAGGTAATCAGTTTCTTATATTAAGATTCAATTGAAAAAATTTCCGTATATTTTTTCATTTCATATAAATTATATTCATCATCTTCTTGATTTAATGTATATTAAATGAAGAGCAATCAAAAACATCATGAAGATATTTGTATCTAAATTTAAAACATTATCAACTAATCAGCTTAATCACCAAGAATCATCATCAGTTTTTCATTCAGGGTTGAATATTTCATTTGATTGTTAATCCATTAGATCAATCAATTTAAATCCCCTGACGATGATTAACTTAATATCATGTTGATGATTCTGGTTTAATTAGTTAATCGACAATTTAAATTTGAATGTTGAATGAATTTTTTTTTACCTCTTTTGCTTTGAAACTTTTCATTTTCATTGTTATGGATTGTTGATTTTTACCAACAATTAACTAATTCTTATTTAAATATACATGATTAACAGCGGTTTCCAATTTCAATAACAATTACTTGATACATTTGGTTATTTAGTAAATCAAATCAAACAATTAAATATCAATTGTTAATCTTTTTTTCCCTTTCTGTCACTTTCCTTTAAGCCTTAATTGTTAAACCATAATCAGGTATGATTATTGTTATATTGGTTGATTGTTATGCTGATTTATATCTGTTACAAGTTAATTTACCTCTCAAGTTAATCATAATCATTAGTTAATCGCTTTCTCGATTATCAATTGATTAGTAAGTAGTTAGAAATAATTATGTAATGATTGGGCTATTAAGAAGCGATTAAGTTATTATCGGTAATTATTATTATCGATTGTCAATTAAATTTTATCGCTTTAATTTAGTTAAGTAAAATTAACTGTGTAGTTTTAAATTGTTACTTAATTGTATCGGAATAATTAGCATAATTTGATTAGAGTGATTTTCATTAATTTCTATTGGAGAAAAAAACTTTCAGGAAATTTACTCTTATGAATTAAATTAAATTAAATTAAGCTTGACATTAATTGCGAATTGTAATTAATGTGAGATAATCTGGTTTTCTGTTTCTTTGATTATCCGATTAACAATTAAACATTAAATTGTCACTTTTTTTTCGTACACTGAAAATCAGGAGTTAAATTGTTTATCGATAATCAATTACCAGTGACCATATGATTACTTGTATTAAGTGGATATGTTGGATTAATATCTTGATAATGGTTAACGGGGTTTGTAATTATTATTGTTACAATTGATTTTGAGTGTTGATAAAAATTGAAAATCATATTCAATTGTATTGCTAATACCAAGTAAACTTGATAATCAAGCAGAATTGAGGTTAAGTTTATCAACATTTCCAGAGGCATTTGATTATCACCACACTTAATCACTATTATTATATCATATCAGTTGTGTCTTTGATTGCGCCTTCATTTTTCAGAATCATATTGTCACTATTGATGAAATAATTATATCCATTACCATCGAGTGTGTGTATATGTTTAAAAAGCTTTCACTTTCCAATCCTGAGGCTATGATGTAATAATAAGAACCAAATATTGTTTCTGCTTCATTGATTGTTGGTGTCGATAAGAAACCGTTAGAGTTGATCGTAATTGGACTGTGATAATTTTATTCAAGGCACATCTACGCAAACACATTCACTCACAAAAATGAGATGAAAATTATATCACAACCTTTAAGAGTTGATTTCGTTTTCATTTTCACGTTCAATTTCGTTGTTATCTATTTCAACGGCAACAGGTTAGATAGATTATCATCATTATCATCAACAGAGCGAGAGTCAAGTAGTATGGTGACATTTTTTTGCTTCTATTGGTGAACCAACATCAGTAGTTAATTGGGACAAACAGATAACAGTGTATTAAATGGTTGGTGTTGGTGAAACGTGCTAAGCAGAGATAATCTATTAGCTTAAAGGTTGTTGTTTATACCAATCCTCAACCTTTATCCTTCTTTCAATGTCACCAATTGGTATAATTGATTAACAAATTGAGTATAAGAGTGAGTATATATATTAATATATATATCTCTCTCTCATCAAGATGAATAATTAGTTGATGTGACAATTAGATGTTCATTGCTTATAAACAATTATCCCAAATCACTGATACTAACACCAAATAAGCAAAACCATCATCACCTTTAACAGGATCATCGTGATTATGATTAGCATAAATAATTTGCAGAAATCAATTGGTTACATTAATTGGTTTGAAGAAACAAAAAAAATCACTTCCAAGGTTAAGAAGGGGTAATAATCTTGATGTATAAAGGTTAGTCTTTAGGGTGAAAACAAATATCAGGTCCTTTCTACCTTCATTCGTTACCATGTTACGTGATTTTCATTATGAACCTGGAATATGTTAAGAAAAAGAGAAGAAGCAAAAAAAGAATAAAAATAATTTCTAATGAAAGAAGATTAATTTACTTACAGGTATAAATAATCATTAACAATCAACTAAATTTAACCTAATTAATCAAGAAACTACAAATTAGGAATCACCGATATTCAGAATAATCAACAAACAACAATGGTAAACATAATGGTAGATGAGAGACTTACCTTTTTTTTATGAAAAGAATTAACAATTTATGTTGGAAAAAGAGAGAAGCTGTGAAAACATTATTCCAATTGATTAATCACTGATTCTTTAATAATCCGTTGATTAAAAAAAAAGGTTTTATTACAATTTAGGTTAAAACGTATTAAAAATAATTCCATCAACAATTAACTTGACCAAAATGAGAAACAAATAGAAAACAAGATTGACATTGAAATGAACCAATAGGAGAACAGAGATTTTCCCATAGCAACTGTTTCCCTCCAAAAGGAAACATTTATGTTGATCATTATGTTAATTGTTTCTGTTTCTTAATCATAACTTGACCTTAACTAATTAATTTAAATTTGGAATTTTGATTTTGTTTTGTTTTTGTTTGCATTCGTTTGTTTTGATTGATGGTCTTTAGTTTTAATAATTTTGTTCTTTTCTTTGTTCTTCTACTTAAATAGTCACTCATTTGGCGAGAAATTTTCAACCAGTCAATGGCACAAGGAGATTCATGGACAACGTGAAGTTTTGTATCTTTATGGTGGTGTTAAGATGGAGGATGTTAGAGGAATGAGAGCTCCGTTCTTGCAAATTGGTGGAAATAAAATGTTCCAAATGTTGTACAACGATAATTTCACTTATGATTCATCAATGCCCGTGTTTGACAATAAGCCACCATTTTGGCCTTACACTTTGGATTATTCTGTTAACCATGAGTGTATGATTGCTCCTTGTCCAACTGAATCATTTCCTGGTGTCTGGGAAGTTGGTAAGTAAACAGATTCATTTATTATCATATTTTTTTCTTTGCAGTGAGAATCAAATTAATTAAAAATCTTGGCTAATTGTATTGATAACAATAACCCTTTGTTGGAATATCAACTAAAAGCCAACACCCTTTCTTATATTCTAATCACTTTCTCTTCATTTGTTTTCCGTTTTCATGGAAACCTTGGTGATGGTGTTTATCAAAATCTATTGAGATTAAAATCTCACTCATCCTATCATTTCGAATCCATTAATTGAATAAGTGCTACATCTTTCTCAAACCCTCTCTCACCTTATTCCAAAGTGTAAATGAGAGAATTTGATAGAGAAAGTGAAAGATAACCTTTCTCCATCTTCCTCAAGTCGGAAGTGGTGAAAAAAAAAATAATGAAGACTTGATTGAGACACTTTAATGAGAAATTTGGAAAGATAAAGAGAATCGTGTTATTGTTTATTCATTTTACGTTGACGTTGTTGATAATAAGCGATATTAAAGCACATCAACAACAACTTTCGTTTGCAAGTAGTTACTTTACTGACCGTGTCTCACGATCAACCAAATTTCATCCCAGCAAAAGTATAATAACGTTGGTGGATCACGGATTTTGTTTTTCTTTCCTATCTGAACACAAGCGATGTTGATGATTAAGAAAGAAAAAAGCAAAATAATCAACATAAATACTGTAACTTGGGCTCGTTATCATCAACAGAAAGGAAAACAACTTCTTCTTTTCATCATGATCATCATCTTGATTCAGAACCAGAATCATATCCGATAGTTTTTTCTTAATTATTCTTCATGTTTACTGTTTTCATTTCTCTTTCTACCTTAGATGATAAACAATTCAAAACGATTCTTGTTATCGAGAAGGAAAAAAAACTATTCCATTCTTTTCTAATCTGATTCCTATTTATCATCATTCACCATGTATTATAATTGTTGCTCCGAATCGTGTGACCGACCGCAAACAGATCATCATCATCATCATCATCATCACAATTAAACTCAAGTAATACACTTTATCTTCAACAATTTAACCAAATGCTACTTTACTTTGATATTAATCAGAGATCCTATTAACCTGTAAACTCAATTGTACACAATTGAAATCAATCAACTCTCAAAGATGATTAAAAAGACTCCCTTAAGTTATTGTTATGATGATGATGATCTAATCATGTCCGATGTTAAGTCCGTTGTCTTCCGGATTACTCCTTATTTCACTTTCCACTTTTCTCTTTCAATTTTTTTATTCATTATCTTTTCTAATTATTATCATGATGATGATGAAAAAAGAGCCAACTAATCAAATTGGATTATTGTAACTATTATTATCATTACTTTTTGAACAAAAGGACTACTATTGATGATTAATATGGATTGATGATGATGATGATGATTATCATCATAATCTTGATGATTTAAAAGTAAAGAGTTACATCATTTCATTTGTTACTTAAGATAATGATATTAACTTTTTTAGCTTGCAGTTAATTAACTTATTGATGTGATGACGATGAAAAGTAACATAAATCCCAATTTCCGGTTTCCTCAGGAGGCCATCAGTTTATTGTTCCAGGTCAATTATTAGATTAATTTAACTTATTTAAAGTAATCAACTTTGTTTCAATCGGATTTACCGATTTACCACCAATCACCTAATCACTTTCAATTTTAAAATGTTCAACGATGATGATTAAGATGATTATCATCATTTGGATAATCAACTGCAACTTTTACAATGTTGATTTTACACTTTACGTGATTTCATTTTCAATTGAAAGCTATTAACTTGATTATCGACTAATTTTAAATTGTGAACATTATGATTTCTTTTAATCATCATCTCCAATTATCATTATTATTATTAACTGCAAGTTAACACGTTAAACCCGATTGAGTAATTAATTTTGAAAGAATTGAAATCGTGTTGTCCATTTCCGTGGACTCGAAACTTTTTAGACTTTTATTATAACGAAAACATTTACTTTTCATTTAAAAACCAAATGAAAACAATTAATTTAATCAATCTAACTCATTGATCTGAGTTAATTTACTAATCCATAACCAAGTGAATTTAAATTGTTACTTGTTCACATTTTCCAAGATCCTCTCTTTTCAATGTATCTTAATACTCTCTGCGGTGAACAAGGATTTAATTTGATGATAATCTTATTTGGGTCAGTAATTTAGTCTCAAATTTTAGCTTTTCTGTTGTGTATCTTTAAATTACTATTAAAAATTAATAAGAATCAGGTATTAGCTTATTAATTATTTCATTTTGTTTTAACGATTTTAAATCTTTCTTAATGTTTTTTCACTTTGAAACGTTGTCTCGTAATCGGTGTTGGTTTTTTACTGTTTGTTTACATTATCATGTAATAGTTAACTAACTTTTCTTGTATTAATTCATTAAGAGTGAGAGAGAGAGAGAGTATTGAAAATGATCAACAATATAAGAGAAAGGAGATTGAAAATGGTTATGCTGATGGCGATGGTGATGGTGATTAAGATGATGATGAGGACGAGGACGATGTTGATGATGGTAATTGTGTGTAATTGTAACAGCGAAGCTCAAGTTTTCATTAATGTTTCTTGTTTTAAGGTCAATCAAGGTTTTCATCAATTGCGAATCTAATTATTGTAACATTTGAATGTTGTAATTTTAAAATCATCATCAAAACGATAATATCATCATCATCTTTATCATCATTCATCTCACAAATAAGCTTAGTGAAAGTGAATGTGTGTTCCCTAAGAAGTTTCGTCTTCCTGGTTGATTAGTTTAAAATTAATTGTTATGTATTAGAGATGATGATAGATTAACTGTAGTAGTAGTTAGTTGATTAATTAGACTTGGGTCAAAGCGAATCAAAACTTTCTGTTCAATTTAATTTCATTTTTTCTGCTTTTCTACTCTCATCATCATCGACATCATTATCAACAATTTCAACAACAATTAAACAAAGCGTTTTGTTTCAATTTAACCTCTACTCTCTTTTTAATGATTAATAGCAACTAAATGAATGTTGATTAAAATGTTGATTAAGATGATGATGTTGTTAGTAGTGCAATCATAATGATAGGTTAGGTTACCTTTTTTTTCCGCTTCTTTCATTTGGAGTTTGAAAAAACGCTGAAACAAATACGATTCTCGTATCTTTCATCTAATTAGTCTAATTTTATTCTTATTGAGTTCAATTAAGAGAACTTGAAATTAATTATAATCAAAAATTTAAGACTCAAAATGAATTAGTTAATTGATTGTTCGATTTTCATTGTTAATCGTCGATTGAGGGTCAATATTAGACAATAATGATTCTAACTTGAGGTAATACTTTCGTTCCGTTTGTTGTTATTGTTGATTTTTTCTCGAAATTTTCGAACTGTTTTAGAACTTTTTTTCTTCTTTTCGATTTGTCTGTACTTTCCTTTTCTCGTTTTCTACCCAAAAAAAGCTTCACTTTCACACGATCTTAACCACAATTTAATACTCACACGCATTTTAAACGCAACAATCAACTAACTATTTATGAGGTCAATTAACAGGCGTTCAAAATGATGATTATGCTTCTGAATCTAAAATGATATTAACTGTTTTTATGCGCTGGCGGTTCCACTTAGGGACAAGGTCAATCATCGTATTTGACAATTATTCAATTTGTCTATTCTTAATTGCTTATTACTCATAATCTGTGTAAATCTAATCAATCACTGAATCTTAATCATGATTCTCGTTAATCTTAATCTGACATCTTATTTGTCAATTTCATCTCGATTCGGTTTATGTTTATTTAGTTCACCTTAAGCTTTTGCTTTTCAGTTTAATTGTTTAATTGAAAATTAACTATTGATAATGAGTCTTAATTATCTTAGATGATAACTGATTAAATATCATTTACCACACCTTAACATTTATACACCACAAATTGATGTTGGTTAATTAATCAATATCAGAACTGTTTACCAAAACAAACAAATCAAATATTAGCCCAATCAATTTACTAATTATCACTTCATCTTCGTATCCTCAATCAAACCATCAGATTGGTGATTTTTCACAATTAATCTTAATTTTTACCTTTGAATTTAATTTGGTTCATTAATCTATTAATACATAACTCATTTACTATATATTTTACTATCTCTTTATTAGGATATACTCATAATATGTTGGATGCCGTTGATTAATTAATATTGATTCTTATCTTGTGAATCGTTATCTCCAATTAAGATTTAATTTTCTCTTATTTTTTAATTCAATTTATCCTCAGGTATGGTTATGTGGGAAGATCTTCGAGGTGGCCGATGTTCAATGGGCGACGCTTGTTCAAACCCAAGTGATGAGGATGGTGTTTATAATATGCTTTTACGTAACTTTAAACGTCATTACAACTCAAATCGGGCTCCGTTCGGCCTTTACTATCATTCCGCTTGGTTTAACACTGCCCATCACCGCAAGGGATTCATGAAGTTCATTGATGAAATTTTATCCTATGGAGATGTTTATTTTACCACCAAATGGCAAATGCTCCAGTGGGTCCGTGATCCCACTCCTCTCTCATCAGTTAATTCATTTGAACCATGGGACTGTAAAAAATTGGTTGAATCACGACCTGGACCTTGTAACCATCCGACTGTTTGTAACGTTCGTGGTCAACATGGTCATCGTTTCATGAAAACATGTCAATCATGTCCATCTTTTTACCCTTGGCTCGGTAAAACTGGACTTTAAGTCCAACTCATTAGACACAATTAACAATTTAGTATTTTTTCAATATTTTACTATTTAGTTTGTTTATTATTAGTTAATTTAATGAACTCAAGGAAAAACAATCAAGAGACCATAAAGACAACAAAAATTAGGTAATTCAATATAATACCTAAGAGTCAACCTTTAATATATCGAACAACGTTAATTGTGATCAAACAACTGACTCTCTAATTATCGTTGATCTTGCAAACCAATTTTCTCAATTGATTCTTCATCAACATGGTCAATCTTGATTTACTTTTCTCGCCATTCCCTTATTACTGCTGATAATTTGAAACGTTTCCTAATCATCATCATCAAACATCATCAATGGATCAGGAATTAAACGTTCAACTGCGCAACGGGTGATAATTATATTTATAACCATCATTTTTTGTAACAAGTGAAAACTTCATCTTTAGGCTCAAGCCCATTCTCTGTAACAATCATCCTTTTCATCCTCATCTTCATCATCACTTTTCCATATTCATCCTTGCCAATACTCTCTCTTTCTCTCTCATCATCACAATCTTCCAGTTTTTCTCTTCATCCAGTGCTGATCATCTTCTTCACATGATGTGCCAAGGTAGAGAAATTAACATAATTTAAATCACTCCTCTAATTAATCTTCAATCATTAAACCAATTTACATCTTCATTGACACAACATTTGGAAGATTTGAAAATTTTTAATTATTCTCAAAGTGGATCAAGAAAAATCTCACTTTCGTCGATAATCATTTAGATTAATTCAATAATCAACCTAAATCTACTAAAGGAGAATCAATTTCGATGGCGATTCAACAATCAATTCAAAAAAAAAACAAACTGATTTACTTTGGTTCCGGTTTTTAGGAGAAGAAGAAAAAACAATTTACTTTAATTTGAATTAAGAATTTAAAGTGAAAAGTTAATTGTGATCATTGCCATTCATCATGCATATTTAACCCTTTGAACACCTTTAATTGCAATTAAATCAGTTGATGTTAATCACGCTGCCATGAGAAGATCAACTTTCCACCACGAAAGTTACAATCACCATTGATTGTTGAAATTAATTAAACTCATAACTCTCTAGTCTGATTAATGATAATGATAAATAATCAACCTGATTAATAAGATAATAATAACACGGATGATAAATGAAGTGAATGCCAAGCCGCAATTAGTTAATTGTTTAATATCAACAATTAATACACGCACATATATATGTACATACATATGTAGATAAATTACATTAATTTGATGACAATCAGTTAATTATCATTATTATTATCATATTAAGTTGATTTTTATATATAAATATAAATATTGAATGTAACTAAAAAATGTATCAATGTGATTGTATTTCATCATCAATCAACAATTAATGTCAACCCGTCTTCCAGTTTGTCACCTCAACCTTTTGTAACCTTTTCCTCTTCCACTCCCGAAATCAGCATCATCATCATAATCATCATCATCACCTCCTCATCCTCCTCGCAATTAACTCTCGATATGTAATTTCATTGTTTCTTTGTTAATCCCATTATCCCAATCATACTCTCTCTCTCTCTCACTCTCTCACTCTGTCTTATTATTTCAAGCTACTCTCTCTCTCTCTCTTCTGTCATCCTCATCATTATTATCATCTTAATCTTAATCATCATCATGAACAATTTCAAAAATAAATGTTATTATTTTGTCATTACAAACTTGATTTATCCTTTTATTTTCATTCTTTTTCATGGAACCTCTTTAATTTTATTAATCTACTTGAATTATCTTCCACTAATTAATTGTAAATCTAATTAGAGAGAGAAAAAAAATTATTTGAGAAAAACCATTCGAAAGTGCTCATAATTAACTATTTCACAATTTGAAACCATCAGTAATCAATTAATTGTAGGATTTAATTATTTCATGGTTAAAGAAAAGCAAAAAAAACTCCATTCAGCTCATCTTTCAATTTTGATGTAACAACAATTTCAACAATCAGCAACAATTTAACAACCATTTAAAAAGTTAACTAACTATTATAAGATGAGATTGAGAAAAAATTGAAAACAACAATTTAATTGAATTAAAAGTCGATCAACAATTAACTGATCACTTTGGTATTAAGGCCTTAGAGTGATGAATGTGAAAATGTATTGACAACAATTTTAATTGCTTATAATTAAATGATTGGTCACAAACCCCTTTGGTCACTTTGACTTTTAATTAACTGTGAATATTTAATGTTTTTAATCATTTTATTGATCATAATCAACTGATCATTAATTGTTGTTTTCAATTTTTTTTCCTTTCTTTTATGTGTATCGGAAACAGATTTTGAAATTTTTCATTGAAATTTTGTTTTTACGAACAATTTAAATTGTTATCAGGTCAATTACAATTAAATTTAATGATTTAATAATCTTGTCACCATTTTAAGAGGTCAGTTGTTGTTAACTGTTGTTAGTTTCATTACAATTAACTTAAATTAATGATTGTCCATTTAAAGATTTTATAACAAACTATTAATTAACCCTAAGGAAAGACAATTAAAATTGATTCTCAATGGTAACTGTCTCATTGAACAATTACAATTAGTATAATTAACCTTGTATGATAGTTGATTAAATTGTCATTTCTTTGTTTATAACAATCTTGTTTCTCTGCTAATTATAATCAATTTGATTATTAAATCATTTCTTTCCCTGTAATTGATTGTAAGTAATAAAAACAGTTATTAAAATGTGATCAAATTTGATTGGATAACAATTAACTTCTGTAATTATTTAGGAATTAAATTGTTCATTTAATTGTAACCACTCCTTTGCCATTAGCTAAATCACAATTTGTGTGGTAATTCAATTAAATTGTGACTATAAATTGATAAACTTTAAGTCAAATCAACACTTGAGCTTAAATTTTGTTTGTGGTTATTTTTGTTTTGTTTTTTTTTCTTGATTGTTGTTGATTAATTTTGATTAACTTTTTAATTCTCGCCCACTTTTTAATTGAGTATTTAGTTTTATCTTTGCTGAACATTATTTCAATGTAACATTTACTTTTAATTACCATTATTAAGATATTCCAGTCATCTGAGTTGATTAGTAACAATCAATAGATTGTTTTTTAATTACAAACGATCAGATTGAGTTTGATTTTTGTTTCATTTTCTTTGAAAAATTGTGTTAATTATCAATAATTGTTAACATTTAGCTGAATAAATTTGGTATTTCTCCCATTGATATTAAATCAACCACTTTCTCTGGATCATAATCATTAGCTGAAAGTAGATCCTTAACAACTGAATCAGTTAATTGTGGGAAAAACTCTTTAATTTGTGCGACCATTGATGCTAATCGATTTGGATTAATTTGATTCGGTTTATTGTTGTCCTTTGAGATCCATTTCTGGTTTGAGTTGCCTCCGAATACTTTAATTTAGCTAATAAATTTGGATTAAATCCTATTGAAATTAAGAGAGAGAAAACAAACAAATTAATTATTAATAATTGTTGAAGATTCTAAAAGTCTAATTATTGATACTTGTCATCTGAAGTATTTGAATTACCATTAATATTATTGGCTGATGAGTTAGCATGCTTAATATTATCTGATGAATTGTAACTTGGTTTAATTGTTGTAGTTTTTGACGATGAAAATGAGGTTGATGATGATTTGATTGTTGAATTTCCTTGATTGCTGGCAATTACATTGAATAAATAGTCAATACGACTTGGATCAACTGAACGAAAACCAGTTAAATCAGCTTTTTCCATAAGAAGACAAATATCCGAATCAAATGAATATTTAGTGAAATAATCTTTAGAGAAACTGAAATAATAGGAACAATGATTAGTTAATTATTCACCGAAAAAGAGACAATTAACTCACCATGAACTTGAAGTAGCGATAGAGATCATATCTAAATATTCATCTATTAAAACAGTTTTCTCGTCCAGGGAAATTCTAAACAAAAGAAAACAAATTAGTCTCATAAAATCAAATACAATCAAACAATTTGAACAATTAACTAACCTGTCATCAAGTAGATTATCAAGAGAATCAAATTTAATCATATTACGAAAAGCTTTAACAAGGCAGCATCGAGATATGGTAAGAAAACGAATGATGGTTTCTGAGGCTCTGGAAAAAAACGGAAAATGGACTCGGATTAAATTTCGTCGATTAATATGGATTAGATTGAGAAATTACTTTTTGGCTTTAGCGTCTTTGGCGAATCGTGAGGTCAATTCATCCTTTAGTTTGGGAAAAAGATTCTCATAAAAATCAACTAGACTTGCATCGAAACGAGCCGATCGATAGGATCGAGCGGCTGTCGGTGAAATCGATATGAGGAATGAAATTGGGACAACGGTTCCGACGATTTGTTCAATGATACCAAAAATATGGCTCCAGGTCAAAGTTGAGATTAAGGTTGTGTGTTGAGAATCAACTACAACCCGTTCACCTCCACCGGTAAGGCCAAGTTCTGAAATGATTTTGGTCAATTTATCCTTTCCAAGGCTAACCGATGATTCCAAGTTTTTTATTAAATCCGGATGACAATTTAAAACAGTTTCAACCATAGAAGTTAATTTTTGATTAGTTGCAGGATAAATGTTTCCATAGATCGCACAAAGATCCATAAGTAAAGGAATATCGAAAATCTTTTTCTCCAATATCATTTTTCCATAATAATCAGGGGACATACAATTTTTCTGTTGAAATAATAGAAAAAAAGTAAAATTAGTATGAACCATTTAGTCTACTGGTCAATGGTTAATAAAATTGTGACCAATTAAACATAAAACACTCACTGGATCTTCAGTACAAGTTGACAATCTACAATAAACTTTAAACACTGATTTATGGATTGAATTGGCAGCATAATTAAGATTCTCGTCCAGATTAACCGGGGCCATGTAGAAACGAGGGGCATTATTGATGTATGAACGTAAGCCCATGTTGACATTAGAATCGAATATCATTGTGGACCAAAATCTGTACACGAAATTTTCGATAAAGAGAATAAAGATTACAACAAATTTTAGTTCTATTCTCTTGTCAAAATTTTCTCTTTCAATCGATGAGAACAGTTTTACCTATGATAAGGTAGCCTTAAGATGATGTGAAGGTTAGATTCAAAGTCAATAATCCTCGCGATTATATCATCAGCCGGTAAACGAGATTGAAATTCAGAGTTTTGGAAAGTAGGTAATGGAAGAAATCGGAAATGGTCAATGGGATGGACAAAAGATTGATGCTAAAAAAGAAGAGAGAAAATGACAATCATTACTAATCATATTAGAATTTGAAATAATCAATTTAGTCTCATTGAGACAATTAAACTAAATCCAAAAGCCGTTTACTCACCAATGCTGCTAAATGTTTCTTACCACGATCACCTGAAACGCTAACTGTCCTTTGGTTAACCAGCTTATCATTATTATTTGGCCTCTATCAGGTAGATAATAGGAAATAATGAAGGGGACAAAGTGAGAACAATTAATTATTAAAAATAAGAAAATGAAAACATAAAGAAATTGAAAGAAAAGCTAAACATTGGCTTACCCGATAATCTCTTTCTGGTCCTCTCATTTTGGGAACTTTTGGACGGACAGAAGGCCCTGGGTGATTGTTATTTCTATGATGATGACCATCCATGTTTATTGTTGAGTAAAATAGAAAAAGAATTCAAAAATCAACAGAAATAAATTAGTTAAAAACAATTGAAAAGAGAAAACAAAAAAAAAACAAACTGCTCTTAATTCACTTGCAACGTCAGGATAGAGTAAAAACCAAATAGTAAACAAATACACAAATTCGTACAAATAGACAAATATTTGTACAAATAAGCAAACCACTGTCCAAATGGTTTAAAAAGCTTGTTTTGGTCATTTTTAGTTACAATTCCAATGTGTTCAGTTTAAATTTTTCTATTGTGATTTTTTCAATTATTTTCTTTGTTTTACACTGAATTTTACAATTTATATTTTTCATTTGTTCTAATTAAATAATCATGGAAAAGAGAGTAACAAGATCATCAACAGTAAGTGAATAATAAAAAAGTGTGAAATAACTAAACAACTAAAATCTGTATTCTGTTTTATTATTAGGTTAAATATGGAGAAATTGAATGGCCGGTTGAAACAATTTCTTTGGTCAAGAAAGAAGGACAAGTTAAGAGAAAGCTTAAGTGTATTTGGTATGCTGATACTAAAGATGTTACTTTAGATGATTCAGAAGATGAACTTGAATTCGAACCTTACGATCCTGAAATAAAGGACGTTAGTGAATTAATAGAAGAATCAAAGGCAGCAAAAATCAGAAAAAGAGGACAAGTTAGCTACAAATGTCCTCTTTGTGGCGCACCATTCCGGCCTGGACAGAAGGATGTAGCAGAGACTCATTTACATGGACGGAGAAACAGAGATGGGATCTCATGTCATGTCCTTCATGTGCTTCATGTCCGGCAAGAAAAGACCCTGCTCCTAAAGATGATTGTACAGAGAGACACACTGCCACTGTAATTCAAATCAAAAACTGATAAAATTTTTTGTAATTACCTCAAATTTAGTTTTAATTTTCATTGATTTTTAATATCTGAATAAAAATTTTACTTCGAACCGATGCATAAATCTTATCATATCTCAAAGGGAATTGACTGGGGTGGGAAATAGAGTTGACTCTTGATGTTCCAATGTTGACTGGGGTTTACTGGGGTGGGAAATAGAGTTGACTCTTGATGTTCCAATGTTGACTGGGGTTTACTGGGGTGGGAAATAGAGTTGACTCTTGATGTTCCAATGTTGACTGGGGTTGAGATAAATCATTAGATACTACTTCCAGACTCAGCACAGCTAGAGCATTTGTAATAGATTTCGCTCGTGGCTTCGACGCAATTTTTATGGAACCATTTTCTGCAAACTACACACATTAAAGAATCGGCTTTTAAGTGCTTATGAAATGGACAAATTACTTCAGAACATTGAGTAAACTCTATCTCATGTTCTAGGGTGTTAATAACCTTTTCAAATCCTGGTTCATTCACTATTTCGTTTGATTTGGTTACTTTTTTCAACTCCAGTCCATAGTGTTTAGTATTTAAACACGTTGGATGTTTAGAAACTTTCAGTTTTCTGACTATTGGCAACGGTGCTTTCGATAGAACATACTTAATCCAGTTTCTTGCACTATCAGAATTTTCGTATAACAACACTTTACGTCGAATAATACCTGCTGCATGAAATAGAGTGAAAACACCAGTCAAAACCATTATTTTGTTTTTGTGCGTCAGTAGCAACGACGAATTGCCAATCGCTCATTGCAAATTTGTTACCAGCGATTAATGTTGACAAAATAACGATTTTTAATAGCGAATGAAAATCATTCCAATAGTCATCAGAATTTAACGAATCAAATATGTATATGCTTTTCGACTTCCAAACAATTGCACCAAGAATCCAATGACATTTATTTTTATTCATAGGCACTAAAATTATATCTCTATTTAGAGCCTGATTCTCTTGAATATGTCGGACGACAGCAGATTTAGTCAAGATTTTTTTGGCAGTTGATATTGCAAAGTGTAAGATTGGATCGAATACGAAAATAACTTCATGTGATTTCCAGACATTCGAATAATGAATAAGAAAATCGTTAATCACAGTATCATGGAGGAACTTTTTGCTGTTCAAACAGGTAACATTCACGTTTGCTACTTTGAATGAAGTAGTTACTGATTCCTCTGTGTAAGCTGCTTCATCAGGTATCTGAAGAGTATTTTCTTCAATTTCATCCCCATTGGTTGTACTGCTTTGAGATCACTCAATGAAGCCACTATCTAAGTTTTAAATCCGGTAAGTTTCATTTTGTGAATAATTAACGTCGTCCTCTTCTGATGATTCATTCAGCTCTTTTTTTACAATTAATTGACTTGATTAATTGAATTTAATCAGGAGCAGCCAAGTACGGGGTCAATTTATCCTTCTTCCTTGGATTCTTTTTACCACCGACACGAGAAAATTTTTTCTAAATTTTACAAAGTCGATATGGAGTATTCTCAATTGTTTCAACTCAAGTCCTATTGTTTCAGCAACAGCTGTAATGTGAAAACATTTTACACCTTTGAAACAGCTGCATGAATTTACCATTCTTGATCTCACAGTGGCAAGAACTAGAAAAGGTCCTCGGACGATGAAATTTTCATTTTACGATTATATTCAATCTCATGTCTTCAAGTTCAGCCGATGCATCGTCATGAGCAGTACCATTTCTGGGATAACTTCAGTTTCTTTTAAATGGTTCACAATTTCGATAGTGGTCTTTATCACTTAGTTTAGATGTGATATCCAACTTCTTTGCTTGACTATACTCTTTCTTCGAGCAATAATTTCCTACTCCATCTATTGCTCGATTGAATTCTGATAAAATTGTGAGCTGAAATTTCAGAAGATCAATCATCAAAACTGGAATTTGTTTTTTCTTTCGATCTTGATACGACTTCAGCATATTGTTCAATGACTCACTTATATTATTTTAAATGCTTACATGTTGGTTCTCAAATGCTTGATATTCAAAGCATTAAAATAAGCAGCGTGATTAATGAGATCACTTTCTAAATTCTTTGTAGTATTTAACAATTCTGAGCTCATTGTCTTTTTTTTGAATAATTCAATACATCAAAATCTCTCTAGTCTCTGAATTCAATAATTGCTCAATGATACTTCGATATAGAATACTATCTTTGAGATTGCATCTGTTTTTCGCCAAATTTTTACATCTGAGACGATATGATTATAGCAAAAGATGGTTTGATAAGTACCCAGATGACCTTATAGCATTCACGATCGACTTTTCTCGATCAGTAACAATGGGAATGTGTTTCGTGATTTTTAACTTCTTGTTGACGAAGTTGTTCCAAAAAAAATTGTGGACTCCTTCATGCTTCTTGTCGTGAATCATAAACACAATGGGAAAAATTGGATCACCAACAAGCTCAGTATTTCTTGCACATAAAATTGATACGTAATAATTACCAAGATTGAATGTTGTGTCATAACTTAAAATTTGTTTTTCTACCTTGCGAGAATATACGATTTGTCAACTCAACGGCAGTTCTGCTTCCAAGTATAACAAGATCAGGAAGAACTTGATAAAAGTGTACTTCATTTTCTAGTTCCGATTTACCAAGAATGTAGCCTCCATAAAACTCATCGAGGCTCAATACGTTCCTATTATCATACTTTTCGACAATTTTTATCATTTGTGAATTCTCTGGAGTATGATGAAGTATAAATTTATCTTTCTTCTTCAAATACCATCAGGAATCATTTCTAAAGTGGCACTTTTACAACATTCTACATGTTTCATAACTGATCCAGCACTGTTCTTGCTCAACCAAATCAATTGTATCCTTAGCAATGCGAAATGAAGGTCTTTCTTTGAATTTCCATGTGGTCGTTTGATTGCTAATGTTTATCACCTTCATAGACCACAACACATATTTCAATACCTGGTCAAAAAATAATTACAAAATTTATGAGAATAGACGATAAAAGAGTATTAGCGCAACTTTCGTTGACTGGGGTTGACTGGGTTAAAAAGAAAACAAGAAACTTACCGTCCATCGTATAAATTAGCCTCTTAAACTTTGTTGATGTAACATTTTCCGGCTTCTTTTCCAATCAAAACATAGCTGGAAGCTTTTTAATATCCTCCTTCAGTTTTCTTGTAGGTCCAATGAACCACCACCCAAGGTCGATCCGATAATCGTTTCCTCTTTTCTTTAGAAGATGGCACACAACTGACTGGATCACACGGTACCATGGTATTAACAGGATTTATTCTGTAATAGTTCTAGAACTTCCATGTGTGTAACCTCAAAATCATCTGAAATTTTGTAATAAAAAACATTTGTAAATTCAAATTATCTATCAATGGTAAATTAATTTTACCTCTATTTGAGAATCAACACTCATCTTATTGCTGATTTGTTAAATTTAATGTAGAATCACAATTATAAAACACTTTAAAATCTAAATCCAAAAGCTAAATAAGCATTAAAATCTTTGAATGAAAACATTAATTGAAGTTTCTATTGCTTTTGATTTTGGCGGTATTTGTGGTATTTGTGTATTTGTTTGTTATTTGTCTATTTGCTTAGTACAGTAATATACCCACTTGAGTTGTACTCCACTTGAGTTGTTTTTTTTACATGCAGCGACATCTCTCGTAACTGAAATTAACCCTTTTCATTTGATGTTAACAAGTGTAATCACCATGAGGTACCTTATAAATAGTGATAAATTGAACATTCTGACTGAATTAGATTCTAATCGACAACAAGAACTTGCTAATAAGTATAATGTTACTCAACAAGCGATCTCGAAGATAAAAAAAAGAAAAGAGTGTTACCAGTCAGTGATAAAAAGTGAAAATGTAGCTCGTCGTTCACGTTGTCCATCAAGTAACCTTTATACTCTCCTCGACTCTTTAGTGTTTGAATTCATTCAATTATTAGAAGAAAGAAATTTACCTGTTGATGATAAGCTTATTAAAGCTAAAGCTCTTTCTGTTGCTCAGAGTTTAGGATTGAATTCATTTGTTGCTAGTGCTAATTGGTTTATGAAATTCAAGAAACGAAACGATGTGAGACGATTGAAACAACATGGTGAATCTCGATGTGTCGATCTCGAAGTTGTGGAGAATTGGTTTTTGAAATTACCTGATATTGTTAAAGATTTTGAACCCGATTGTATTTATAATGCTGATGAGTCAAGTTTCTATTGGAAAGCATTACCAACATCATCTTATCTTACAAGAGGGAGCGATCAACATGGAATCAAACAATCAAAACTCAGAGTCTCAGTCATGTTTTGTTGCAATCGTTTTGGAGGAAAAGAGAAGATAATGATTATTGGTTTTCGAGCTCGTCCTCATTGTTTTAAAAAATTTAATTATGATCTCTCAACTATCGGTGTTAATTACAAGTACAACAGTTCAAGCTACATGACATCAGCTCTATTCAATGAGTGGCTAGTTGAGTGGGATAATCGACTGATTGAAGAAAAAAAAAAGATTCTTTTGTTTGTTGATAACTGTCCAGCTCATAAATTAACTGCAGACCTGAAAAATATCACCTTGATCAAATTACCACCTAACACAACATCACACTGTCAACCTTTAGATTGTGGTATCATAGCTAATGTTAAGAACTTATACCGTTCTAAGATAATTCAACGACTCGCTCCCTCAGTCGAAAACGACATTAATTTGTTAGATTCACTCAAAGAATTACAATTGATTGATGGAATTGAAATGTTGCAAGGTTGTTGGTTTAATGTTAAACCAGATACTATTGTTAATTGTTACACTAAAGCTGGATTTCCATTAAATTAGATTGAACCTAATAGATGTCGCTGCATGTAAAAAAAACAACTCAAGTGGGTATATTACTGTATTTGTTTTTACCCTGGACCGCAACGTCAATGAGAAAGGGAAACAGCTGATTGAGGTTCGGTCTCAATGGTTGAGATTTAAAGCTGATTCATTTGTTTTCTTTTGCTCGTGTTTCAATTAATCTTATTTCCTATCAATTTAATTTGTCAACTAATTAATTATCTCAATCCTATCATCATCTAGAATACATATTGGATCTTTGATTCATATGAAAAGGTAATTATGTTTCTCTAAATTCATCTTATTCTCATCCAATTTTTTTCCTTCCCTTTTATGTTACTATGAAACTCTTTTTGTTTACATTTTCCTTTTGTTTTCATTTCTCTTTTAATCTGATTTAATTTAATTTCTAATTGTTTTTTTTTATTTATTTAAATTCACTTTTAATGGGATTAGTATAATTGGCTACTTTGAACTGATAAGAAAAATTGAAATTGTCCTGGTTTGATTATCTTTGCTCAGTAAGTGGTCACGTTTATCATGAAATATTTTGTTTCCTCTTTTTTGTTGATTGTTATTTGAAAATCTAATTTGTTTTGTTTTTGTTTTTTTTTTTTTACCATTAGACTGATACTGACAATTAACCTTGATTGTTACACATTCATCACCTGAATTTGATTAATTGCTGTGGTTTAATTTCAACTGCCTCTTCCTTGTACTTTCCAGCAATATCTCTTAGGAAAAGATTGGTTTACATTTCTAATTGATCATCTGGAATTGTTATTTATTCTGTGTAATAATCAGTTAATTGTTACCCTGGTAATTTCAATCCTCGGAACCATTCAAATTCAACAATGTCAACAACAGAGACTTCTAATAACAGTCAACAATTTAATTACAATGCTTTTTGGTTCATTACCTTTTGGGGTTTATTCACAACACTAATGCCAAATTTTGTTAAACTGGTAAGGATAATTTGAATAATTAATTGTATCAACTATTTACAATCTAATTGCAAGTTAATTTAATCTAATCAATCTGATTGATATTCTAAATTTATTTGTTTCATTTAGGTTTTATGGATTTTCTTCAAAGATTCACAGTTAGAGAAAAATTTGCGAAAACAAATAACAGAATTAAAAACAGAATTGGGAACAATCAATATGACTCAAGAATTTGTTAAATATGCTAAAATTCAGCGTAAAATTAATAAGATGACGGAAGATCTTAAAAATAGAGGTAAGTGATTAAATCAATTGAATTATAATCAATTTCATGTAAATTTTGTTTTCTTATCATACAGGTAATACTAAAACAATGCTCAAACTTAAGGTACAAGTTATTGTCTATGGTATTTGTTATGTTACTATGGTTAGTGAATATTTATCAAAATGATTAATTACATGTTATTATATGAATATATGATTAATCTAATTGTTTTCTAATCCATCAACAGGGTTTAACGACGACTTATTTAATTTGGTCTTATCGATATACACCATTGGCCAGGCTTGATCATAATCTTCTGTTTCCACTGGGACCAATTTTAGCGTTTCCAACGGGTGTCGAAGGCGCAATTGGCATAACTTGTTGGTTTTCAATGGTTACTTATTCCAGTCGAACTGTGAAACGTATTTTAAGTTCAACATGATCTAAAGATGGACCAAAGAGATGATCATTTTTGAATTAATCGCAATTTGATCCAGTCGCTTTTTCCCATTCATTTAAATAATCATCAGGATTCTGGATCAATGCAAACGATTAACCATTTTGTTTGTTTACATTTATCATCACCTTGATTATGAAACTTTTTTGTTTTGTTTTTACAGATCGAAGAATCAAGTTTTTTTGTACAAATCTCTTCGATTAGTTGAAGTGATAATAAATAGATTCGATGGATTGAAAATTTATTACGATTATTGTTCTGGTTCATCAAGATAATCGGCTTCTTGTTCCTTGGGTTCATCATCTATCCTTTCAATGAGTGTTTCCAATTTTGAAGAATCGATTGTTTCATTAACTCTCTTGATAACTTCGAGTTCTGATAGTGAATCTGGCTCAAGATGATCGGGTTTATCTCCAAAATCTTCCATAGTTTGTTCATTGGTAAAATCTTTAGGTGAAATAGTAGATTCATTGGTCTCCGTTGCGTCCATTGGTTCGGACTCTTCTTCATCGTTTTGTGATGACTTGAGAGAAAAGAGAAAAATTATTAAATTCGAGCGACTTATTGTCATTTTAATCTTGTGACTTACTGTAGTTTCTTGGGTAAGAATACGAGTTTCCTCTGGTAGAAGGAAATTATCAATTTCGTCGTCTATCATAATATCCTCTCTCTTTGGATTCTTGGCCAGAGCTTTTTTACTTTCGCTGTAGAAAGAGTTAGGGTGGGTTATACCGTCTTCGGGTAATTTATGTCCAGGATGACGAACCGAAAAGTAAACTGAACAAGCTTTTGAATAATTTTTCTCTTCTAAAAGAGTTTCGATTGACTCAATCACTTCATCACTCGCTCCTTTTCGTGATAAATATTTTTTCAGCATTCCAGGTTCGAAGTGTTTAAAAGGACAACCATGAATATCACCTATTCCAGGACTTGAATTGATAATCTTTTCACATCCATACGGACTGAAATCGACCTTTTTACCTTCTTTACCATAATTGTATCGAATACCATATCTATATTCTTTGTCAAATTTCTCGGGTGGAATTTTCTGGATAAACTCATCACGGAAAAATTTAATCGCATCTTCAAGTGACAGTCCGATTCCTTTGAGAAACAAACTGTAGTGTAATCGACCGTTATACTTTATGTGATGATTTTTACGTAAATTGAGATGAATGTTTTCCATACAGGGTGGGAAATGTTCAAGAGCTAAACCATCAACCATGTGAGGGGTGATCACTTCTTTAAGGTTTCCCGATGCATCGGTTTGCATTTTTCTGGCAGAAGCAATTTTCTTCATGTAAATATTGCTGATCAATGGAATCAAACGGTTATCTTCATCTGGTCGAGCTTGGACAAGTCGAGATAGAGCATAGTTTAGTTCACCTCTGAACCTGTGACAAATCAGAGAAATCATGTCATGGGTCGTGACATAAGCAAAACCTCTTTCAACATAAGCTTTACGCGTTCTAACAACATCCAACGCTTCTTCAAATCTGATCCGATAAATTGGAGCTTTATCATTATCATTGACTGTTAAACTATAGAATAAGGCGTTCTGTTTAAGATCACGACTTTCTTTTGAGTCATCCAGTGTTATGGGTTCGAAGTTCAATTGGTTATCAGCAATCATCTTGGCAACAATTTTCGATTGTTTATTAATTCCAACAGTTTCTTTCAACAATCGATATCGGAGAAGTTCAGATTCTCTGGCCACAAACCAATTCTTTTTATCCTGTGGCGTACAAAAGAATAGTCTCAATAGAAAATGTGAGATTTGATCTCGACGACGGGCATCGATTTTTAAAGCATTATGAGCACCCAAAGTTCGAGCATGAAGAGTTGTGATAAAATTATCACCATATTTTGTGGTGACCTGCTTTAAACGCTCAGTTATTGTACCAAGATGATCGGGTAGATTTTTTGTATGACCCATCTCACTAATTTTAAGTTCTTCAAACACTTCTAAAATGGAAAGACGCTCATCAACCATATCATTAACTTCAAGTAAATCAATTTTTCCAACCGGAGGGAAACTGTAGAAAGACAAATCATCAGTGGCTTCAGAATCTTGGATAACGGAGACATGCCCTTGGGTTTGCTTCCTTCGTTTAGGTGTCGGATTAGATTTGAAATCCATCTTACTAATGGAAAATGTATACACACAAACAAATTAAATAAAAGAAAAAAAACAATTAATACTAATTGGAAACAATTAAGAAAATCAAATTAAAAGAGAAACTGAAAAGAAACATAAACAATCAGACAAAAGATTTTCTCTCATCTTATGTTTAAAAGGCGCTTCGATTTCCCGCCGAATAGAACCAGGGACCGATTTCATATTTAGAATTGGAAATTTTTTCTACTAAAATCAAATTAACTTGTAATCGAAAAAAAAACCAATTAAGAAAATTAATTACAACTTTAATCGAATCCAGAAAAACAAAAACACTTGATTTAACCTCGAAAACAGTAAAGAAAAATATCCCAAAAAAACGACAACAATATGAACGTTTAAAAGAGAAAAAAAAAATTAAATTAGTTTTCTAATTGTTGCAAATTGGTAGAGTTAATTGTTGGTCAACAATACAAGTTAACTAATTAATAAAATGGTAATAATTTTATTAGGATTCACTATCAAGGTTGTTTGAATTGATTTGCTTAAATTGTTAAATCTACTTTTCGATTGTGATATTTGACTATTAAATTGAATTTGAAAAGTGGTCGAAATTAAAATGGCCGATGGTGAGAATGTGGATCATCATGGGGCAGTTGCCCAAGAACGGGATCCAACCGATGCGACCAACAAATCGCGTAAAATATTGACCAATGAAGGAGCTAAAAAAATAAACGACGAGGACGTTTTATTGACTCGCGAAGGTTACAAAATATTTCGAGAGCAAGTGGTCAATAAAGGTAAATTTGCCCAATATTATGCTGCTCGAACCTCGACTGGTATTGATTGTGTGGTCAAAGTTGTCCCATTGACCAGTTTAGCAATCAAATACAAGGAAAATCTTCAACGAGTAGGAACCAAAATCTTACGTCACCTTCAAGGTAACCCGAATGACCGAATCGTGTTTATAACCGACATTTATCTGACCAAGATAAAGTTGTACGTCTTCTGTGAGCCGATGACCATTGACCTCGAAAAATTGGCTAAAAAACAAGCATTGAAAGAAGATGATTTCAAATCATGGATCATGGATATTCTTAAGGGCCTTTACTATTTGTGGGAAAATTGTATTGGTCATCGAAATATTCAAGCGTCAAATATTGTCCTAACAAGTGACAGAAGTGTCGCCAAAATTACAGGATTTGGTATGTCAATGGTCACTTGGGATCCAGAAAAATCAGCTCCAATTTTTGCGGAAAAGGAAAAGGAATGGCATCACCATTTCTCCCCTGAGGCGATTAAAGGTGAATATGATGTTCATTGTAATGATATTTGGGGCGTTGGTTGTATTATTGGTCTTCTAATGTCCAGACGAAATTTCTTCGAAAAGAAAACAACTGATCATGTTTCCTCATTTAAAACTCATTTTCGTCGAAATGAGATAACCATGTCACCCGATTTAGAATGTTTCCTTTCTCGAATCTTCATTGCTGACCCAACCCAACGAGGAAATTTAATCGAACTGACCTCTCACCATTGGTTCGGCGGAGACCAAAGTCATGGACATTAAACAACTTCGAGCGAAAAGCTAATCAATTCCATCAATTGATTTGAAGAAGAAAAAAAAACGAAAATCGCTTCAATTTATCATCAGAAAAAAAGAAGAAAAAAATTCATATTCAAATTCTTAATTATGTTATTATCTTTCGAATGATTTAATTCTAATTATGTTTTTCTCTTAATTTTAATTGTTCTTTTGTTTATCAATCTCCAATTCTCAATCTAATTTTCAATCGTTGATTTCTGTTAAAATTAAATAGAAAATGATCTTATTATGAATAAATTTAAAGGGAATAGGAAAATTTCTTTCTACAATTAATGATTAATTCAATTGAAAGAATTAACTTAATTGTCACAAGTTTTTAATTAAGAACAAAATTTAAACAGAACCGCCAAATGTTGAAATTGAATCTCAGCTGTTGATCAACCGACTTGAGTTAATCTTCCCAATGAGATAATCGTTTTAATCAATCGTTTTATTCATGATTATTTATTAATTGGTTGTTAATTAAACTTAATCATTTTAATTGGTGAAATTCTATACTCTTAGTCTTTAATTGTTTCCCTTTCAAGTGACCAACAACATCGGAACAAAAGTAATTAATTGTTCTGAGAGTTGAAGGTTTTCATTTCTATCTTGGTGAGTATTCACTTTCTCTCTCATCTTTTTGTAATATTTTTTCATTCATTTTGATTGTAACAATTAATTGTAATTGATTATGATTTTTTTAGATTATTAATTTTTGTTCTTCATCTTTATCTCTCCCTCTTTCTATTCTATTTCTTCTTTTTCTTCTCTTTCTGAATCTCTGTCTATTTTTTTCTTCCATTTTCTCTTTTCATTTTTTTTCTCTTCTTTTTTCGGCTCTTTCGCTTTCTCTTTCTCTTCTCTAGTCTGGATACACCTACAAATGTTTTGTTAATTTGTTTTTCTCATCAAAAGAAGACCAATTTGTTTCTAATCTAAATTCTGTGTCAATTTTGTGCTTTCGTTATCTTTTTCTCTGTCATCATCTTGTCCAGTTAATTGTTACCATGGAACGTGGTGAAGTGGAGAAATTAAGAGAACATCTTTCTCTTCTAAGGGAACAATACGTCAAATTACAATCTAAAAATTCTGAAATTGAACGTAAATATAATGTTCTAGTGGCGAGTAGCGGTGAAACCAGTGAGAGTCATTTCGTTAATCGTTTGATGAAAACCATTGCCAATCTATTAGATAAAGATGATTATTCAGATTGTACCATTTGCCTGAAGGGTGGAGATGTTAAAGTTCATAAGTTTATCCTCACCTCTCGAGGTAACCATTGGGGTGCTGAAGATTTTAGTGAAACCAAGACTCTTGATTGGAGTGATATACCTTACGATACTGGTCTAGTGATTCTTAAATGGATTTACACTGATCAAATTGATTTAACATCTAATTCAGAAGAAGCTATTTTAACCATCATTAAAATAGCAAAGAAATTTCAACTCAACTCTCTTATTGAAAAATGTGAAGAGTCATTAATGTCATTTGTTAATGTTCGTAATTGTGTTAAATTTTACCAAATAGCTGATGAAATTCAAGCCGATACTCTAAAGAATCATTGTTCCCAATTAATCTCCAATTATTGGAATGATTTTAGTTCCAATGATTTTGCTTCAATGACAGCATCCCTTTTGTTTAACATGTTTAAAGCAAAGACTCGGTTTCCTCTTCACCAAGCAATCAAAATCAAACGGGAGGATGTTGTCTTCCTATATCTTATTGAATATAATAGCCAATTGTTTACAAAAATCAATGAGGCCGATGAATCTGGTGAAATCCCGTTGAATTTGGCTCTTAAATCGGGTCAAATTGACATTGCTAAAACTTTACTTCTCCACCAGGCCAATATAAACGCTGTCGATGATAATTCGCGAACACTATTACATCGAGCCATTGATCGAGACGATGGAGAATCAATTAATTTCCTCCTTGATTCAGGTGCTTCTGTTCACATCGCATCAACACGAGAGAAACAAACGCCTCTGCATCTATTGTGCTCCAAAAAATTAACCGATTCCACAATTTCCAATAAACTTTTGTCATCAGGTTCCGATCCGAATCTACAAGACGCTGAAGGAAATACTTGCCTTCACTTGACCATTTTACACAACAATGAGCCAATTTTTTGTGAACTTCTTGATCAACGTAATGTATCACTTGATATTCGTAATGCCAAAGGATTTACACCACTTACCTTGGCTCTTTCACGTCTCGAAGAGAATGAAATTTTTGCCATGAAATTGGTTGAAAAAGGTGCTTCTGTTGATTCATCTGATCCTGTCACTGGTAATTCCTTGCTCCATATTGCTGCAACCGAGAAAAATGAATCAGCTGGTATTTTCTTAATCAGTCGAGGTGCCAAGGTTAATGTAACCAATAAAAAAGGTGAGGCACCTTTGCACATCGCTGCTTCCCTTGGATTAGAGAAATTGGTTAAATGTTTATTAGAAAATGGTGCTAATTGTAACATTGTCACTTCATCGGTATCATTGGTTAACTCTAATGGTGATCCTTTTGCCTCACCAGTTGAAAGTAAAACAATTGATGATCAACTGTCATCTTATGTTTACAATCAAACACCATTACACTTAACGGTTCTCAATAAACATGAAAACATCATTCGTATTATTTTAAGCTGTAAAGCATCAGATGGTAAAGATCTTGGATCATCAATTACCCTCCCCAATTTGAATATCAAAGATTCAAATGATGAAACACCTCTTTCCATGGCGATTAGATTAAAGTTATTAGACATTGCTCAATTGTTGATTGACGAAGGAGCCAATGTTAATATTAAAGATTCAACAGGATTTACATTATTACACAAAGCAATTATCAATGAAGATTCAAGAGGAGCCTTGTTTTTATTGAATCATGGAGCTGATATTAATCTTTGTACACCCACCGGTGAAACACCATTACAATTGGTTGTTAAACATCAACTTGAATCAGTTTTAATTGACCTGTGCTCTAAAGGTGCTGATGTTAACACACTTGATGAAAATGGTAATTCACCTTTATGGATTGCTCTTGAATCTAAAAATGAAGATATCGCATCGATTTTGGTACAATATGAGTGTGATACAAATTGTTGGGGTGAAGGTCCCGGTGGATGTTGGCAAACGATACTTCATCGATCTCTTGATGAAAACAATGAATTTATTGCTGTTTTCCTGATACGCTCTGGATGTGACCTTAATTCACCGAGAAAACCATCGCCCGATGGTAAAGGAGATGAAGAAGCTCACGATGGACAGACACCTTTGCATATGGCCTGTGCTTGGGGTCTTGAGAATGTGGTTCAAACTCTACTGGAGTTTGGTGCCAATGTAAATATACAAGATGCCGATGGAAAAACACCTCTTCATATTGCAATTTTTAACCAACATTCAACCATAATCTCTCTTCTTCTTTGTCATCCTTCTCTAAACTTAAATCTTCGAGATAAAACGGGCTGTACACCTTTCGCTACTGCGATGAATATTAAAAACAACAAGGCTGCCCAAGAGATTCTCAATCGAGATCCTAATTCGGCGGAAAAATACGATGCCAAAGGATACAATTTTCTTCACACGGCAATCAAACGAGGTGACATTGAGAGTGTCCTATTCCTCCTTTCAATCAATGTTAATATCCATTCTCGAGTCCAGGATCCCGTTCAAATGACACCATTACATTTGTCCGTTGAATCAGGATCTGAACTTATACTTCGCAATTTACTTTTAGCTGGAGTTAATATTAACGATATGACCGCACAAAAACAGACCGCTCTTCATATCGCCGCTGAACATGATCACAGTGCCATTTGTAGTATATTATTGGAGAAAGGAATTGACTTTAATGTGATCGACATTAATTTAAATAATGCTTTACATGTTGCATGTCAAAAAGGTCATCTAGCGACATCCAAAGTCCTTTTCAATGAATCAACTATAACTTCGGATGCAGTAAATGCTAAAGGTCAAACCCCGTTGCATCTTTTAGCTCAATTTGGTCGTGACAATGCAGCGGCAATTTTTGAACTTTTTATCAGCTGTGAGCCCAATTACCCTGTTAACAAACCGGACGCCGAGGGTAGCACAGCTCTACTTTTAGCCTACATCAATGGAAATGTCAACCTTTGTCGAGCATTGGTCAAAAATCGTGCCTGTCTTGGAACATCAAATAAGAATGGGGTCAATTTATTCAACTGTTCCGTCGCTTCGAATTCACTTTTATATAAATTACTTGATTCGCTTGATGCCGAACCTGTTTGGACCGAAGGTGATGCTTGTGCTGAATGTAGTCGAAAGTTTGGCATCCAATTGAGAAGACACCATTGTCGCCACTGTGGTCGTGTTTTATGTTCTAATTGCTCGGCTAAAATGATCACGATACCCAAATTCGGCCTAAACAAAGCAGTTCGCGTTTGTGAAACTTGTTTCGAAGTGCTAATGATGGGATTCTCAGCATAAAATCTTTATTCAGAGAGAATCATATCAACACCTAAAACAAACCTTTCACTTCGTAATCATGATTACCAAGTATTGCAACGTTTAATTTATTCTTACAATTTGTCTAATTACCAACAACTATATTAATTGTGACATAACTAAAATTGTTATCTATCAACAACAATTTCTCTTCTATCTCTTTTTTTCTTAGATTTACAATTTAAAGCAAAATATTTAAACATATACACAAAAAACACATTCCAATCAAATAATAAACCAATTTATTTTATTTGATTAATCCCAATTGTCTCTTAATTGCTGTAAAATCGGAATCAAAGTATAGTTAATCCAAAATGTTTTAAACAATCAACCGACTGAACAGAAACTCCTGGCATTCAATTAACGATAATTGATTGGTTTTTATGTATTATAATCATTGATTAGACAAGTAATTGTTTAGAAAACAATCTCGTTAATTATCTTAATTATCGGTAATCATTTCACACACAGAGAAGATTAAAAAAGTCTATCAGGTTAAAGATTAACTATGAAGGAGAAAACAATGAAATCAACTGATTAACAAGAATATTTTCAATAGAAAGTTAATCAGTTGACAATTATTCTCAAAATTATTCCCACAATTAAATAGATTAATTGTTTACTCTAATCCCGCGCTTTCTAATTGGTAACACTGGTAACCATAAATAACGAGCAAATGATTCATCTTAGATTTTAAATTTTAAATTTTAAATTTTCTTTTTCAAATTTTCATTTCATTCTCCTTGAATTCACCAATAAATTGAATTTCCCTAATTGTCATGGGTAAGCCACGAAAATGTGACCTTTGCAAGATCATCCGTTCAGAAAGGTAAGTAAATATGATCCATTTTTAATCGATTAATCTTCTATTGACCTCACCCATTCGCAGATTCACATTATATTGCAACGAATGGCAGAGAAGACCAGAGCAAGTGACCTTCCCCCGGAAGTGAAGGAAAAACGGGCTGAGATGTACTGCAAAGTCACCACAAAAGTATCGAAAAATATGGTATACCCGAATGTCAATGTTACTTTTAGACCTTAATTTTCCTCTGGCATCGAATCGCTCGTTTCATTTTTTCCTCTGTTCGTATTAACATTGATCATCTTTATTCATACTCATTGAGTTTCTCATCTCCATGAAGTTCATTTGTACTTTTACAAGAAAAACATTCAAACAATAAACGATTCGTTTGGCCAACTTCAATTTCGTCTTGATTATTGCAGAATAAGAATCAAAATATTCTAACATTATCCTCGTTGTGACACTAATCCATTGCCTTACATTGCCAGTCCAGTGAGTGAATTGACCTTTTAACATTTTAATTGGTGACAATTTATTTGTTTTCATTCAATTGTCATTACTTTGATTTCGCGCTTTCCAATTCGTAACCTTGGTAACCAGAATAGTCAACACCTGATGAATCATATGTTTGGTTTGAAATTTTTTTCTTTCCATTAAATTGTTTTCTTTTTTTTAATTGACTAATTTTAGTTACATTTTAATTAGTTTTGGATTATTAATTATGGCTTCTAATAGTAATAATAGTAACAATAATTCTAACACTAACAATTCAAATTCTACAAAAGAAAATATCAAATTAGAAGACATTGACTTTGAGTTTCTTCCTCTTGTTTATGACATAATAAGAAGGTAAGTTTGTTTTGTTTTTTTCTCTTAATTGTTTTGAATGTAATTAATTGTATATTTTTTCTCTCTCTCTCTCTCACTTGGTTTTATTGTTTAACTGTTTCTAGTATTGAGAAAGAGCTAAATGAAGGCAATTCTGTTGGACAAAAGGCTGTTCATCGGGAACAAACTGAAATTCCTGCCAAGATGCAATTGCTTAATGATAAGTTTAAAAAGTGTCGTGAACAATTAATGAAAATTGAGGGAATTGATATAACAAAGGAACAACAATTAAAACAATTGGAGACTTTAAGTAAACAATTGGAAATGAAGAGACAACTTCTATCACAATATAAACATTTCTCACCCATGGAAACATCTAATCAAATGCATACATAATTTTCCAATCAAAGATTTTTTTGCTTTTCATCAATCAAATCAATCAATAATCAATTCCTGGAAATCAATCATCTTAATCTGTTATTATTATTTACGAGAAATTTCAATTCCTTTTTCAATTCATAATCGTGAGTAAATATGTGAATATATTTTGATTAAGTTAGCTAATCAAATTCAACTGCTGACAATTGATTTTTCCTCCATCATGTAAATCATATCATCTACTGTGCTACAATCAATCAATCAATCAATTAACTATTGTACAAAAGGAGAGAGAAAAAAACATTCTAATTGTAGAAGATACAAAATAAATCGCAAATAATCATTTAAATGTTGATTGAATCATCAAGGCATTAACTTGGATTCTTTGACATAAATTTTGTAATTAAATCTCTACTTGTAATCAGAAATAGGATTTTTTAATCTTCTAATTGATTTGATTCCTTTTTTTGATTACAAATCTACTAATTCATTCCTACAAATTGAACTTTTGTTTTTCAACTCAAATTTTCATCGCTTCTTAATTTCATAGTTGGAAACATTTCCATTACATAAAATAATAGAAAATTGTAGTTGAATTGATTCTTAAATTGTAACCATGAATCTCAGTTGAATTTAAGAAAAAGCTCAATTGTGACAATCTTTTTGTTGTCACAATCTCTCCCTCGCTCTGGTTGGTCTGGTTTCGACTGTGACATTTGACAACCTTTTCTATCAGCAAGAGAAGGTTAAAAAGCGGCGATGATTAAGAAGAAGATCAAATCCTGTTGATAAAAGGCCAAAAAAAGAAAAGAATTCAAATAGAAAAGAAGAGGATGAATATGATATCCGACGAAACGGAAAAATGGCCTCGAATAGACAAGAAAAAGGTGAGTTTATAATAGCGAAATGATGAATTACCTTTTGTCTTTTTTTCGGTTCTTCTCTTCTTGGGCCTGGCAGATCTTCCGGGTGAACAGAGAAGCCTGAATATCGTCGTAACGAAATCCATCATCTGTATCAAGAGAGCAAGAGAAGGAGTTTCAATTATCATTTAGAGAGAAATTAAATTAAATTAAATTAAAGGTTAAAGGTAAAAATAGAATAAAACTTTGCACAGTGTAAACAAATCTTTGAATGTTCAACATGTTCTCAACTAATGGATATCTTCAATTTTTAATTGTCTCACTTACAATCACCTTGACCAGTGTCTTCTCACTTCCAGTGGTAAGTTAATTGTGGTGAAAGTGTGAAAAGTTAGGAAAACAATAATCTAATTAACTCTTCTCATCTTATTGACCATTAGATGCGAATGAGACTTTGTATCTCCTCCAATGATCCATATCGATTACAAAGTCAGTGTGTTTTATGTCACAATAAGAGATTCGTGAAAACAGTTCGTCAATGTACCGGTGGGGTAAGTTAATTGTTCGTAAAATTTAGTTCTACAAATCTAATTGTTACCATTGATTCTTAATTGTTCAGACATATTTACCCGCTAATGTATCAGTCGAAGAGGGATTTTGTATGATCAAACAGTGTAGATTGGTGAGTATCCATTTCGTTTGTAACCTTAATACTTATTTTAATTTCTTAAATTGATTTCGATTGTCTTTTAATTGTTCAGCAAATGCCTTTGGTTCCACCTCAGCCTTACAATACCCTCAATAGTAATGCCAATATAAATACAGTCTCAACGGATAATCTTTATTCAGGCTACGAATCGGCCACTGATTATCAATATCAACTTCCAAAGCCGATTAGGGTTCGTCCACCGGCCGTGCTTCATATCGGTAAACCAGTGAGACCAGGTAATCATTTATATCTAATTAATATTCAGTCATTTTAATTGTCTTGTATTATACATGTAAAACTAATCTCTTTTTCATCTTGATTAATCTAATCATTAGGACTTTTAACTGGAAGGCCACTTTTATTTGGTAAAAGAAGTATAGATTTTGATGAATATGATTGACGATAAGGATACTAAGTGATTGTTAATTTCTAATCGAGACTCGTTAATGATTATGGATTCATTTGAATTTATTTGAACGCCAAAGCTACAAATCACAGGAACTTTAATCTATCCTTAGGATTTTCTCATGTCTAATCGTTAATCTTTTACTATAATTTATGATTAATCTGTAAAAAAATGTTGATTTGGTAATTTTTCACTAATCCTTTAATTATAATCTAATCAATTGGACCTTTATATAATCTGACATGTAAACACAATCAATGTTTGTCATAACCGTTTGAATTAAATATTGACACATTTTTTTTTATAATTTAGTGAATATTTTATTCAATTTAGAAATTAAATTGTTCCAATAATTAGATCAAAGTGAGAAATTATCAATTATAACCTAAGATATTATTCTAGGTTCGTGTCGACACTTAGTACGGTTTTAGTTGAGACCATAAGTGTCAATCAGTTGCTTAGCTCGATTAACGTAGGCAGTACGAGCTTCGTCTTTAGCCATACCTGAGAAGAACAAGAGAAAAGTCAATTAACAGTTAGAATTTGTTGCTAATTAGACTAAACATTTTAAACAATTAAGCTAATCAACTAGAAAGAAGGTTACAAAACTTACCCTTCTTCTCGTTCCATGCATCCCATTTAGCTTTACCCTTGAAGTCCAACATCCAGGTCGTTCTGGATATGAAATTATGGATCACAATTCAGGGAAGAAAATTGATTAACAATTAAAAGTGATTGGGATAATTAAACATGTAGAAAAATTAAAAAAACTCACCAGTGTTACAATCGCCTTCGGATGCTTGTTTGAAGAGAGCATATAATTCAAGTAGCTCTTGGTCAGTTGGTCGACTCTTGAGATTCTTAACTTCTTCGGCCGCTTTATTGAAGTCCTAATATTCACAATTTATCACAATTAGAGAAGATGATTAGAGAAACTTAAGCAGAATAACAAACTTCTTACCTCTTGAGAAGCCATGATTAGAAATACGATTACAATTACTGAGCTTTAACGAAAAAAAAGGAAAACAATTGATCTTCAATGAACCAACGATTTAAGTTAAATCACATCACAACAATCAAGGTAATTTCTTTTTATATCTCACAGTTTCGCTCTCTCTCACTCACTCGCTATCTTTGTGAGTTGCTCACTCACAAGATGATTAAATTAATTCACTTTGATTGGAGAGAAAAATGAGAAATTAAGGTGGAGATGATTTTCTATTCTAATTTTCGTTGTAAACAAAAACCTGATTCTCAATGAATCTCCAGGGAGAGGATAACCAATCATTTTAATTTCTATCATCATCAATCTAGGATCTTGCCCATTTTCATGATAATCATCAACACCCATCAACAATTAACAGATCTCATCATCATCTTGATCACAATTAGGAAACAAAAATCATCTTTTGTTTTTCTTTATCTAAATTCAACTTACCAAGCAACTTTTACGATTTTCTCAACAAATGAAATAACTGATAATCGATAATTAATTTGATGATTAGAGTAATCAAATTGGTTCTATTGATTAGTTTAACATTTAATGAATGATAATTCATCAATCATTAAATTGATTTCAAAAGTGTTACAAAGTTTCCAGCCAATTGGCTTAAAAGTTAATTTACAATTTCTTAGAAATTTATTTAATTGTGAACATGTTTGATTTCTGATAATCTAATCTGTTGATGGAAAACAATTAATTTTGATTGTTACACAAAAAAAAGTTGCAAGAGACTTGAAAATCTGATTACCATAATCACTTTAATTGTGAATATAAATGATTAGTAACCAGAAAAACTGGATTAAGAGTTGATTATAATCGTGTTTTAATTTTAAACGATAATCCTAATTGTTAATTTAAATTGGATGATCAAAATGATGGAATAACAAAAAGCAACAATTTGTTAATGCATTAAAATAGTGATTTAATTAGGAATTAGAGGTTAATTTTTCATGTTGATTATTTACACATCTACAACAATTAAATAGTAATCATAATGATTGAGGCTTCTAAACAAAGGTTGGGTATTAAATTAAGATTGAGTATGTAACAAATTTTACAATAATAAGATTATAGATGCGATAATAAATTAGCGAGAATAAATTACAATTACAATTTGATGGAATAACAATTTAGGATGTAACAGTTTGAATCAGTAATCATTTCTTAATGGGCATGAATTTAACGACCGGTGGGATTTCTGAGGCATAACCAAAGAGATGACCCATACCGAGATGACCAGTCCGAGTGAATTCATTGTCGAGAACTGTTTGAAATTGTTGTGGTGTTAATTGTTTGAGTAACGATGAACCATCGGTATGATTACCATGAATTAGAAGATGATTTCTTGATTCTTCTTGGTGTGAGATTGGTGACCTTTGGGTATCATCGAGGTAAAACTTTTGCTCCCTTCGTTCATGATGACGATGAACTAATTTTTGGCCTGAGGGTTTTCGTTGGTTTCTGTAATCATCAGAAGAGTGATTATCGTTATCATGATTGTTGTAATTGGATTCAGATTTTTCATCTTCAGCGGGATAAGGATAATCGGTGTACTTGGGCTCTTTGGGTGGTTCCATGTCAGGGTGAAGGTCATTATCGTATTCGTCGACATACTTGACGATTCTTTCGTGTCGATAAGGTTTCGGTTTATTTTTGTTGCTCTTCGAGTTTGAACCTGGTGATTGTTGTTCTTGTCGACTGATTGATTTCCAATTGTCACTGATTTCTTTTCGTTTGTTGTGTCTTTTAGGTGGAGATCGAGTGGATGATCGGTGATCATATGATGAATCTCTTGAGAATCTGATGAAGGTGAAGAGCTACTTTGTCGATATTCTGTTCGGATGAAAGGTTTATCATCTTCTCTTGGATGTTTAGTTGAAATGTAACCCAAATTTGCTGGAATATCATCATGAGATTCAATAGATTGAGGAGGATAATATGAATCAGGTCCATCGTGAGAATTACCAGAAGGGGAATGAGACTGATGATCGTTATTTTCATGATAATCAGAATCATGATCATCATGATCTTCACTGTTTTTGTTATGAGAAAAGCTATCGAAATTTTTGTTATAATCATCTTCTAATTGTTCGGATGGTGGTGGAGGAGGTGGTGGTGGCGGTGGTGGTGGTGCAGCTCCTTCAGGTCGTCGACGAGGATTTTTCGTTGATCGATAACGTCCATTTTTATTTTCGTCACTTGGTGGTGGGGGAGGAGGAGAATCTTCTCTGGCCATTTTTAGGTTTTCGTTGACGAAATCATAAGGAGAAGTGTAACTATCATCATTGTAATGATATTCTTTGTATTTTTTGGGCTGTTTTTGTTTTTGTTTTTGTTTTCTTTTTTCGCCTTCACTTCGATGATTATCTTTATAATTATAATCTCCCAAAATGAAACCCGAATCTCTATGATCACCAGAATGATGACCTGACCCAGAATCATAAGCCACTTTATGAGCGTCTTTATGTTTAGCGTTTTCCTTTGCCGCCGCTTTATCAACTTCATCTAACAAGTTACAAGAAACAAAGAATCAAATATTAGATAATTTCAATTGATTAACCAATTAAATTACTTACGATGCTCATGATGAACTTTCTTCCCATGATGTTCAGTGTGCTTTTTATCACCTTCGTCTTTTTCCTTTTCAAGATGAGCACCTTGATCCCAACTCCATCGTTTAATGAAACCATCACCTCGATTCCAAGTGTGTTTAACGTACTTGTCGTGATCTTTGTGAACCTTTTGATCGAGAAGGGCAACTCCAGCCTCTTCTTTCAGGTCGTGTTTACCATGATCGTGAGCAGCGAGGCCAGATTTACCTTTATCAACTCGACCATTGTTCAAGTGTTTATCCAAATCAGCTAAAGTGGATTCGTGTTTAACAAGATAATCCTGTTCAATCAAATCATTACTAATCTCCTGATAATGTTTATCGTCATTATTATAACCCTTGATTGGACCATAGGAACGTTTAGTTTTACTTTCGGATGGATTTAAATCATCACCGGTTGATAGTAATTTCTGTTCAACTATCGATTGAGCGCTCAAAACGGGAACTTGAGGTATCGCCGGTGCTGGTGAGGGTGAAGGTGCAGGTGAAGGTTGGGCTAAATGAACAGTTCCTGAAGTCGGTAAAGGGGTGAACACTAAGGGTAAAGGTGAAGGTGTAGTGGTTGTCGTTGTCACCGGCGGGTTTACATTACCTCCAATCGCCTCTGCACTGAGATTCACAATCAGTAGACTGTTAAAAATGATTATCCAAAACATGGTAATGAATTTAGTTGATTTTGTTAATTTACTTGTTGTTGTTGTTGTTTCACTGATTAAGATTTAATGACAATTTAATGATTTACAGTTCGCTTATATACAATTTATAATTCCAATGTTCACTTGCCTTTAATTGTTTTGACAATTAGAAAAAGGGTTTGGCTTAATCATCTTGGTGATCAAGTTACGATTTAAAATCAATTCCAATTTAGATGTTAATTTGTGTCCCATTATTGTTTTTCTTTAGTTAATTTAGTTACACCTTATCCCTCATTTAGATAAATTGTGTTTACGATTAAATTTCATTGTCAAGTTTAATTGTGATTCTTTTTTTTTTCTTTGATTCTCTTAATCAAACTAATTTTTTATTCTCTTTTGTTTTTTTTCTTTCTCTTTCTCTTTCTTTCATCTTCGATTGATCTTTTGTTCAATCTTTCGATTTTTTTTTCTTTTTCACTATTAATCTAATAAGAGAATGCCAATTGTAAATATCTTCGTGACAATTAACTGATTAACTGTTCCAGTTATGTGTAAACTGTGTGATTCCAAGTGATTTAATTGTTAAGATTAGGTCAGTGATTTAATTGTAATTCACAAAATTTTGGTTGATTTGGTTATATACATTAAAATTTGTTTACTTCTCTTGACTTGATTAGTGTTTTTTAATTGTTCTGAATTAGTCAATATCGTTGAAAATTCATTGATCAATTGTGAAAAACTCATTTAATTCAATCAAATTTTTAATTGTGTTATTGTAAATCTTTGTTATTATTTGGCTTTAAATCAATCTTTGTTTCAACTAATTAATAAGTATTGGCTTTCATGCATTTTAATTGTTATTCAAATTGTGAGTTAATCAATTAGGTTTAATCCTCGAATGAGAAATTAATTTTTTCAACTCCAATTCCAGATAATTAGTTACTAATTTTGTGTATTCAAATTAAGCGACAATTGATTTACATTTGTTTTATTTCAATTCTTTTACCGATCTGATTGTATTGTTTATATTTTGATTTTCTCTCTCATTGTAATTAAATTAAATCTAAAGGTTAAATTAAGGTGCTAATAGAAAATGATCAAAACAAATCAATACAATTGTAAATATGACTAATGACCTAATCATTTGTTGACATTCACCATGTGTATTAACTGCATGCGAATATTTCAAATAATAGAAATCAGATAATTAGCTAATTACGAGTGAAAATAATAAACCATTGATGAGGTCAGGTTAAATTACGCCTAATTCAATTAGATTAGAAAATTCAATTAAGTTAATTTTTCACTTTTTAAAGGTCCATCGATTTCACTTGTTTCCAATTAGATCAATCTTTCAATTACCATTTGATTGTTTAATTCACTTTGTTGGTGTTTATTTAGTTTCATTGTGATAGCAAATTTTAACTAATTTTAATTAATTCAATTTGAACCATTGAATTAATTGTTAATTGTTGGATTGGAATTAACTTGAACGATATTTATGAGCCTAGAAAACAGCGCCTTCTATGGTATTTGTAAAAAGACAATTTCTATTTACACTAATTGATGAAGATGAGAAATTTGATTAATGGCGGTAATTAATGAGGATGATGGTGATTTATTGATTTTGTTTCAATTCCATTTCAAACACTAGGACGATTTGCTTTCTTAATTTTCTTTGATCCTTTAGATGGTCTTCCAATTGGAACCGATTGTGAACCATCTTCAGTTTCTCCATTATCTTCAACACCGGAGAAATTATTTTCTTCACTACTTTGCTCTTCGTTTTGACCTGGTCCAATTCCGCCGCTTCCTCCACCAGTACCTTCTTTCTCCAAACCTCGAACAGTGGCCATAGAGGTTATCGATGAATTGGAAAATAGTCGATCAGTTTCCTTGAATTTTCGACCTCTCTTTTCACCTTTACTTCCTCTGTTGACACTTAGATATCTATCCCAACCTCGTATGATATTACCACAAAGTTGAGTATCTTCAAGATAACTTCCCTCAAAGGCATAGATTTGTCTCTCCAAATTGGCTAGAGTTTCAACAATCTCTTCTCGTCTCTTAATTAATTCAGTTAATTCTGCTCGAGTATCCATCACGAGAAAGAAAAACCCAGTCAAAAGTTAATCATCAAGAAAGACAAAAACTCAATCAACAAACAAAAGTGAACCAAAAATGTAAACAAAACAAAACCAAAACGTGCATCGATTTGCGCGCCATCTCTCGTCGGCTCCAAGAACCAATTTCGCAAAAGCCTGAGCCGTTACATTGGCTTCCAATGAACAGATCAAATGATTGAGCTTTTAAATTCACTTGAATTTTTAATTGTCATCTAATAATCGTTCATACCTGTTAATTATCATTATTCAACGAATCAGATTACTAATTATTTGGTAGAAAATGTTAATCCAAGTGAAAGAGTTTCATGGTAGTGAGAAAGCTCTTCAGGTGAGTTGAACAATTGATTGTTTCTTTTTTTTTGTTTCTCTTTTCATTTTGTTTACATTAATTAATCTCTTGTTGATTTGAACAAAAGGTTCCTTCCGATGCTACAGTGGTACGATTAAAGGAGGAGATATCAAAGTCATTCCAGTTACCTGTTCATAATCAGCGATTAATGTATAAAGGGAAAACTTTGGCAAGTAAGTTGATCTCTCATCTATTACCCATTGATGTTTAACCATAACAATGTTTGATTGACAGGTAGACAGTTATTGTTATCTCGTAGCTTTTTTTTTATTTGTTACATTTGATTAATCGAATTTAATTTAACGATTGATGAAAAATAATGTCATCAACTACCAATCGTCAATTTAGACTATCATTTGAGCCAATGATCCATCTTGTGAGAGTTTATTCTCATCCATGTATCTGTTTCTCTCTATTTTGTCCTATGTGTATTTCTAGATGACAAAACTCTAATGGATTACAATTTTGAAGAAGGTTCCAAAGTTAATCTATTCAAGGTTTTCGAAGGAGCATCTGAGAATCAGCCCCCTGGATTTTGGAATGATTTGAGTAATTTTCTAAGAGGATACTATGATGGAGAAGATGTTAATAAGATAATTGATTACATGAAGAAAGACATATCCGGTAATGTAGACAAATTAAGTTTGGAAGATATTGAAAGATTAGCTTATGAAAGGATAAATTTGGATAAAAATTAATCGAATCGCGTAAACAAAAAAACAAAAGACAAAATCAATCCTACGGATCATCAACACAATTATTGTTTTTACTGATCAACTACAATTACCAAGATTAAACGAAAGTTGAAATTTCTAACTTCATCCAAATTCAAGTTTATATTAATTTTCCATTCCATGGTTTTCTATTATTCACCGCAGAGAGTGAAAATTTAATAGATTTAGTTATTATTATCTTTCATCGCTAATCATCATCATCATCATCATCATGGGTAAACTATTGGAACGAATCAGAGCTTTCATCCCAAATCGCAAAGTAAAAGCCGTGAACGTGTTTTCTGGTAATCCAAGGATAAAAATAATTCGTACGATTTCAGGACATTTGGGTTTGATTGTATTCATTTGTCTTCTCATGGTGACCCAGTTTTTCCGTTATTTTATCCTTCGAACGGGCCATTGTAATATCGATGGTTGTTTATCACCTGAATTTATCGCTCAAAACATAACCGATGATGGTGAATGTTCATTCTGTCAGATTGTTTGGTTAGATGAATTTCTAATTGATCCTGAAGATGGATTAGGATTTAGACTTCACCGATTACAATTAACATCAATCCAATTATATACCAACATAATTAGCTATCTATTCCTCTCATTTGGTGCTTATTTTTACAATCCATACTTTTTATTGATTCATTTGATTACTCAATCATTTCTGATTCTTGTTTTCACCATTAAATTGTTTTTTAAATTGTTATCATCTAGAGGAGAAATTAGCTCAATATTTGAGCTGTTCATCTTTTGTCCATCAAAAGTTTGTACCATCATTTGGGTGACAATTTATTCTGCAGCTATTATATTAATCGTATTCAGTATAACCCTGACAATAACATTGAATCAGCTGATTTCATTAAATGCCATCAAGAAGAAATTGAAAAAAGTTATCACTCGAGTCGATGAAAATTGGGTAACATCATTAAATGAAGATATTGATAAAGAAATTTAATTGTAACAATCATTTAGGTGAGAAAATGAAATCTAATTAAAGTTGATTAACAATATTCACTTAATAGCTGATCAGCTGTTTCTCTTTCCAGAGCTGTTTATTTCTCTCTCTCTTTCTCTCCCTTTTAAATTGTTCCAAGGATTAATTGTTCCTCTTTTTAATGATCTACTTAATTTATAACAGTTACGAGTAAATTTATGATGTGTTAATCTAATCAATCCTTGAATTGAATCTAATTAAATTGTAATTTTCCTTATGAGAATCATTTTCAATCTCTTTACCATCACTTGTACATTAACTTGATCAATGTAACAATTAACTGATAATTAATATTAATTGAGAAATCATCATCAATATTGTTATCTGTTATTGTTTTATATCAATTAGTTAGTTGGCAATTAGAAGCTGTTGATTTAATGCAATTGTTACAAATGATTAATAGTCAGACTTGTAATTAAGGTGTAAATCTGTTTAAACATTTCGTCAATGTGAATCAAGCTTTACAAACAATTAACCCTAACAATCAAGTCTGGTTGTGTATTTGGATAATTAATTGTGACCATCAATTTAAAGGAAATCATCATTAACAAGGTGTGATCAAGGAGTCTACAATATGGATGGATCAACAAACGAGGATAATGTTAATCTTAATCATAATGGATTAACCGATTTAAGGCCTAATGAGGATAATTGTTGTTCCATGATAACTGATGCTAATCAATTGTTCAAATTTCTTAAATTTCCTGTAATTGAATCAAATTTGATTATTCCAACTCAACCATTCCTTGATTCATGTCGCAGTCTCATTGAATTTGTGGCTATACTTGGACCAGTTTTTATTCCGGTTCGATCTGATATCGGCGGAAATGTCGACAAATTGACCAAAATAGTGACCACCAATCCAAGTAAATTCACAACAATTAACTCGATCATCGAATCGGAAATCTCATTGCCTAATGATAAACAAATAGGAACCGATGCTCTCTTATGGTTAACCCGAGCTCTTCAATACATGAATACATTTCTTCAACTATTGGTTGATGATTATAATCAAGGAATCAATTCAAATGATTTAACCAAACAATTTACCCAAGCATATGATTCAACTTTACGAAAACATCACAATTGGATTGTTCAAAATTTGGTTCATTTAAGTCTGAAAGCAGCTCCAACTCGATCGATGATAATTAATCTCATCTCACCTGAAATTTGTTCATCTCATGATTTACTAATTAAAACTGAGAAGGAAAAAAATCTCTACCAAGAGATTAGTGATTACCGTAATTCAGTTGAGATTAACATCAACGCTGTTCACCAATTGTACGATAATTTAAATCTTCAATATTAATCCAAATCAATGATATCGGACAATCGGATCGGTTAATCATTTCCCTCAATTGTTCACAATCAAAATTACTTAAAGTCTACTATTGGTGTAGATTAATTTTCATTCATCAAACATTGTAAACAATTTGCCTTTAATCTTAATTGTTGTTTTAATTTTAATTGTCAATCGAATTTTTTGTTTTTCTAATTGATTCATAATTAAGTTCGATTTTTGTTTGTTAATCGAATCGAAAGTTTCCTTTATAAAAAGAATTGAATAAATATCAATTATTGGAATTATTGGAAACAACGATATAATATGACAGAAAGAGAGTAAGAAAGAGGAAGATAAAGAAGAGAAGAGAAGAGATATCTTAGAATTAGAGAAAGAGGATAATTTAACCTTCATCTGTCTTCTTCTTCTTCTTCTTTGATGTTACAATCAAAATTAAAAGAAAATCAACTAATTAATCTAAACCAATTTCTATTTAAACGGTGAAACAATAATTACCACAAAATTAATTAGATCTTTAAATTGACCAGGTAAATATTTTTTCAAAAGCAGAAACCAGTTTTTCTCTCTGTCTTTTTTTCTTTTTCTGTTATTTTCTCATTCTCCTTCTCTTTCTCAACCGATAGATGGAAGAAATAATCTTGTTTCGAAAATGTTCAAAAGTTATTCAAGTTATTGATTGATGATTTTAGTGATTAATTGAAAATGTCTCTTCAGATGATTTAACTTTAATTTTCTATTCTTACAGGTCGAAGACAAATCTTATCCAGTGTATCACAAAATCTGAATCAAGAGGTTATTTACTATTCGCCGAGTGGAAAAAGATGAGGAATATTACTGAAATTTGCCGGTTAGTCAATTTCTTTCAAGTTTACATAACAATTTGATCTAATTTTCTGTGATGATTTTTCTAGTATTTGGTCAAAAGAATATAACCACTGTATAAAGAAGATTTTAGCGTTGATTCTCGTCCGATCATCGGCGAATTTATTGAGCATTCAAAGGAAAAGAACTGTGAGTTACATAGAAAATTTAGCCTCCGATGGAAACAATTAATTCAATTTTATTGAACAGAGTTTCAATCTTTTCGAAAATGAAGTCCGAGTTCGTTTGAGGACAACAAAAGACGTCATACAAGAAGGTGGACGAAGTGATATAGACGACGCTATTTCTGATATTGAAGCAAGTGCTGTTATAAACCAACAAGAACTGGTCCTAGGCCATTTATCGAGATACTTTTACAATGATCAAAAGCCGAAAGAGGTAAGTCTTTTAACAACAGGTCTCAAGATTTTCCGAATTTTATCAATTTTATAAATATTGTCGCTTGCAGCAATAAACAAGAGTTTAACTTGATTGTAATCGAGTTACAATCGAAGAGATTGAAACTCTTCGAGATGATATGTTCAAAAGATATCAGGTCAGTGGTTTTTTTGCCGCAATTCATCAACTTTAATTTCTCAATCTAATTTGACATCTTTTTTCTTGAAAAGTGGCTTCTTGGTTGTGAACTTAGAAAGTATTAATACAATCATTTCTAAGAAAGTCATAAAATCAACACAATTAATTGAAAGAATTTAGTATATTTAATTAATTCTGGTATATTCAACATGTGATTTATTGATTTTCCACTTTCTCAACAATCGTTTTATTAAACTTTCCCAAATTAGAATTGATAATAAATTGACTTAAACATTACCCAAGAATGAGAGGATTAGTTTGATTGAATTATCAACCGTTTTTGTTGAATCTTTAGGTGATCCAATCTTTGGATTAACTTCAACCCAATCGAGACATTTGAGTAAATTAGTTGAGTTGATTGTTTTGGCCAAAGTTTGGGCTTCGTCGAGGGTCAGCCCTCCGGGCACAGGGGTACCTGTTGATGGGGCATAACTTGGATCGAGTGAATCAACATCAAAGGAAACATGAAGAGGTTTTGACTCAGTGGGTTTGAGTATTTCCAAAGCTCTCGAAGTGATCTCACTGATTCCCAGTTTATCAACGTCGCCCATGGTGAAATATTTGATCTGTAGGCTATCTAAAAGATGCCGTTCAAGTGGATCAAGATCGCGAAGACCAATGTAACAGAGTGAAGAACTGTTTAGATTGGGTTGAATAGAGTGGAACAATTTAGTTAATTGTGGACTATTTTCATATTCACTTTGAATTCCTTGAAGGAAAAACGATAAACTCATTCCATGTAAATTGCCAGTGGTTGTGGTGAATTCAGTGTTAACATCGGCATGAGCATCGATCCATAGAACGGAAAACTTTTGATTGTGCCTAAAGTGACCTAAGAGACTACCGATTGCTACACAAGAGACGAAGACAAAATGGAAACGTTGATTGTGATTAACTAAATGATTTCTTCTTGATTGTCTTTCTCACCTAAAGTATGATCACCACCGAGATTCAATGAGATCCGATCTTCTTGTAAACATTGATAAACTTTGTCACTTAACAATTTACTGTAATTAGCGATGATTGTTGTGTTTTTAAGTAAACCTTTAATCGGCTCTAGTGGTTGATTGTTTGCTTGATTATCTTCAATGTCTTTAACACTGATATCACCATAATCTTTATAATCAATGTGATGATTTTCAAATCGTTGTATCAATCCATTGGCACGAATCACTTTCGGCCCTAATTCAACGCCCTCCTTAGGTTGACCTTTATCAAAACAACCACCGACTAGGCCGATCCTTTTAGTTGATTGTTGAGAACTGTGAAATCTTTGCTTTTGCAATCGAGGAACAGTTGAAAAGGAAAATAATAATCGAGTTATTTTAGATGAATTTACCATTTTCAGGTCACAATTAACAGAAGACAATGAATATTAAGAAGCAATGTAACTGTAGGTTGGAAAATGATTGTAAGTCAATGATGATTAATCTCATTAATCAAGTGATTGTCGTAATTATTGTTTGTAATCATCTTAACATAAAAGTTATTTTAAGTGATTTAAATGATTTTATCAACCACTCGAGTAAAATGTGATATCCACTTGTTGAATTGATCAATTACAATTGTATTGTTTCATTGTGAACGTTGATCAATGGGATGCACAGAGTTAATTGTTAAGCAAGAATAGACTTTGTTGCTTTTTGTTGATATCTTTTAATCCCTGATTAACTTAAAGTAATAAACAGTTACTATGACAGTTGGAATCTATTTTTCTCTTAAATATACATCAACAGCTACAGATGATTAACGGAACCTTGAGATTTCTGGTTCTTTGAAAATTCCAAGATCAATTCGAAGGTTATTGTTGATTTATCGAGGAAATGAAAAGAGGAAAAAGGAAAAGAAAACCTTATATTCCTTTCAGGAGTAAATTTAATTCCAAACACTTGTTACTTAACAATTAGATCCATGAGTATAATTGAAAGACATCAGTTGATTGTAAAGTTATTCCTCATGAAGAGAGTTGAAAGAGAAAGAGAAATTGTAATTCGTTATGACCGCTCGAAGTATCTTTCGAAATGATGGAATCAATATCGACACCAACTTGTTGATCAAAAATTCTAAAACTTTTCGGTCTAATTTTGTTGGTTTTCTCGAGGAAAAAGGTCACTGTACAACCATCGAGAACAATATTCACTTGATGAAACTTCATGACATTGAAAGAGATTCAAATACTCAAAGGATTTTCATGAAAAGATGAATAAGTCATTCAAGAAATTATCTCACAAGTCAGAGTAAAAACTTTTCACTAAATGAGCAAAGAGAAGTAAAAAAAAATCCGACCAACCGAATGACTATTTTGTTTGATTTTCCACCGATAGATGGAAGGGCAACTTGTTTTCTTTTTCTCGGTCGATCAACACGTGTCACCATCTATCGACAGAAGAAGTTGATTTCTGTTAATAAATGTTCCAATTCTTATAAATGGAAAAAATCATTAGAAAAACGAAAACATTTTAAGTTAATTGTGAGAGTTAATTTAATTATTAGAATGTTAATTGTTTCTCTAACATGATGTTAGCATGGGAAAGGTGAAGGGATAAGAGAAGACAAAGTGATTTTCGATCAAATATTAGAAGGTGTTTGAAGATCCGCGAAGGAGATTAACTTGGAATTTAGATTTGTTTTGATTGTCAATTGATTCTAATTCTGAAAAGTTTCTCCATCTCAATTTAAATGTTGTTTTCTTTTGATTGTTTTCTTTTTTTCAATCAGGTAAAAGGTGAGAATCTTATTAGGGGAAGAGAAATTTGTGTTCGCGTAGAGAAAATATTAAAAAAGTATTGAAAGATATACAACCTAAAGTCTCCCTTTTCTCTCTCACTCTTTTTTTCCTTCTCTTCTCTTCAAGTTTATCTTCCTCTCGTCTTCATCATCATCTTTCTCATCATCATCATCGTCATCATTCTCTCTTCTCTTTTTTTCTACTTCTTCTCCCTTCTCTTTTCTCTCTCTGACCTCGGGAGCAAACTCTCTTCTTTCTCTTCAACATTATCTCTCTCAATCTCTCTCATTTTCTTGATACTTCTCTCTTATTCTCCCTCCATCTATCTATCTAGCTCTCTCTCTCACTCTCCCTGTTTTCAACTATATTCTGGCTACACTGTTTAGCCTGCTGTCGGAGAGAGAGAGAGAGAGAGAGAGAGAGAGAGAGAGAGAGAGAGAGAGAGAGAGAGTGAGTGAGAGAGAATAGAAAAAGAGAGATAGGATGAGAGAGAACAGAAAGAGAAAGAGAGAGAGAGAGCTTGAGCGAGAGAAAAGAGAAAGAGGGGAAAAGAAGAGAGAAAAGAAGAGGAGGATGATGATGATGATAATGATGATGGTAAAGGGAGAAAGAAGGAAGATAATATACGAGAAGAGATGAAGACTGAGCTGAAAAAGTTGATGATGATGGTGAGATGGTTGTGGAGATGAAAATGATGATGATGTTGATGAAGAACTAAATGGAAGACCTGATCATCATCTTCATCATTATCATCATCTTTCTCTCTCATATCTTTCTCTTCTCTTCTCTCTCTCCCTCTTATTGATCTTTCGCTCCTTTCGTTTCTCTCTCTCTCTCTCTCTCTCATTCTGTTTCTTGTGGATAATATTTTTTTCCAGGAGAGAATGATTATGGTTTAACTCGAAAATGAGTTAAACTATTCTCTTCGTTCTTAATTTCAACAATTAAACGAAATTAAGTAATCAAGGTGAATGTCCAAACATTTCGGTTATCAAAACAAACTCATAATTTGAAAATGTCGCCGATTGTTTGAGAAAAACAAATGATGTTTGGAGAAACACTTTTGACTAATCGCTAATTGGTTAGAGAAAAAGGAAGAGAAATTAATTTTTGAACTATTACATGGAAAGTGAAAATCGTATTAGAATCAACGAGAGAGAAAAACGAAAGAAGAGAACAAACTTTTTCTCTTCTGTGTTTTTCTCCCTGTTTCTCTTTTTTAGAAGAGAAAAAAACAGAAGAAAAGAAGAGAAGAAGAAGAGAAGATTGAGTGAGAGCAAATGAGAGAGTGATAGAGTTTATGAGAGAGAGAAAGAGAGAAAGAAAGTTCATCGAGAGAGAGAGAGAGAGAGAGAGGGAAAAGAGGGTGAGTCGAAAGAGAGAAAAAGAAAGAGAAGGAGAAGAGAAGGAAAATGAAGGGAGTCAAGAGAGTATTTTTAGAGAGAGAGAAAAAGAGAGAAAAGGAGAAACTCTTCTCTCTCTCTCTCTCTGTTTCTATCTCTATCTCTATCCTTTTCTCCCTCGTGCTCCTTCTGAATCTCTCTCATCGCTCACTTTTCTTCTTTGCAAACTCTCTCTCTCTTTCTTTCTCTCCTCATTTCTCTTCTTCTTCTCTCTACTCTCTTGCTTCTCTTTTTCTCTCTCTTTCATCAAATTCTGATATTTATTATGATTTTGTTTTCATTTTCACAATTTAATTAAATTGTTCTTCTAATTGTTATGTTTAAATTGAATATTGATCAGTTTGGATTAACAACAAATTAATTTCTATGATTAATTAGAATCAATGGATAAATACTCGAAAAGGTAAGAACTCACTTATGTTTTTATTCTTTTCTCTTCATATTCTTTTCTTGTTTGTGTCTTGTTTTCAGCTCTCTCTTTCTTTCTCTCCCATTTTTCTCTTTCTCTTGGTTGTGTTTGGCTTTCATTTTTTCTCTTCTCTTCTTCTCTTATTCTCTCATTTTTCTTCTTTTTCTCTCGCTCTCTTTTCTCTCTCTCTCTCTCTCTCTACCTCTCTCTTTATTTCTTTCTTCTTTCTCTACACACTCCCTTACAACAAGTTGTCACTCTCCTTTCTTCTTCTTCTATTTGCTGTATTTCTCGACTGATAGACAACAATTAGCTAAATATCTTTTGCTTTTTTAGCATTTTTAGTTCATCATTGTTGGTAATATTCTTTTCGATGATTTAACTAATCCATATTTTCCTCGTTTTGTTTATTTCAATTTCGTCTCATCACATAATCTCTATCAAATGTTTAGTTATGTTCCATCCATTGGAAGAACGTCGCTTTTCGAGGTTGGATCAACCCCACCACCAGTCGCTCATTCAGGTGCTTCTATTTTGAAACGACCACTCAACTCAAGTTTACCTAATGATCAACCATCGCTCCAACAGCAACAACAACATGAATCTAAATCATCTAATAAGAGAAATAAATCTAACCATTCATCTAAACAATCATCATCTTCATCTTCATCATCCTCATCATTAACTCCTTCATCTTTAATCGCGGCTTCTGCTTCTACCATGGGACTAGACTCTATTCATCAAGCTAATCTCCTTCGCCATCATCGTTCTAATCCTTACAATCCCTCTTCTCATCAACAACAAACATTTGATGCTTCAAGATTTTCCCAAACTCATTTGGCCTCATCATCGTCTGAGTTACCAATTAAATTGACCAAATATGATGATCAAAGTGTCAAAGGAAAATCTAAACTTGTTAACCTTTCTTCAAAAAGCCAAATTGAATCTCCAAAACCTCAACAATTGGATGAGTGTGAGAAAGATGTTCCCTTAAATTTATCTGTAAAAAGACCAATGGATAACGATTCTCCCGCTGGAACTAGTGAAAACCATAGAATGGGAAAATCAGCATCTACATCAGCAAATTGTGATGGAAATCGAGACAATTCAAGTAATCATCAGAGAAAGAAGGCAAAACGTCAACAACAAATTTCTCTGCAACAACAACAACAACATCATCAACAACAGCAGCAGCAATTAATTCAACTACAACAGCAACAGCAAAAACAATTACAACAACACCATCAACAATTACAAATTCAACATCTTCAACAACAATCAAAATCTTTATTGTCAAATCCGACAGAGATAATTACAATTCCAAGTATTCCTCATGATGGTAAACCTCGTAAACGAGGTCGACCTCCAATTTTGTCTCCACCACCTGAACCATCACGATCTGATGGATCATCAATAACCGCATCTTTGGCCGCTTCTCTTGCAAATAGTTCTGGTCTTCATCCCGCCGCGGCAGCTTCCCTTTTAGCATCAGCTCAGGGTGCCTTAAGTCCTTTGGAAATTTACAAAACCATTTTAGCTCAGAATTGTTTTCAATCAATGTTTTCGCCAGGATCATTTTGTTCCCCGGCCACCTTAACGGTGATCCATTAGGAGCACTCAATCGTGCCAATAGTTTAAACCTTAACAATCAACTAACAAAATCTCATCAACAAAACAACAACACCAGTAACAATAATGGTAACGCCAGTAATTCAAAAGTTATCGTCTGTGAACCTGTTGATGATAAACGAAAGCGAGACTCTCTCAAAGGAGATGGTTATGAGGGAGATTCTGATTTAGCGGATAATGAAGACATTGACTACGAAATCCCAAAGGTGTTCAATGAGGAAGAGCTTCGTAAACCAATGAAGTTTGGGTTAGTTGATTGATGATTTTAGTGATTCAATTTGCGGGAAAAATATCTCTCTTTCAGATGATTTAACTCTTTAATTTTCTATTCTTACAGGTGGCGAAGACAAACTCTTATCCAGTGTATCACAAAATCTGGAATCAGGGGAGAGGTTATTTACTATTCGCCGAGTGGAAAAAAGATGAGAAATATTACTGAAATTTGCCGGGTTAGTTAATTTCTTTCAAGTTTACCCATAACAATTTGATCTAATTTTCTGTGATGATTTTTTCCAGTATTTGGTCAAAAAGAATATAACCACTGTGCATAAAGAAGATTTTAGCTTTGATTCTCGTCCGATCATCGGAGAATTCATTGAGCATTCAAAGGAAAAAGGAACTGTGAGTTACATAGAAAATTTTGCCTCCAATGGAAACAATTAATTCAATTTTGTATTTTCGAAACAGAGTTTCAATCTTCTTTCGGAAAATGAAGTCCGAGTTCGTTTGGAGGACAACAAAAGACGTCAAGGTCAAGAAGGTGGACGAAGTGATGTAGACGACGCTATTTCTGATATTGAAGCAAGTGCTGTTTCTAAACCAACAAGAACTGCAAGTCCCAGGCCATTTAAACGAGATACTCCTTTTTACAATGATCAAAAGCCGAAAGAGGTAAGTCTTTTATCAACAGGTCTCAAGATTTTCCGAATTTTATCAATTTTATAAACTCTTTGTATCTCTTGTCGCTTTCAGCAACAAACACGAGTTACAATCGAAGAGATTGAAACTCTTCGAGATGATATGTTCAAAAGATATCAGGTCAGTGGTTTTTTTTGCCGCAATTCATCACCTTTATTTCTCAATCTAATTTAATAATTTTGTCTCTTAAAGGAATCAAAGGAAAGCAGTGAAAGGCGATATCAAGCTCCGATGTTTCCTGAATCTGATTTTTATAAGAAAAAAGATCTTGAAATGGTCGCCGAAATTGAAAGAGAACGTCGCAAGCAACACATGATGCTAGTCCGTGCTCTTGACAATCATAAAAAGTTTGAAGAGAGGGAAAGACGAAGTCGACAAGAAATTGCCGAGAAAAGAGCTATCATGGAAAAGAAATTTCAAAAAAGAAAAGCTGAAATCGAAATTCAAAAGGAATTGAAACGTTCAGTCGAAGACATGGTGCTCAAAAATTCTAAGGCTCTTCCAACATTGAATCGAATCCCTGGACTCAAATTACCTTCACGAGTTTTCGCTGATTGTTTAATGTTTTATGAATTTTTACATAATTTCGGTGAAACCCTCGGGTTCGACATGGAAAGTTTACCCTCAATCAACAATCTACAAAAAGCTCTTTTGAATTTAGATGATTCAGCTGAAAAAGAAATTGTTTCAACTCTTCATCAACTTCTAGTTTGTGCCATTGATGACCCTGGAATCCCGTGTAATATCAGCACCGTTATGGGTCAAAAACTTAAAGACGCGCCCATAACCGATTTCAACCTTTCTGAAATATTGAAACTTTATTTCCAATCATTTTCAAACGTGCATTCAGATTCATCTGATGAAGAATACTTACCCACCACTTTATACGAAGTTCTCAAATCTGGAAAGCCATTTTTATCTCTCAATGCCGCCCAAAAGATGGATATTTTAAGTTTCATTTGTAATGAACTTGTCAACAATCAAGCTATTGTTCGACAAATTGAACAAACTGTCGAGAATCTTATTATTCTCCGCCGTGAAAAGTGGGTTCTTGGTTGTGAACTTAGAAAGTACAAAGCAATCAAACTGAGGAGAGAAAAGGCCACAAGTGAAGAAGCTGGAGAAGCATTGAAAAAATTTGATAAGACTGAAATTGATGCTGGTCTTTTGGATGACAGTGGTGATAGTGATGCAGATGATAATATAATCATCACTGTACATGAAACTGATGAAGAAGCGACTATCACCAACGAGGAATTGGACAAAAAGCTAGATAAATTAGCAAAACAATGTGCACAAATGAATATTAAACTGACAAATGCCATGCAATGTATGAGAGTAGTGCCACTTGGTCAAGATCGATATCGTCGCAGATTTTGGGTGTTACCAGCCTCTGGTGGAATATTTATCGAAGGTTTAGAGTCTGGCCATAGAGATAATCTTTATATGGAAGATAGTGATGAGGAAGAGGAAGAATCATCCGAAACGGAGGAAGAAAGTGAAGACATTGAATCTGAAAAGAAGAACAAAAGTGAGGAAGATATCGACATGGAAAAAGATCAGGAGAAAGCTGATGAATCCATGGATGATGAACAATCAAAAAACGAAGTGAGAGGTGGAGTTAAACCCGAAATTAAGGATGAAATTAAAGAAAAACCAGAAGAGAAAAGGGGAAAGAAAAAGACTAGACGAATTCAAGAAAATGGTGAAAAAGATCTTAAAGAAAAGCCCACGCCAGAAGATTCTACCGTCAAGGGGGAGAATGTTTCTGATGTGGAGATGAAAGAAGAATCGGATGAAACCGATGAGAACAAAACCAAGGAAGAAAATGAAGATGATACAGAGATGATGGAAAACAAAGATAATATCGAAGTGGTCGATCTAAAAGAGCTGAAAAAGGAAAAGTCTGGACGAGTTAAACTAGAAAATCTCGGTAAACATTCACTTTCCCCTGAGGTAACGATTGAATTGAAAGGGATGGTTCCTGACGAGAAACCAAGTAATCGCGAGACAACGGTTACTATTCAGCCCGTTTCCGCTCCTTTGAAATCTTTGCCTAAAGAAGAAATTAAATGTGATATGGAAATTGCTGGTATTAATACAATTCGACAACCTTTGGGTAACAACAGTGATGGAACATGGATCTCACCAGTAACCGATGGTTTTCCAAGATCATCATTATTTGATTCTAAAATGGGCCCTTCCAATTCAAGTGACTTTAATTCTCGAAACAGTTTCCTGGATGCTTCAGGTTTCCCTTTTGAAAGTGTTAGTCCTGAACGATCTTGGTTCAATGTTGTCCCTCGAATCCCTTGTAATGATACAACTATAACTATCTGTCCAGTTCCAAGTGTAACAGGTACTTCATCCTCCTCACCTTCAGCTCTCGATAACCAGTCAACCTCTAAAGTAAATGAATCTGGGGAAGAGTCTGATAAATCTCTCATTTCACCTGAAAATTCATCATCACCAACAAAACCTTCTCAAAATGTATTCATGGAAACTTTTGTATATCCTCATTTATCTGGATCTCTATTTTCTCAAAACTCCACCAATGCCACGAATGGTGCTAAATCCGAGGCTAACTCATCAATTAATGATCTTCAATCTTCATCTCAACATCAAACTTCCTCATTGACCAATGGTGACATCGATATGTCCGTTGTTAATCCTTCCCTCCTCACAGGACCCGAATTTGAAATTGATCCAGAATTATTAAAGAAATTGGAACAACATAAAAAACAACAACATCGTAAACCTAAAAGAATCCCTGAAGAGTTTCAACGAGGCTGGTGGATCATAACGGACATTGGTCAGATCAGATCAATAATTGAAACTCTTAATGAAAGAGGATTCAGGGAAAAACATTTAAAGAAACAATTGACCAAATATTTAACTTATGTTTCTACAAACTATAAAGCTGCAATAACGGAATTCGATATCTGTGATCTTGATCGTAAAGTATCTCAAGAATCTCCCTTCGGTGTTCCTGAACCAATCGAAGATGATATTTGGTGCAAAGAAGTTGCCCTGCGTTTGGATATTGCCGTTTTAGAGCAAATCGAAGCCTTAGAGGAAAAGATTGCGAGCTCTAGCATGCAAATTCGTGGCTGGAGACCAACGTCAAAATTGTCAACAGATTCTAATGTTAAATTTGAATTATCACCATTATATGAAATGGTCGATGAAGAAGATGAAGATGGTGATGAGAAACAAAAACCAAGTACAAAAAGTGATGACCAACCAGCACCAAAAGAGACGAAAAATAAAAAGAAAGTATTTGATCCCGTTGTCTCAGGACGCTCACGATTATTGGCCACCGAAGCTGGTATTGAAAGGAGATACCTCAAACCTCCTTTGGGTTTCAAAGCAAACACAATACTTGTTGCCTCAGCGAACAGTAATGGCGATGAATATGCTGATAATGCCGCTGACGAAAATGCTCCCACTGGTCTAGTTCGTTGGCGTGAAGCTGTTCGAGAATGTAGAAGTGGTTCTCAAATAGCTTTGTTACTTCATTTTCTAGAGTCATGTATCGCTTGGGATAAATCAATCATGAGAGCGGTAAGTCAAATCAAACTTTTCTTCTTAAAATTCGATCTAATATCATTGATTATTCTGTTATTTCAGAGCTGCCAATTCTGTAGTGGCGGAGAAAATGAAGCTCAGCTACTTCTCTGTGATGGTTGTGACAAAGGTTATCATATGTATTGTTTTAAACCTAAAATGGAAAATGTTCCGGATGGAGATTGGTTCTGTTATGAATGTCAAAATAAAGTAAGTGAAATCTGAATACAGAAGTACAATGAATATATCATGTAAAGAAACTTGGATACTAAATTGTTTTTATTTTTCTAATAACTCAGAATACAATTGACAAAGTTTGCATAATTTGTGGTAAGAAAGGAAAACTAATTAACTGTGATACTTGTCCAAAAGTTTTTCATCCCAATTGTTTGGATCCTCCTGTTACTAAGTAAGTCTATTGCTAATAAGAATATTGTTAATAAGAATTTGAATTGTAATTTCTAATAATTTCTCTTCATTGCCAATATTTAGACCGCCTAAAGGAAGATGGTGCTGTAATATGTGTAATCGTAAACCAAAGAAGATCATCAAAGGTCGTAAAACGATGACATCTCTCAACGCTGCGGCAACTTCAGCGATTGACGAGGCTCCCAAGAAAGATTCATCATCTAATAATAAGTCAACGTCATCAACTTCAACACCTAAAGAAGAAACAACAACAAAAAAGTCTAAACCAACGAAACGATCAAAAAAGGAGGTAAAATCATCTCAACAATCATCATCATCATCAACGGGAAACACAACAGCAGCAAATGATTCAACCACGAGCGCAACAACAACAACGCCAAAGGAAACTAAGAAAGAGAAAAAAGCTAAACAAAAAAGTGAGGAAAGCAAAGAGATGGTAATATGTGAAAATTTATTAAAAGACTTGACAGCTCATGAAGATTGCTGGCCTTTCTTATTTCCGGTCAATACGAAACAATTTCCGACTTACAAAAAGATTATTAAAAAACCTATGGACTTTGAGACAATCAAGAGCAATTTGAAGGCAGGAGGGTTAGTTGACCCTTTTAAACATTGAATTTGTTAATTAATTTCTTTCTGTTATCCATTATCTTTAATTTATCCATTTATTTTATTTTAACCAATTTTTTTTTCTTTCATTTATCATCTAAAACAATTGTATTTACCTTATTAATTTTTTTCTTCATCTTTTTCCAGGTACAAAAACAAAAGCGAGTTCATAATTGATTGTCGCCTAGTTTTCGATAATTGTGAAACTTTCAACGAAGATGAATCACCTGTTGGGATCGCAGGTCACAATATGAAACGATTTATGGATAAAAGATGGAGAGAACTGGGAGGAGAAAATTAATTACCATTTAATCAAGAGCAATTTAAATTTTTGGTGTGTGCGTGTGTTATTTTTCACGGGAAAATCTACAAAGACAACTTATTCGCATTAATCAACACACAACATCATTTACTAAATCATTTCAAACAAATTTAAAGCAACAAAAAACTAATCTATTTCTAGATCATGTAAAGGTTCAAATGATTCAGGGAAATTGTATCTCGTCATCTTGTATTTTGTTTTTGTTTTTTTTTGTAAAATTCTCATTATTATTTCGGAAGCTCATGTATACTTACTGAATATTTACTTTCCTTTTCCTCTTATCCATCTTGCAATTTCTTGATTAATGTTGTTATCCTTTCGTTTTCTCTATATCTTGGTCCTCTTTCTCCTTGCAAATTTCCCACCTTCCAAATCTCATGGAATTGACCTCATTTTTGCTCCTCTTACCGAAAAAACACCGAGAAAAACTCCGTTTAATATTCATCTACGATCACCTGTAAAAAAAACTCATTTTATCTATTCTATGTATATAATAGTTTACATTCCTTTCCTAAATTCAATTAAAAACAATGATCTGTTCAAAGAATTGTCAACATGATTCAAATCAACGAAAACATAAAGATGATTTCAAATGACGAAAATCAGATGAAATTTATGATAATTGTAATCAAAAACACGAATTTCGAATTCAGAAATTTCTAATGACGATAATTTGATCGAGTGTAACTGATTAGGTAAATCTGATTGAAGTTCTGAAAGTAAGAGTGTTGATAAAAAATTTCGAACAATTAAATTGATTGTACAACAAGAGTACAAAAATCTTATCAACATTTCGTAGAAATCAACAAAGGGAATAATCAATCAAAATGAATATACGAATTCCGAACTTTTACAAAATTTTCATGTAGAAATTGACATTGGAATGATAAGCAAAGAACTTTAAGAATTTTAAATTATAATTTCACCTTTAATTCTGAACTGAATTGAAAGAAGAGTATTCTTACAGATCAATAGATGTCACCCGGTAAAAGAGCTTCAGATGAATCGGAAAATTCATGTAGTTGAGATTAACTGAATTTTTGTAATAAAAATTGAACGTAAATCCGATTACCCAGTAAATCAAACAACCAAAAGAAAAGTAGGAAAAAAACAACAAGAGATATTAGTAAATATTAGTTTATCGTGATAATCACAACAATTGAAATAAACTTAGTAACCCAATCAAGTGAAATAGGAAAACAAAGTTAATTACTATCAAGATGATGAATCAAGATGAATGAAACTTATCAAACTTACAAAGGGACAAGAAAACCCGATAATAGATTAACTGTTTCACTAATATTACCTTGTTGTTTTTTCAAATGCGTGTGGAGGTAAATATATCAATCAATTTTGAAGTGAGAGAGGAATTAATTTGTTGACCTAATTTCAAAGAAAGAGAGAGAGAGAGAGAGAGAGAGAGCTCTTTATACAAAGTTCGTTGAGAGTAAGTGATGATGATGAAAAACTATCATCCTTAACCACACTATTCTTAACAGTTCATCGGCCATTTCAGAATGCGGAAGACACATAAAGCCGTATATATATTTGTATGTTCACCGAATATAAATACATAAGATGCCCCTTTTTCTCCGCCCTCTCTCTTTTTTTCTTTCCTCACTTTTTTTCTACATCTTCATCCTCATCCTCATCATCTTCATCTCTTTCTTACTTTTCTCGGACAAGCCTGCGGGAAGAAAAACAGGCCAGCAAGGTTGAAGAGTCAACTTGAATGTTGGCTTAACTTTTAACCTCACCTAACGGACCACCGTTAATATTTCATCCCATTTTAAGGTCTTGGTCAAGGCTGTAGAGAAGGATGATCAGGATGATGATAAGGATGATGGAAAAGTAGTAGTATTCCTTGGTAGTATTATAAGGAGACGATCATGTATCCGCTATATGAGTGTCATGATACCAGGGGTTGGATGAAGATGATTTGTCTTCACAAGCAAAATGAATCCATCTTTCAGTTCTGAAACTTGCACTTCTCTTTTTCTCTTCTTTTTTATCATCATCTTCATCTTCTTTCTCCTGGTTAATATATATCATCATGGAAGGGTCCAGGTCTCTCTCTCTCATTCTCTCTTCATGGTAACTGTAAAACCAGTCAGTCAATTATCATAATCATCTTCATCATCATCGTCATTATCAACAGGAATTAATGAATTTCTCATTTCCAATGAATCTGGTTTTTTTTGTTCTTCTTGATTCTTTCATTGATTAATATCTCAATTGAATATAAGAGGCTAATTGGAATTTGCATCATTATTCATTAGCCTTACCTTTCTTTTTGTTTTGATTTACTAATCATCATCATCTCTCTCTCTCTCTCTCTCATTTTCATCTTTCTTCCTTAAAACCAATTAAACTTTTATATTCAGTTAACTTCCGATCAATTTGGTGACTCTCAAGTTTCAAGTTCATCATGATGATTTTCATCATTTGCTGCAACATTGAAATCAAGCAAAAGAATAAAGAAAATTGTTCTAAAATTTAATTTCCATCATCTCACTTTTCCGTTTATTTTCAATGTCTCATGAACAATCAACGATATCACAATTAGATATTGAGAGTTTGCTTAAACTTTTAATAATATTAACGTGAAATTATAACTGGTCAGTCAATATTAACTTTATTATCTTGATAATTAGTGAGAACATAAATTTGATCAGATCATCTTGATTTCTCAATAGTTTATCGTTATTATCATGGTATCAGAATCATCATTCCAAGATTTGTAACATTGATTCCTGATGATTTAGTTGGCTGGCTGGTTGATTGTTGCTTCTGAGATGAGAAAAAAAAGTTCAATAAAATGTTTCTTCAGTATTAGAGGGCTCTAAGAAAGTAATCAAGGTAATTAAGTTAATTAAGGTAAACAGAATTTTTCTATAAAAAGTTTTTAAACTAATTACGAGTTGACACCGAAACGAGCAAAGTAAAAACTGAGACTATTAATCAGATATTTTTCTTGTTTTTAGAGCAAAATTGACATGAAAACGTCGCTTATGACGTAAATTTTGTATTCTACAATTAAATCAAGAACAAATTAGCTCATAATTAAACATTCGGCCATTTAAATTGTCCATTCTTTCATTGTTGTTACCCATACGATTAGAAATCAAGCTTATCAATCCTGGATAAATTGTGTTACAAAACTTAATTCATGACTTGAATATGATTAGAAACTCAATTTAGAGTAAAGTAAATTAAATAATCTTATAAATGGAAATGATCTCAAATAAAGTGAGAGATTATGATGATGATTTAAAAGCGATTAAAATAATTACGATAAATATTTGAAAGCTTTTAATGTATAATAATAGATGGACAATGGACACAGGTGAGAAGAAGATGGAAGAAAAAAAGTGATGACGATGATAAGATAAAAGTTTTCGATGAATGAAATTTTCTTGATGAATTAAGGAGTAGCCATTAGTACATTTTGGTGTGGTCAACCTTTCGGAAACCAATATTAGCCTAAATTTGTGTGTGTGTCCATCGTTTTCATCACTATTCCTTCATGATGAAAAGAATCACTTCTATCTCTTTCTCTCTCTCATCTTCATCATCATCATTCTAACCTTGTGTTCCAATGAACTTGATAATGAATCGAGTTTTCTGTAATAATAAATATCTATATAAAAGAAAACACATAATATATATTATATAAGAAATAATAATGATAATGTTACATCAGGTAAAAGGATAACGATAATAAGTAGTACTTATTAAAGGCGTTAAAATGTTACACAGACATGAAGAAAAGAATAGGAAAAGAAGATGAGGATAAAGGATGAAGATAAAGAAGAAGAAGAAAAAATTGAAGAGAAACAGTTAGATGGCGAGGAATAAGATGAAGATGAAGATGAAAGAGATGTGTTAAAAGGGAGAGACGGTCAAAGTGGCCTGAAAAAAGGGTATTCTTCGGTTCCTTGTACCTTGTTCTCTCTCGCTCTCCTCCTAAGTAACATCCGTGAATCGAAAAGAGAGGTTACACCAAGAGAAGAAAAGAAAGAGAAGAAAGAAAAACAAGATGTGTGTATATTTAGAAAAAGAGAAGCTAAAAGATGAAGATGATGAAGATGATGATAATGATGATGAGAAGAGAGAGAGAGAGAGAAAGATGAGAAAGGTAAGTAACGCCCTTTACCTTGATTTTGGTATTTAATCGTAAACAACCGGATTCAATGAGTTCTTGTTAAACTCTGGTCAGATCTGATTTCTTCCTTTGCTTTGTCAATTGTTATTTTCTGTGAGTGAGTAAATTTTGTGGACACAATATAATTGTGACAATTGTCTCAACTTTACCATCACCAAGCACAGTTGAATTAATCAACTGTTTTAATATCGTCGTCCCGTTAATCGGCTAATTCCTGATTCATTTTCACTTGTGTGTGATTTATTATATATTACATATCTTCCAGTGTGTTGAGTGATCCAATTCTCTCACCAAATTTTAATCATCACCACAAACACAACAATTAAATACTCATATTAATCATGACGACAATCCGGATACTTTTGGTAATCTCTTGTTTGGCCACAGTCGCTCCCGCTGCAGTTAAACGTGATGAATTTGGTGGTGCAAATCCCTCCGGTAAGTTGATAACTATCATCATAATTGTCACTAATTTTCATCGAGAAATCATCGATAACAATTAACAACAATCCCAAATTCTAACACAACGATAACAATAATAGTAATAGTAAATACCCTCCATTAGTGGTCAAGGATTTTCCTTTTAAAGTTGTAAATTAGCTCTTGACCCTTTACCATATAAATGATTATCTTTTTAAATTGCTGATCGTTATTGCAAATCATTGAGAGCCCGTTTTATGACCGTTGGTTGTAAGATGATTGATTAAACGCCTTTACCACATCCAACTGACCTTAATATTGTTCATGATGAAGAGAAAAAAATTAGGCTAAAGCCCTTTGATTAACATGATGATTTCTTTTATGATCTTCTCGTTTTATTGTTATATTATAATTCTTACTTGATTTACTTGTTTCATTTTGATTTTCGTCTCTCTCTCTCTCCTTCTTTCTCTTTCTTTCTTTCTTTCTTTCTCTTGGACTTTTAGCTGACCATCCTAACACCAGTTCAGGTCAAAACTATCAGGCAGGTAGCTCAGGTTCATCCCCAGGAAACCTGTACTACTACTATTATCCTGTTGGAGACAAGGGGAAGGAACATGGATATCAGGCCAGTTCATCCAACCAGTTTACCAGCTCAGTGACACCAGGTAACGGTAATTCGGGTTCTAGTGAATCCGGTTCTCCTCATACCTCTGCCCTGGAGACACCGACAAGTGGCCAAGATTTAAGCTATTCAGCTCAAGATCTAAGCTATTCTGCCCAAAATCTTGGACAACAAGGAAACTTGGGTCAATCTGGTGGTTCAAGTCCCGTTGGTGATTATTCAAATCAAGCCGGTTCATCTAATTACGATCAATTAAGTAGCATTGCCAGTCAACTTCAACAATACGGTTTCGGATCAGGTTCATCAGGCAATTCAGCTTTTGCTCCAAACAATGGTGCTGGATACTCACCTTCAGGTTCATCTTATAATTCAGGTAAACACACAAAGTTTAATTGTCATTGATAAAAGTTAATTAGATACTCTTGCCAATAGATATTCATTGGAAACATGTTGACAATTTTGTAGTAAACAATTTTCAAAAGTTAGTTGAATTTACGCTCTGTTGATTTTTCACCGATTGTCATCATGTTCCTTGATGATAGTCATGATCATTAGGATAATTATGTAATATTATTTTCCTGATCAACGATTTTTTCCCAATTTTCCAAAACAAAGTTCCAAGTAAATTTGAGGAAGAAACTTAAATATTAATACATTTCTGGTGACAATCACAATTGTCAAAACGTGCCAAGAGATTATAAACTTTTCTGTTTCTATCAACATCATGACAACTTCAGGCCATTTTCAGGGTTAATCTTATTGACGAAAATACGTTTCGATCAAGTTGACAGACAGATACTGTTAGTTTCGGATGAATGAAGTTAAATCACCAATCACCAAATTTGGTTAAACACCGGATCCTTATGATCAATTTAAATCAAATCTACAGACCAGTTAGTTTGAATTGAGATCAAGACGACACTTTTGATGACAAAAAGCTCATTGAGTGACAATCAAAGGTTGACTAATTATCTCTTTAAGAGATGAAATTGGGCAATGATTAGAAGGCTATTAACTAAATTAGCGTCGATTAAGTTGAACTTACAATAATTAGTGATGTTCCCTTTTAAAATTAATGAACTTAGATGGTTAAGCCTGTTGTTGATTAGAATATTGTTAAATACCCTGAGAGAGTTTCTTTTAATGATCAACATGATAATGATAATGAGAAATTAATGAAGAGAATTTTTATCTTCCGGATTTGTTTGTTTGTTTTTTTCTCTTCCTCATCTTTTTTTTTATCTTCATCTTTTCTTGGATAAATTATTAGGAAATAGCTACAATTTAAATAGCGATGCAAATGGTGCTGGCTACTCTTCAGGCTCTGGCTCAGGTCCAAGTAGCTCCTCTTTCCCAGGTTCTGGTAGTGACGCCTCAGGGCCTTACTCATCTTCTGGACCTGTTCCCGGTTTCAGTGGACCCGCTGGTTCAGGTGCCCCAGGCGGATATGGTGGACAACCAGGTTCAATTCCATACGCTTCACAAGGTGGTTACAGTCCATACCAATCTCATGGCGGTTATGATACTTATCCAGCAGCATCCAACAATCATGCCGCTTATGAACCACCAGCAACCGGATATCGACGATATGGAATCGGTTCAGCCATCTTACCAATCCTTGCACTCGCCGGATTATCACTTCTCATTCCAACTGTAACCTCACTTTCAACCGCTGCCACTGGCCGTAAACGACGATCAATCGATACACCAGCCAAAGATGCAGGTCTTGGTGCCTACTTTGATCGTATCGAACGATACTATTCACTATACAAAAACGCCGTTGAACGGGAAGAATGTATGAATCGAATTCTCTGTGAGCTTGGTGATGCCATGAGTAACGTTCGAGGAAAATCAACCTTATTTAAGTGAGTATCCTAAAACCAATCTCTCTCTCTCTCTCTCTCTCTTCCTGAAAGTGATTAAGATTGAGAAAAAAAGTTACATCGTTAGTTAATTTACTATTTATATGAAAGATTAAACCTGAAAACCAGTTAAATCATGATAATAGTTCAGCGACACTTTTCCATGATAAATGTAGTAAAGTTAATGAAATTTACCTGCGAATTTATTATCTTATTTCATATCTTACTTATCTTCTTATTTTCTATCATCTTTCCTTCCTTATCATCATCATCATCTCTAACTTGGTGTTTACCTGTTCAGTGTCATGGAGAAAGTTGCTCCAACATGGATGAACAATAAGGTTGGTGCCCTTAAAAGCGGTGCTATTTCAGCCGAGTACGGAAAATGTAAAAAATACACTTGCCAGTAAGAGTAAAGGTTAATCGTATTTTTTAATCAACACTAGAGAAAATTAAAAAAAAACCTCTCCACCTCCACCATCACATCACCAACCAAAACCACCGCCAAAACAGTTAAAAACTTCATCAAAGTTTCTCAATCAAAATGTTTGGAAGAGAAAATTAAAAAGAAGAAGAGAAAAAAAAAGAAAATCAAATTTACTATCAAACGTTTAAGTTAATGATTAAAAGAAATCAAAGTTACACTATGGAAATGAAAAAAAGAAAAGCGGAATTAGGTCACTTTCATCATCGTCGTCCATTGGTTTTTAATTGCGTCCACTACACACAAATGAAACAACCCACCTAGGAAACAACAAAGTATATAAGACAATTAATAATCAAATTTTTCTTCTAATTTAATTAAGACAAACAATTAATTTATCAACACAAAAAAATCACAATCAAGTCTTAACCCAATTTGTTTAACAAAGTGATGGCGATGACAAGATTAATCGGATGATCACCAACGCAACAATTAAATGACCAACGAAGCTACAAAACAAAACATTAATTTTGATAATAATATAATAACAATTAATTAATAATAATATATAAATAATATATATGTAAACTTATAAATAATATTGAATAATAATAATTAGTGGCCTCGCAATGGCCATTTAAAATCAATCGTTCTGATTAATTTATCGGTTTACCTGAGATTCAATTTAACTTGGAATCAGTTTTAATTGTTGAATATATTCAACTGAATTAGATCAATATAACTGTGTTAGGTCATTTGATCGTGAATAGCGTTTGGGACAGACAAAATTAACCCGATTTCTTTTAATTATCATCCGTGAGTGTTGTTGATGATCAATTGGATGAGCATGATGATGATGGAAACACAATCAATAAAGATAATCCAATGGAATCTTAATCCTTTCCCTTTTGTTAATTGTTATTATTGAAACTCTTACTTGTCTCAGATTGATGATCAATCAATCAATACTTAATTGTGTCAATTCCGTGTCTTGCATCAGTTAATTGTGGTAAGAGAAACAATTGATTGTCTAACCAAGTGAACCATCAAATTTGATCAATGAACGTTAATTTGATAAACAAAGACAAATAAGTTGATTGGGTTAGAAATCATCTCGAAAATGAAACATCATCTTAAAGATGATCTAATCAACGACATTGAAAAGTAAACCATCTAATAAGATCAATGAAGAATCAATAAATGAGAATTTAAAGAGAAATACTGAAACAATTAAGAGACAACAATTAAGAAAACGAAACAAATAACATAACCGTAAACGCAATACAAAAACAGAAAAAATCAACAGATCTTTGGTTAAATTGGTTTGATCATTTGAAGAAAAGAGATGAAATTAGTTAATTATTGATATTTAAAAGGTTGTAATTGATTTAGGATCGTGATTAATAAATTTTGATAACTAACAAACTCATAATGAATCAAGAACAATTGAGTTAATTACCACAAAGAGCAAAATTTTTGCTTTAAAATACTTAAATTGAGTGTGAAAATAACAGAGTTGAACAGGATTTCAATTGAATATCAATCCTTTAATCTTAATCCATTACAATTAACTTGATTGTTACATAAATGGCTAAACAACGAATTGGATTGAGAGTAAATTAAAACATGGACGTGCTAAACTTTCAAGATAATTGGACACGTTTCCATGCTCAGGATTAGGACAAGAAAAAGGTTTTACCTTATTTGATTCCTTGCTAACATTATATTATCATTATCATCATCATCATCATCGTCTTTATTATTAATAATAATAACTGTTAAGGTCACATTAATTTAGGAAAAACTTGTTTACCTGTATTAATATTTATCTTTCTACAGGTAACATATTCCAGTTAATGCTTAGTATTTATGGTGTGAGTTTTATTTCAGGAAGCAATCATCTTGCTTCTCAATGATGCTGATGATGGTGATGAAGATAATGATGATTCTGATCATTTGAAACTGAACATCTCAAGAAAAGTAAAAAGATTAAGGTGATGAAGATAAATATTAGCAAGAGAGGTAAAGGAAGTGTTATAATCATCAAGTGAGAGAGGAAAATGATGAGAAATGATGAGAAAACGATATTCAATTATATGGAAAACTTGATTAGCTCTGGAGAGTTGGAATTAATTAGATGATTCAAATTAGAATTAAATTATTAATAATCAATAGTTACAAAGTTTCTAGATTCTTGTTGGGACTTTCGTTTCTGTCTTAATTGTGATTCTGTGTTTCATCATCATTATGATATTTAAGTAATTAAGACTCGGGGTATTGGTTATGTGATTATAACGATTTAATTTTAATCATTTTGGCTTTTTTTTAGATTACTGATTGACTGTGTAACAATTTGCTCTAATTATCAACTAATAGATTTACTCTATTGACCAATAATTTAGTTGATTGTTAAAATGATTATTTATTAATCATTATTATTATTGTGATAAAAAAAACTTCAACAATCTGATTGTTGGGCTAGTATTCAAGAGATTAATCTTAATTGTTTCATCATCATCAAGTTTAACTTTACTCACGCCTAAATTGTAATCAATCAAATGTTAATCATTGACAATCTCTATTAACCTTTCCAAATAATCAATTGATGATCCATCAAAATGAAAGAGTTTACATTTAAAGGTAAATGATGATTTAATTATTTCGTTTCTTTGTTTCTCTTGATTATAAAAGTTTGCAACCACTTTTAATTAACAGTTACTGGTAATTAGTCAAAGATAAATCTAATCGGATGACCATTTGAAAAGATAATACCAGTTAATTGAGAGGACATTGATTATTATCATATGTTTGGATTAGCTTAATCTCTCATTGATTATCATTATCGTCGCGAGTAAATTAAAAGTGATTACAAACTCAAAATCGGTGGCTGTATATCCAAATTTTAGATTGTTAAAGTTAAGATGGTCAAGATTAACTGGATTTATTAATTGTCTTCTTCTCCTTTTTTGTTTCCTAATCTAATCAATTACAATTTAGGTTAATTAAAATCACAGAAGTTGATGATCAAGGAAACGAAATCTATTAATAGTTAATCAACATTGAACTTCGCCCATCAAGTAAATATAAAGGTTAGTTTGTCAACAATTATTCCAACAATTAATAAATCATCAATTCTAATTGTAATGATATAACCTATTAATGGTTAGTAAGATCAATCAACTAACAAACGATTGGATTGAAAAAAAAAACACTAATTTAATTGTTGATTCACATTTTATAGTGAGATTAAATTAATCAGCTAATCTTTATTTTCTGATCATTTTAATTGTTTATTTATGCTTAACAATTAATTTATATCTTAATTTTGCTCAACTGATTAATAAATCTATCACTTGCAACCTCAATCAGAATCAATTAATTACTTATTCATATCATATATGTGAATGATTAAGATTCAATCATGATGATTAAAAGGATTCATTGGATAATTTGATTGACGATAATCTTTAAATAAACTAATCAACGAGATGAAATTAATTGTTGGTCAAATTGTTGTTTATTATCATCTCTCACTAATCTGTTAATCGCTATGAGTTTAACTGTTATGTTAATTGTGCTTTTGTTACTTTGATTAAACGTTTTATCATCTTAATCATGATCATGATAAAACTTTTGATTGACTTGTTAATCAAGAATTAACTAAATGAAAGTCAATCAAATAAATTGTGATGATCAAGAAATAAAAAACTAAATATTTTTCAATTCACTTAATCTATTAAAAGATTTTCACATTTCCAACAATTAACTAACTAACACCAACAATACAATTCAATTTCATGGTTGATTCAGATTTGCTTAACCATTTATTTAACTTAATTGTAAACGATCAACATGACATGCAAGTTAAATTGTTTTGCATTAATGTCAACAATTAACTGGGACAAGTGATCACTTTTTAATCATTTCACTTTAATATTCAAATTAGCTCGTTAATTGTTATCACTTATACTTGATAATCAATCAAACAATGGAAATTTAATTTGAAAAAGTGCTGATAATCAAATCAACTCTTAATTGTTGGTCAAATTTAGACGGTTAATTTGATAATAATATTATTAGTACATCACTTATCTGATTGAAATTGATTTGATTACAATGTAACAATTTATTTTTGTTTTTAAAATTAACCTTGAATAGATTTGATTGTTAACTTTTAATGATTGAGATTGTTAATTTGATTGTGATGATACTTTCTTAATATTCAATATATCAATTTAGATATTGATTGTTATTAAGGAAAAATCAAAGATTAGTCTTTGTTTTCAACACTAACAATTTAGGGAATCATTTGATTGTTGTGAATTAGATTACGATCAAATTTGATTGTCAATGATATCTTTTCATTGTATTGGCCTAATATTAATAGTTGAATTGTTATTATTAATTGTGGCATCGTTACTATCATTTTTGATAAATAATTGTAAGATTCATGAATGAAATTAACAATAAAGTGATCATCAAGTTTAGTGTTCAATTGAATTGAGGCTAAATTGTTGGATTAATTATGTAAACTGATGTCCCAATGACCTCAAGAAAGCAATATTTAGATGATTGGGTTAATTTCAAGTAAATTGATTTGTTGATTAAAATTGTAATTTACTTATAATCGTTAATTGTGATAATTATTTCAAGTTTACATGTTGAAAATAATAATAATTTATGAATGTGTTGTAAAATTAGAATCAATTTTAATTGTTATGATGATTTAAGGTTGTTGATTGTTAACAATGAAGTTAATCAACTAATGACCATCGTTTATTGTACTTTAAAACAATCAGTTGATTGCTAATTAAATGTAGATTTATATAAATAATTTAACTTTTTCCGGTTTAAATTTTGATCACTTTGTTTCAAGTCTATTGGTATTCAGGGAATAACAATTAAGTTGATTATGTAGATTGAATTAGTTAATTTTGGTTGCATTTTTGGAATTGGAGTTTAAATTTCTTGCAAATTTGACTAAAGTCTCAGCTGGCCAAGGTTCTCTCACAGGTAAATTAACTGGACCATAATAGTAGGACGGAGGAGGAGGAGGTGGATAAGGTGATGATGCCTGAGGCGGAATATAAATGAATCCTGGTCTTTTTGTTTTCGATTTCTTTTTTTTCGACTTCATTAAACCAGCGAATACATTTGGAAATTTAATTTGACTCGGTTTCTTGTTTCTTTTCGTCGTGATTGGTATTGGTGACAGAGAAGGTAATTGTGGAGGTGAAGGGATTGCCATTAATTGTGGGTGATGATGATTATGTTGGAGGTGATGACCATTGATTGAAGGATTAGGTCCATAGTCGACAACTTTACGATAATAAAATGGACTGAAATCATTGGGGATGACCAGTTCTACCTTGTGAGATGAGGGATTGGAAGAAGATGGTGATGAAGATGAGGATGGAGATGTTAAAGCGGACGATATGGACGAAGTTGAAGATGGAGAAGTGATTCTTGATGATGAAGATGAAGCGGGAGGTAAGATCATCTTTCTCCATTCGATTTTAACATATCTTGGTCTTCCGGGTAGGGAAGGTGTTAAAGTTGGACTTGGAATACGAGGGCAATCAGTTAATTGTGGTTTATTTGGATAACGGTAAGGATTATATCCATCTGCATACTCGGATATTTGTGGTAACGCAACTGGAGATGGAGTATTATTATAACTAACTGAATTAACAGTAATCGCACTGTCGTTGTTAGTTGAGAGATTCTGTTTACCGATTAAATTTAAATTTCCATCTCCATCTATTCCGGGAACATTTTTCTCACCATAATCATACTTTTCATCGCCATAATCTTGATCCAAATTAATTATATCACGAATCGACTCGTAGGTACGATTTTTGGCTCGAATAGGTCGACCTTTACCATCCAATTGGACATTAACTATTTGACCATTAGGAGATAAGGTCACTGATACGGGAGACGGAGACGGTGGCGATGATGTTAACGTTGTATTTGAGCTCGAAGCACTTTGTCCAATGTGTATGATATTTGTATCATTGATGAGAGGCCCCCAACGGACACTATTTGATGGGAAAACAAAAATACACAATAATAATAACAAATCTAATGAAATTAAATCAATCCAATCCATTATTAAAGTTTAAATTGTCCATCAAATTAGTAGATTATTAAAACGCTTACACCAAACACTTTCAACATAAAAAAATTTATGTAATCCAATTGTGAACATGGATTTGGAACCAAAATATAAACTACAGTTTTGAATGAATCAAATTCCTTAATTGTGTGACATCTCGGTTAACCATTTGATCCATAAGTGAGTCTGTAAGTGGTGACAACTAAAAAGATGATAGGAAGATAATACAAAGAGACAATTAAATTTGCTTAACCAGATCTTCCAATTGAATACTGACCTTGTTTCCCGAAAGCATAGATGCCAAGAAAAATGTCATGGTCAATGGATGAGTCAACATATTTGTTTTAATCTTTACACATCTATTGGTATATCAGGTTGTTAACTAATTGTCACAGTTAACTGAAAATTTTCAATAGAATACAATTGGCCTGAATGAGAAAAGAAAAGAAAAAAATCAAAAAAGAGAAAAAGAGAAAAAATTCATACAGAGATGGAGAGAAATGAAAAGCTTCAGTAGTCAATAAGAACAAGAATAATTTCCACCATGATTCCAATCCAAATAAAAGATATTTTTTACTTGGAAAATTAAGAATTTAATTAATTATCAGTCATTAAAAACTCTGTAGTCAATTGTTACTTAAGTTGAACAAAATCAATATCAGATTGAAATAAATTTGCAAAGAAAACAATAGAAACATTCAATTGTTGCTTACCTTTAATGTTGATTTTATTTTTTCCTGCTTTGGGATTCATATCAAGTTACTCGTGAAGATATTGAATCAATTATTGTCAATTTCTTAATCACTACAATTAAAAAAATATACGAAACTTTGAGTAACATTATCACTGGAAAATTTGAGAACCAGAATTTGAAAAGACCAGAAATCGAAGATTTGGAATCGATCCAATGAAATAAATCGATTAACTTGAATAATTGATGGAAAAAATCTGATAAAATCGCGATTCTGTTCGATATTGACTTGAAATTAAGATCGATATTTCTGATTGATTCGATTACTCGGTAACCACATGCGACTGAAAAATCCATTTGTGTTTACATTTTTTTAGTTAATTAATTGTTTTCATTAGAATTGCCTGATGATGTTAGCAAAAAGATTTCTACAATTGGGATCATTAGTTAATTATAATGTTAAATGTTCCAGTAATTTGTGTGGAAAAGGTTTGATCTGTGGTCAGTATGCGATAGAAAATAGAAACACATCTAATCTTAGGTTCAAATCAACATTTTCATCGCCATCTTCATCCTCATCTTCAACTAAACCATCTAAATTAAAAGTATTTCTTGTCGGAGGATTAACATTTTGTGCCACTTATGCCACTATCGAAGGATTCAGTGGTTATTTCAAAAAGAGTAAAAAAGTGGACGAAGATCATGGAAAACCAAGTGAAAATCACCTTGAATGGGACAGTTATTTAAGAACAGGTAACAAGTTTAATTCTCACTTATTATTCATTTACTTTAAATCAATGAAAATCCAATAAGTTCATCAGTTCATCAGATCTTTACAAGTTGAGTGACTTTCGAATATCAAATGATAAACCTTCAGCAATCATTGTTTTCTATTAATTAATAATATAATTTTTCTTTCTATTATTTTAGTTCAGAATAAACCGAAAGGAACAATTGCCGGATTCGTAATTCCAAAAGAAACTCTACCGACTATCCCAGTTTCTCGAGAAGTTGATGGACCTTTCAAACTAAATGGAACCAAATTGTCACTATTTCAATATCAAACGTGTCCATTTTGTTGCAAAGTCCGATCTTTTCTAGACTATTATGGTTTACCTTATAATGTTGTCGAAGTTGATCCAGTTATTAGACAGCAATTGAAATTTTCTAAATATCGTAAAGTACCAATATTATTGGTCGATGAAAAAACTAAGGATGGTAAAGAATCAAGCAAATATGTACAATTAACTGATTCATCATTGATTATCTCGATTCTGTCCACTTATTTAATGTACAATCAAGGAGCTGAAAATATCCAATCAATAATGGACTTTTACCAAAATATGGTTTGTATTTATGTCTTGATTAGCAGATTCACTTATTCTAATCATCAATTGGCTTTCTTTTTCTTCTCAATTAGGATGATAGTCGAGGATTTGAAACTGATGTTATCAATAAGTATTTCTTGATGATCGGAGAGGCTTGGTCACCAGAGAAATTGAAAGCCAACGAGAATAAATTACACGAAGAGCGACACTGGAGAGAATGGGCTGATAATGTTCTAGTTCATGTGATATCACCGAATGTTTATCGAACTTTGGATGAATCATTTGACGCTTTCAACTATTTTTCTGAAGTTGGTCAATGGGATAAATATTTTCCAACATGGGAACGATTAATATGTATCTACATTGGAGCTATTGGAATGTATTTTGTAAGCAAACGATTGAAAAGGAGACATCGATTGAAGGAAGATGTTCGAAGTTCACTTTATGATGTTGGTAATCAATGGATTAAGGCGATAGGTAAAAATAGGAAATTCATGGGAGGAGATAAACCAAATTTAGCTGATTTAGCTGTTTACGGTGCTCTCAGTTCCTTCGAGGGATGTGAAGCTTTTCGTGACCTTTTAAAGAACGTCAACATTGGTCCTTGGTTCTATTCGGTGAAAGAGCTTTGTAACGCTCACGCTGGATCCAAATTTCTGACCAATGCCAATAAGTGAACCGATACTAATATATACTAGAGAATTGACCGGAATTTGATTCACATTTTTGTTTTTACTGCAACTCTATTAGTCAATGAGTCGAAACAAGAAAGAAACTACCAAGTGAACCGCTTAAAATTAACCAGAAAAATATCACAATTGTGATTTGTGTATTAATCGTGATTGGGATTCATTGAACCTCATTTGCCAACAAACATTTTAAAAAGAAAAGAGAATGTAGTTTAAATTAAATAAATTATATCACTTGGCGAAACTTGTAAAGAAATTTGATAAGAATCCATGGATAATGAGTAATTTGAACTTTCTCTGAAATTTTCTCCAAATTAATTGTATTTTATCACAGTAATCGTAACATTGTTCCATTTGGATATTCGGTGCTGAATAATACAAAAGAAAATACGACGATGATGATTAGAACATGAGGAAGAAAACCAAAGATATTCGAAGATATTTACCATTGGACGAAATCTCCGCCGATTAAATCGAGGACATGATACGCGATTCCAAGTTGAACATCTTTGGGCAACTTTCGAGCAAACAGTTCAGTTCGATTGACCTCATGGTACTTTGTTCTCTTGATCATGGATAGTAGAGCATTTCGACCAGCGGTAAAGGTCTTATAAAAGTGGCCACAATTGGGAAGAGACAGTAACCATGAACCAACAGTTCGATGAACAGCTAACACTCCATTATGAACTAATTCTTTGATTTGATCTTCGGTGAACTGATATTCATTCTTAAGCTGAGTCGAGGTATAAGTTGAAGATGAATTTACCGTCAACACTTTATCAATGAATTTCTCTAAAATAATCAAAAGATGGACAAAAGAAAAACAATTAGAAATCATAATAGAAATTCAATTTACATGTAAACCAACGAGAGAAAAAAACTCACCCAGAGCGTTTCCATTGTAATTACTTCGTAAATAATTGATATAATCCTCAGTGTAGATTAAGGCAGTATCAGTATTAGTAATGGTACTTCCTAATTTGAATGAAACAATTAATCCATCATCACAGAATTTACTCTAATCAGGAAGATCAACAATTAGAAAACATTTTTGTTATTCCGAAAAAAAAAGGATAAAGAGATTCTGATGATTATCTTCAATTATAACAATGATTCTGAATGAACACCAAATTCAACAATCAAGCTTAATGTCATTTAGATCAATTAACTTACCAATTCAATATCAACTTTACTCCGATTCTTAATTAAAGGATAACATTGATGTTTCCACATGATGGAAGGAAAATTATCACCAAATAGCTGATTGGAGAAAAGACTTTTAACTTGATCCAGAGCATTTTTAACATCTAACAGTTTGCTATCTAATTAGAATATCAAACAATCAATAGAAAATCACAGAAAACAATTAAAACAATTAAAACAAATTAGAAAACAACAAATGAATCAACAATCATATGGAAAAGAGATTATCACTTACCCATTACCTGGCAAATCCTTTTGTTTGATTCTTCTTGTTCTTCATTTTTCCTCTTGTTATAATTCATTTTATCCGTTGATTCTTGATTCCGATGGACAATTAGAATTTACTCTTGATTATAACAATTTAATTAAAAGAAATTAAAGGAAAATTGTTTACGTGGAACAGAATTAGTTAAATCAATCTCGTTAAAATGAAATACAACTTATACAATTTTCTGGTTTTCTCACTCACCGAATCAGCTGATTCTCTTTGAGTGATGCAACAGAAAAAAAGTAAACATGAAAGATTAAATCTCTCTTTCGGCTTAATCCAATTTTCTAATCCTTTTCGATAACTTTGATTTACTTTTCTCTTTCTTGATGAATAAACAATTAGTTTTAATTAGTGAATCAACTAATTGAAAGAAAATTTGTTTCTCTATTTAGTTACTTTCCCTTTGTGTAAATTGTGATTCTTGAATCATTGTTATGATGATTAATAGAAAGTTAAATTTAATTGTCTTCTTTTTTTCTTAATTGTAAATATTAATAAACAATTGAACTGTCACTATATATCCTAATGATTATTTGGACTAATTGTCTTGCTCGATTTGAATTAACAATCAATACACAGTAAATTTTACGGTTACCATGAACTCAACTAACCTTGATTAAAATTTAATTGTGATCAACAATTTATCAGAAATGATTAACAATCAAGATGAAAACAACAATAAGAAAACTTTGATTATGATTAATGAGAAGAGGAAAGTTACAACAATTAGATGAGAAGAAGATGATTCTTCATGGACAGATAATTATGATCATCTAATCACAATTAAATAACAAGCCTATGATGTTGAGGTGATGAAGAAGATACTATTTAATTAATCATTGGGATGAGAACAATTAAATTGTTTCCAATTGCAACCAAGAGACAAACGCTGGATAACAATAAACCCGGACTAATAATTTTGAATATAATCTACCAACCGTTGATTGTGATTAAGAAATAGAAACAGTAACATAATTAGAGATGATGATGAGAGAGAAATTAATTGTGATCATATAAAGGAAAGTTAAAAAGAGAGTAAAAAATTAGCTGGTTAGTTGATTGAATTTCTGAATAATCATATTGCCCTGATTTAAGGAGGAGAACAAGCTGATTTACTGATTGTTGTCTCTTTTCAGTTAATTGTTGTCATAATCTTTATCTAGATTGATCTAAATTTCTCTTTCTTTTTGAATTTTCTCATCAAAACAAATCACAATCAATGAGAATCAACAAACCCATGAAAAGTATAAGCGGATTTTCATCTTTATCAACATCTTATTGTGAATTCAATGTTACCTTTAATCATTAAGGTAAATCCTTTTTTTCAACTTCTTCTCAATCTTTCCCTTTCAATTATTAACCCATCTCTTTGTTATTGTTGTTAATTATTGACAATTAGGATCCTGGAATCACATGTATACAGCCATCGACTGAGTTTGCATCAATTTTTGTGTGACAGAATTGAACATTTTGGATTATCAGTAACACTTAATTCACTTTATTTCGACAACTAAAACACCAACAATTAACTAAATTAGAATGTCTACAATTCGTGTTTTAGGTGAGTTTTCATTGATTCTCTTTCTCTTTAATTGTTGATTGCAGTTTAATCATTTCTTGTTTTTTGTTTCTTTCTCTGTTTGTGTTTGTGATCTGTTGATTTATTCCAGGAGATTTAGTTATTTTCACCATCGCCGTTCATCTTAGTTTATCTCAATTGGTCTTTGCCAGTGTACCAAAAGCCGCTGCCGCTAATTTAACGGCCTACAATACACCTTATGCTTATTATGATTACGAACGAGATCCTCGCCAATGGATGGGAACACCTTATACACCTTATGGGGCATCAGTCGCTCCCCTGACCGGTGGATTAGAAGCAATTGCAATCGGTCTTTTAATTGCTCTTGGAATTGGAATAATTGGATTCCCATTGGTTCTTCTCCTTTTCTCACTTTTCCTTGGAAATTCTGGTTCAGGTCTCAGTTTTGTTCCACCGGCATCAACAACCACCGTCACTGGCCGTAAACGACGAGATGTCCTAAGTAACCTTTTCCCCCAAGTTCCACCTCAACTTCAAGATCGATTAGTGAAAATGTTCAGTCAATTCAGTGAATCTCCTGATAAAATGGCCTTTATCAAGAAATACTTGGAATCTTAATCGATCTCCTAATCTACAATCATCAAACTTTTTCCAAAGTGATAAAACTTTTTTTACCATCTCAAATTTTGTTAATTTTTTCCCGAACTGTAAGCCCACCAAAAAGTAATTGCAATCAGTTGATTATAAAATAAACAACCAACTGAATTCAGTCAATTATGATTATCATACTGTAAAAAGAAACTGTAAAAGCTCATAATCAAACCCAGTGACATTTAAAATTGAAACTTTTTTGTTGAGAAAAAAATTAATGCTAAACATTGAAAACATTTAATAATTAAGACAGAAAATCAATCGAAATTGAATATGAGAAAAATGTTGAACAAACTGACCATTTAACATTTCAATCATTTAATACATAGAATTGAATCAAAAGAAATTGACAATTAATCAATTAGTGAATGAGATGGATTATTGAGGATTTTAAAAAGTGATTTAATTATTAACGACTTGAAGCCGTTGCCAAGACAAACTTTGAATTTTGTCAAGCATCTCAAGCAGGAATCTCGGCTTACAATCGATCCACTGGAACCACTTTTGGAACAGTTCAACGTTTCATGATAAGACAATGTCTCTAGTTGCTGCTGGACCTTTAGAAGATTCTTTCTATGGTCAACTTCTGACTGCGCACTCGAAAATACCAGTTGGCAAAGAAAAACAAAATTCTACTCTCGGAGATGCTCGACAGTTCTACGATTGTCCTCAATAGACAATAGATCACAAATTTCTCTTACTCATCAATTCGATTTCGTATCCTTGTCAAATATCAATTTATGTTCCATTTTTAGTCTAAAAAATCGTTCTTAATCATCTTAATTAACTAAATATTTTGCCATTTTAATCAACCTGAAGTAATCAAGTCTCAGTCTATTCATGTTATTATTTATATCATTTTATTACGTTGATAATTTTAAACATCAGTTTTGACGTTTTTTTTCTATTCTATTTCAATTGTTTATCTCTATTCAGTTTAATCGTGATGGATCGTAATGATCGACGAAGGTCAGAAAGTGAACCTTTACCACCGAAAGAACTTATTGTAGCATTGATTTATAGAAATAAGCTTCAATTTGTTGTCATTGAACGAATAATAATGTTTTTATTAAAATTTTTCTAGTATTTTTTGTATACAATTTTCCTTAGCCGAAGATCATGGTAAGAATCATGTACGTAGGGAAATCAAATTCTGGGTCTGGATCTATTGTCTAGAAAAAGCATACGATAAAATTTACCTCCAGGGAGAAAATCAGGATCCATTGCGAAAGTATCGCTGTCATGAACTTTACCTACAGAAAAGAAAATAACACTTATAAAAACATTCTTGGTGTTTGTTTATTTACCTGTAGATGATACCAGAAGAATAAAACCAAGATTGACAACAGATTCACTAAATGAGAAAAGAGATTAGTAAACAATGTGAATGGAAGCCAAAAGATTCACTAAACCAACACTTAGAAAAACACATTATAAGTGTTGGTTAATGGCTCGAGTTCAGCTACCTTGGATATGATTATTTGAATGAGAGTAGAAAAATAAACGCACTTTAGTCAATTGTCAATAAATAAAGTGAACCTTTCCACCAATCATAATTGATTGTAACATTATTTTTATCAATTATCAGAGAAAACTATGCTAAAAATTTGAATCACTAAAAGTAAGGGAAAGCTACTAATTAACGCTGAAAAGCTGTTCATTTAGTTCATCTTTTTGAAACTTCTGACCATCTTTTTGTCTATCGTCTTTGTTTTTACTAATAAACCTCCATCGTGTTTATTGTCATCGGGAAAAAGACCTCTCAATGTCACATGAATGATGGGTCGTATGACGTTCGTACATATACTGAGAGAGACCTTTTGTATGTAGAATTTGTCAGATATTGTTTGTCCAATTAGCTCATTTACAGAAAGATAATATTGTTCATATTGATGTACAGCCATCCCAATGTGATCTGTATCTGAAACGATTCACATCAAGAAATAACCGCGATACCAAGCACTTTTAATATTTTTTTACCAAAACAAATCTGATTTTCTGTAAGGGTATAAAAATTTGTGTAACATATGACAGTGTGAATTTGGTATAAAATGAAGTTTCATGATCAGTAGTAATAAAACTGCCCGGTCTGGGACAAAAAGAGCGCGAAAATCACCAGACCGGGAATAATTAATGGACAATTCATTTGATTGATTTGAACTATTAATCACAAATGATTAATTTTAAATTGATGGTTGTACACAAAAACACAAATCACTGGAGGGTAATGGTATTGATCCCAACTGATATTTTTGATTTTTTGATGACAAGAACATCATGACACTGAATTAATATGCACTTCAGGGTTTCAATTTCCTCTTTAGAGAGAATATTCTTGCCAGGTGAGTTTAATGAGAGAGAAGCAATGATAAGATGTAATTTTCGAGTCAGCGGTCTCGCTCCAAATGAAAACCTGGAGAATAGAAGAATAGATGCCCTTTATGTAGGTGTCCAGTAATTAGGGCTGTCCTGACACATTTCATTGATTAATTATTTAACTGACGTTTTTCAACTAAGAAATCAATTTTTACTCCTCATTTCAACTAATTAATTGCTGTAATCATTGTGATAACCATTTATATTTACATTCTCAAAAATTCCAATCAGGTTTGAATTGTTTATCATTCTTTTTTATTTCAAGGACAGGTAAGGCTCAAGATATATCCGTAAGCTCAATTTTTCTACTTTCAGCTGACTTTTTTCGGCTTACGATTCGCGGCTTTCTAGGAAAATAACGTTTCTATTGTAACCAAGACAACCGAGCTGTGCTTTTAATTGTTTATTTTTGCTTCTAATTCAGTGCTCATTGAACAATTTGTTATTATGTATTATACTCAATTCAAGTTAATCATGAAATTGTAATCAGACAGTGGAACAGTAATTGGTCAGCCTGGATCGAGGCTTTGATCAATTTTAAGAAACTTGCCAAACAATTTAGTTTGACGAACCTCGAATAAAACTTAATTGTTTGGCAAGTTTGCTAAACTTGATTTGTCGATTAATGATTAAGTTGAGTAATTAGCTCTGATCAAAACCACGATCCAGGCTGATCAAACTAATAGGTTTGTTCATTGAACGCACAATAAGGTTATTATCGAGTTAATTACTCAACTTAATCATCAATCTGAGATCGAAAATAAATTTTAAGAAACTTGCCAAACAATTAAGAACCTCGAATCAAACTTTATTGTTTGGCAAGTTTTCTAAACCAATCACTTCAATCAATCAATTGAAGTTTTTTCTTCATTCATTTCTGAATTTTCTTAAATTGTTGAACCTTTAGTTGCCGTTTGATTAAATTGTGATAATTAGAGAGAAAAAATTCACTATAATAATGATCATTATATTTACCTTGATGTTGTTGAAGTTTTGATTGTTGTTGTTGTTGTTGTGGTAGTTGTTGGGATTGAATTTGAATTACCCAGGTCAATGTAATGGTTACAATAGTCCAGAATTTAAATTGAATCACGTTGAGATGATTAGATTGATTAGATTATCAATTTACAATATTGAATGATGACAGGGAGGTAATAGAAACAGAATCTAGATAATGATGAACGTTCTTCAATGATATGAAAACGTCAATTGATTGTAATTTTGATTGTTTGTTGACTGTTGACAAGCACGATTTTTATTTTATTTTCTTATATCAACTATTGGATGAATGAAGGATTACCAATGGGATAAAGATGATTGTATATGATGATGAGTGAGTGAAATTTGCAGAGTGAATTGTCAAAGGATGTTAGTTGATTGTCACGGTCTAACCAGCACTAAGAACTGAGAGTTTCAAATACTGACCTTAAATTGCCCAGTTGATAATCAGTGTTGTCTGTTGCTCGGTATTTGTGAACAATCTCTTGCAACTGATGCATCCAAGGCCGAAGTTGGTCCGAATATGAGCTTCGACGCCGGTCACCATTGTATGTAGAAATCGGGCACCTCGAGCGTTACAATTAATAACTTGCGACAAATACTTCTCAAGAAGGTGGTACGAAATCGCTTTTTTACTCTCGATGTCCCAGATGATGTATATCGTCCCAAAATAATAGGTGGGGATAGCGACTTCTGGTCTAAGATGAGAAAGAAAAAAAGATTAAAATAATCGATACTCGGACAATGTAGCGTGTAAAATGTAAATACTTACATCTCTAGACATAGACGAGGCGAATCATATGTAACCATCGAATTCGAGATAGTAAACATCATTTGCTCCATCTGAAGCCGGCGAATGGGCCAACTTCAATTGTAGGTGTTCCAAAAACGGCCTGAACTACGTACCGTTCCATTGAAATTTGTAAAGTCTAGTGTTGTTCGGGTTTGTCGTGCAAGACTTCGACCGGTGAAAGGCTGAGTTTTGCGTACTTTTCGTAGAATTTTTTTCCGCTTATCTCTGGCCTTTTGGCAATGTCCATCATAATGACCATACAATGAGGATGCGATGTTGTAAGTGGAATTGCAATCATTGCAGACATAAATAACGAAATTTGAACAAATATGTCGAGACAACATTTATTTGGTTTTTGAGACACTCTGGTAGCGATGGCCACACGGACAATCTTCCAAGTTACACCATGTTTCCCGAATGCTGCGATAAATCAAATCCGTGACTTCAAGGTCAAATACGGGCCTGTCGTTATCCATCATAAAGATTTGGAAGCTCCGTGGTTGTTGATGATAATGGAGATTGAGATCTCGACAGCTCCTAGAAAAAGTCAAATTGTTATTAGAAGAAGAAAGAACATGAAGAAGCAAATTTAATTGGGCTACTTACCAATTTAAGTAAACAAGGCCTACTGCTGGAATGACGTTGGGAGCGATGACATTGTAAAGTGCAATTATCGAAGAAAAATCGAAATTTGCTCTTGATTGAGACCAGCCTTGAACTCGCCGAAGGTATCTTTCCATTTAAATTCTATTGCGGCCATGGCATAAACATAACCTGCAGACAAATCTTTATCCAATTGGCCTCGAAGCGGTGAACTTTCCGAACGATAGCTAACAGTTGATGAAAATGACGATGATGACCGACTTCTTCGAATCGATGTTGACTTCTGAGGTGGTTCTGGTTCTGTACTCGGTCCATCTGATTGTCTCGATTGAGTTGACGATCTCCGAGGAGAAACTTGTTGAGGTTCTGGTGTTGGTGATCTTTGACTCGATACACGCCGTGTAGGTGATGTAGTGAGTGATGTTGGCAGTGATGATCTTTGTTTGATGAATTTCTTAAAAATGATTAATTAACAAAAATAAACAATTAAAAGCACAGCTCGGTTGTCTTGGTTACAATAGAAACGTTATTTTCCTAGAAAGCCGCGAATCGTAAGCCGAAAAAAGTCAGCTGAAAGTAGAAAAATTGAGCTTACGGATATATCTTGAGCCTTACCTGTCCTTGAAATAAAAAAGAATGATAAACAATTCAAGTTTGAATTTCAAACCTGATTGGAATTTTGAGAATATGGAGATTTTTTCCTTGAAAGAAAACCAGAAAATCGTAATTTTTAATATTCGCGCTAAAATGTGTTCTAGTTTCCTAAATACGCAAAGGTCATTTATTATACCTTAACAAGAGAAGAAGACGTTCAATTTTCAGGTGACTAGCCCGTAATCACACCAGTCACATCGCAAGCCAAAGTTTACGACTGTGAACATTCGACCACGGGCTGAGTCCATACAACAATTTCTTTTCTCTGCCAATAGA